TTATGCTTTTCTTTTTATATAAGAATGTTGCTTTATAAAGGGAGTTATAATATATTTATAATATTTAATTTATAAAGTATTTTTAAAATATATTTAATATCCTTATATACTTAGTTTTTATAAAGTGCTTTTATAGCTTTTTAAATTGCTTTTATTTTTTAAATTATAATTAATATTAATAAAGATAAATTTATTATTTTAAGGTAAGCTTTAAAAATAAGCAAGGTTAATATAAGCTTATTAAGCCTTATAATATTATTTATTACTTTAATAGCTATTTATAAAATTATTTTTTTATTATAATTACGCTAAGCTTAAATTATAAGATTTAAAATATATATTTTAAAAGTTTATAATACTTCTTTACTTTCTTAATTAATTAATATGCTTTAATTAATATTTATTTGCACTTTATTTTTATAAGCTTAGCCTTTTTATAAAACTTATTTAAGTTAAATTAAGTTTTTGCATTATAAATAATATAATTAAGTAATTTTAAATAAGTATTTATTTAAATTTATTTAAAAGCTTTTTAAATAATCTTTATAAAGATATTATATATAAATAATGCATTTTAAAAATTAATTCTTTTATTAATAATATATAATATTAATTTTTTATTTAATAAATATATAATATTTATAATAATAACGTAGTTAAAATTATAATTATCTTAAAGTATAAATTTAAAGTAATAAGAACTAGCTAAATATATTTAATATTAATAATAAAATCTTTTAATAAATTTTATTACTTTTTAATTTATATTTTTATAGCTTGCTTTTATAAGCAATTTATATAATTAATTTATTAATAAATAATTAAAGCGTTTATAAAGGCGTTATAACTTTATTTTTATTAAATAAAATATAGCATTTCTTAAGGTATGCTTTAAAAAAAATTAAAAGTGCTTAAACTTTATTATTAAAGAAATTAAAAGTTCATTTTTAATATATATTATTTCCTTAATTATATTATAAATTTTAATATTTAATTAATTTATATCTTAAATAAAAAGTAAAAAAGGGGTATTTAAATTTATAATATAAAAAAAGATTAAATTAAAAGCGGTTTTAATAATTATAAAATTAATTAAGGTTGCTTTACCTTTTTTAAATATAATTTATACTTTATTATTAATTAAAGTATTAAGTTAAATGCTTAAATTCTTTTCTTAAAGCACCTTAAATTAATATTTCTTAGCAATTAAAACTTTTACCATACCTATATTTAAAAAAATATCTTAAAAGGTTATAATAAAGTAGCTTTAAATAATTAAATTAATTTTTAATTTTTAATTAAATTTTAAAGTAATAATAATATTAATAAAGTAATAAATAAATGCTTAATTTTTAAGGTAATAAATTAAATATTAATTATTATTATTATGTTTTAAATTATTATTATTTTTATTTTCATTAATTTCTTTAATTCTTAAATTTACGCCTTTTATATTTATAACTTATACTTTAAAATTATTATTTTAATTTACTTAATTTTATTATTCTTATTTATTTATTAAAAGTTAAAGTATTCTTACTTTATAACGTTTCTTTATATAAAGTAATTAATTAATTAATATTCTTATTTCTTGCATATAATGCATATTTTAAGGCTTATAAAAAATTATTATAAAGTAAAAGGCTTTTTTTTATTATTATTTATTCTTTATAGCTCCCTCTTTAAAAAGGTTTTTAAAAGCATTTTTTAAATCCTTTCTTATATTAAAATATTAATTAATTATATTAAATTTATTATATTAATAATTTATATATATTACCTTTAGTTAATTAATAATATATATAAAGCTTTATTTTAATTATTTTATTAAAGCTATATTAAATATAATTATAATTTATTATATTAATTCTTTTATATTTAATTTTAATATTAAAAGTATTATTTTAAGCTTTTAAGAATTATAACATGCTTTAATTATTATAGCTTAAAGTTATTTATTTATATTTTATAATATTTTTAACGCTTTTTAAGCCTTAAATAAAGTATTAAATAAAATTTAAAATATTTCTTTAAGTATTTTCTTAACGTTATTATTATTTATTTTAATTATATTAAGCTTATTATTTATTTAATTATTATAATAATATTAATGGTTTATAATAATGTTAAAGTATAGCTTAATTTTTAAATAAGCATTTTTAAAAATATTTTCCTTTTTAATATATTAAATTTAAAAGTTAAATGCTAAATTTAATATAATCTTTTTAAAAATTACTTTAAATTTTAATAAATTAATTTTATATGCTTTATATATATATAATATTAAGCAAATCTTTATATTAAGCATATTATAAGCTTATTTTATATAATATTATTCCTTATTATATAATTTTATAAAGCTTATTAACTTATTTAGTAAAATAATATTATTATAAAACTTTTTTAAAGGGAGTATATTATAATTATTTACTTTTAATTAATTTATTTTAAAGCATAATTAATATAATAATTCTCATGGCTTTAAGCTTATATATATATGCATTTTAAATTATATTATAATTAATTATATAGATTATTTTAATAATTTTAAGCTTAAGCTTATTTATATAACTTAGGGAGTTAATTTAATGGTTATTTATATAATTTAATTATTTTATTGCTATTATCTTTCCTTATACATTACATATAAGGGGTTTAAGTATGTAAGTTATATATTTTAATAGTTTTATTATTTAAAGAAACTTTTTTGCATTATTATTTTTATAAGTATAAGCAAAAAGCTTTAAGTTAATTTTTTAATATAAATCTTATTATATTTAAAAACGTACTTTATTTTTTATAATAAAATTATATTAATCTTTAAAAACATCTTTATTATATAATTTTTAAAATTATTAATAAACTTTATAAATAATTTATAATTATAATAACTTATTATAATATATTAATAAAGGCAATATATTATAAATACGTTTAATTAATTAATTAAGAAGTTTAGGTTATTAATTGCTTTATTAATGTTAATTAATTAATTAAATTATAGCAAGATTAAGAGCTAGATTTTAATTAACTTAATAATTTAAATAAGCTTTTCTTATAACTTATCTTTAAGGTTTAAAGAGTTTTTAATATATATATTGGTTTTAAATATGTTTCTTAACCTTTATATATATAAAATAAAGAAGTAAGAGTAATAAGGGAAATAATTAAGTTAAAAAGGGGGAAATAAAAGGAAAAAAATGTATTTTTAATAAAATTATAAGATTTTAAGTAATATTAAAGTTAAGTTTAAATAAATAAGTTGTTCTTTATTATATATATAATGTAATGCTCCTTAAAGATAGTAAATTATTTAATTAAATACTTAATAATTTTACATTACCTTAAAATAATTAATTAAGTAATTTATCTTATTAAATGCTTAATAATTAAGATTTTAATAAAATGCTTTTTTAAAGGTATAAGTTATTTATTAAGCTTTAAAATTAGCATTTAATATATAATTAATAAGGGGTTATTTTAATATATTAAGTCCTTATAATAAGTAGTTAATGTTTTTTTTGTTAATTTATAATTATCCTATAATTATTAATTAATATTAAAAGGGTTTACTTTATATAAAGATTTATTTTAATATTTTAAGGTAAGTAATTAATAATGGTAATAATTAGTTTTTTTTAAATAAAGAGCGTTTTATAAGGAAATGCTTAAAATGTCCTTATATAAATTAAAAAGACCATATATTAACAATATTATACTTATATAAAGCTGTGATAATATTAATATATTATGTATTTATATTTGTATTAATACATAATATTATATTTATATTTGTATTTATATTAATGTATTTATATTTATATTTATATTATTAAAGGCTCTGTATTATGTATTTATATTTATATTTATATTTATATTTATATTTATATTTATATTTATATTTATATTTATATTTATATTTATATTTATATTTATATTTATATTTATATTTATATTTATATTATAAGCCTTTATATTAGTATTAATACTATATTAATACATAATATAAATTAATTAATTTAAAGCTTATTAATTATTTAAAAAATATTATTTAATAAACAATTTAAATATGTAAATAAAATAATTTTTATATTATTTTTATTTAAATATGTAAAATACTTTATATATAAAAGATTAAAAAGAATTTATTAAACGTTAAAGAGTAACACTGCAACTTCTAAAAATAAAACTCTATATATAATATTATTTTTTCTTTCTTTAATATTTTTATTAAAGATTTAAGTATAAATAAAAGGGAATAAGAATTTTATATATTAAATTTAAGTTTATTTTAATATAATATTTATTTTTAATATATATTAATAATAATTTTAAAATTTATATTTATATTATGTATTTATATTATTTATATTATAATACTATATTATATATTTATATTTATATTAGTGTATTTATATTTATATTTATATTATTAAAAATCTGTGTATTTATATTTATATTTATATTATTAGAAATCTATATATTTATATTTATATTTATATTATTAGAAATTTATGTATTTATATTTATATTTATATTATATATTATGTATTATTTGTATTATCACAGCTTTGTACTTATATTACCTACTTTAAATTAAGGAAATTGAGTAAAAATAAGCAATTAAAAGCAGTTAATAAAAATTAAGTAATATTATAAAAATTAATTATAAGGTAATATTAGCTATTTAATAATAAATTATGTTATATAAACTTATTTAAAGAAAATTAAATTTAAAGAGTTATAAATAAATATAATAATATATATAATTGCATAATGCATAATTAGCTTAAATTTAAGGTGTTTAGATATATTTAGGGGTGTATGCCCATGGATAAAATTTGGGGGTGCAGGGGGTTTTTGGAAAGTCAGCCCTGTCGCGCACCGTAGAGGTCAATCTCAGCTTCAAACAGCAAGGGGCCATCTCATTCGGTCTCGAAGCCGAACACACAAAACAAGAAAAATCACAACCCCACTGCCCAAGCTAGTTTATGGCAAAGATGGCTCAAGAGGAGGTCCTCCACGCCTACCGTCACCTGTACCGAGCTGCACTGAGAGCAGTATGCTATTCTCAGCCAGCAAGCACCGTGGTGCGAGACCAGATACGCCGAACATTTCGTGACAGAACCAGCACCTTCGACAAGAGAACCGTCCGCCGCACCGTTTGGTTCCTTAACAACGCCGCCAGGGAAAGAGGCACGGAACACAAGATTGTCAAGAACCTTCTCCTTACACAGTTTTATAGAGATAAGGCCAATCGCAACACCTGGAGGCACCTCACTGACTCTAACAACAAAAAGAAAAAGTACGTTGCCAGCCCGTCCTGAGCGCCTTTCAGGTCACACGTGGGCCGGCCTTGCAGTGCTGACGCAGACATTCAGGGACTTGGTCAAAGACACAGCGTTTGCCCACTACGAGCGCACTATTTTCATGCTCAACAAGACGATGGGCTTGTGTCTGCCTCTCCGCTGAGGTAACGCGTCGTTATACGGCCCTCTTCTTGGGCAGTGAGACGCCGGCCAAGTCGGCAGAGACCCCGGCGGGACGAGCTTCCCCGCCGCTCCCCGCCCCCGAATTATAGAATGCTCCTGAGACGCCGTCTTGACGAGGAAACGGCCCGCTTTGCTTGGCTGCAGTAACTCGACTCAAAGGACGTCTCCTGAGCCTCGAGCGAAAGATTCAGCGGCTGCTTCGTCCAGGGGCTGCTTTCTTGGTGGACATGTGCAAGAATCTGACGATTCTGCCCGAGCCACCAGGACAGGCGGTGGGCCGAGCCATGCAGGAGTCACGATTGGCTTTTGCTTCCAGACCTGCAAGGGCCAGGAACATAAGAGCCTTGCAGCATAGCAGGGTGCGCATCGGAAGATAGCGCATGCTTTTGCCCGCAAATACATTCTCAAGCTGGTTGGTGCTGGCGTATCCAGCTAACAAGAAGCATTGAGCATGGCTGTGTCAAGCTATGGCAAGCACCGAGCTCTATGAACCCGGTGACAGCTGTGCCAACATGAGCAAGCACCCTCCAGGTGCGTTCTTGCTGCCGTGCTGGGGCGGCCCATGAATCTGACAGGCAAGCACATGCCGGGCGTGCGATGCTCAGGCGGGCATATAAACATATCAACCGTCGTGCACACCATCGAGACACATCTTCCGCTTCCAGATCTGGCCTGCTGCATTGTGCGACGCGGCCTGACTCGGTGAGAGGCCGATCCCTGTGCCGCCGTGACGTCTGGAGGCTTGCACACAATGTGTTTCTGCTGAGTCGTCTCGCATCGTCGGAAATACTGTGAGTTTGTACGAGGACATCGCCCAAGACATGTACTTGGTGAGCCGTCCGACAGGGCCTGTCCTAGCCGGACAGAGGGGGATCAAGGGAGGTGATGTGGGTTCATAGCTTGTGATGATACAAATGGATGTTTATGGGTGGGTCTCCTGCTTCGACCCCCCGGGAGTGTCGAGGCGTGCTCCATACTTAGCCTTCAGATCAGTGATCTACCGTCACTGTGGAGAAGACGCGGACGGTTCTGGCGAACCAGCTCCCAGAGCTGAGCTAGCTTTGTGTGGGTATTGGACAGGACCCCGCAATTCTTTGGGCAGGTCCCCAATACGCTTCACACCATCACCACTCTAATGCTCCAGCAGACGAGTTTCCGTTGCACGACGATAAGAGTCGTTAGCACATCAATTCGGTGGTTACTTCTCTAGCCTCTCGTGCTCGAGCCTGTCCAGAAACCTTCTCTCCCTTACAACCTCATTCCACCCCATCAACACCCCGCGTTGCCCATCCAAGCCGACATTCGAGGCCGTCGACAACGACTGATCACAACCCACGCATCGCGGGGTTCTTCATGGACCTCGTTTCTGGCACTTGCCCATAACGCGACCGCTTTGAAGGCTCTGGTCTCGACATTTCTCGAGGTCATTGTCCAAAGGCGGCTGCTCAGGGCCTGTAATTGCCAGGAAGCATGCCAGCTGAGCTCATTCCCCTCAACCAAAATGGTCCTCAGCTCCAGCATCCCACCACGCCTACGAAAGGCAGCAGCGGCAGACACAACACGACGAGTGGCCACAGGCGAGCAGCAGACATGGCCGATGGCAAGGGAGACAACAAGCACACGGCTCAGCAGGAGCAGATGCCCTTCATCAAGCGGTACCGGACAGAGGTCAGCGCCTCTGCTTCTAGTGTCCTGTCCACCTTGACGGCTTTCCCGCTCGACAGCGTCAAGACACGCATGCAGACGTACAACTATTCCGGTTTCCTGGGCTGCGTGAAGCATACGTACCAGACCGAGCAATTGAGGGGCTTTTTCCGGGGTGAGCACTCCCTTTGCACCGCTTCTCCAACCTTCTACCCGATTTATTGGCCGTTGCTAACATGTGTGTCTCTGTCTACAGGCGTGACTGCCCCTATGGCTAGTATCACCCTCGTGCGAACGGTCTCGTTTTCGATATACCAACGATCCAAATACGTCTACTCGGACTGGCTCAGGAAGAACTTTGGCATTGATGTTCTCGCCCATGTCAACAAGCAGGGGACATACCCAAACTTATCTTCTGTAGCTTGTTTTGGAGCGGCCGGTGCAACGGCCGGCTCATGTATCACGCTCATTGCATGTGAGTGTTACTTGGTTCTCGGTCAAGAAATAATGTTCACCTGGGTCCATTCTGACGCTTCGCAGGCCCCTTCGAGCTCACGAAGCTGAGTGCCCAGGTTTCGGTGCTTCTAGCCGACAAGAAGAATTGCAGCCATCCCGAAAGCCACAAAATTGCCGCTAGTTATCAGAACAAGGGCACGTTCAAGACTATGGCGAATATTATCCGACACCGTGGCCCTCTTGGACTCTACACCGGGTTCAATCTACATCTACGTACGTGGTCAGTAGCCTGGTGCCATCTAGATACGATCTAACTGATAATGTAGTGAGAGACACGCTGGGCACTGGCATATACTTCATGACATACGAGAGCAGCAAGCAGCTCTTGACGACCTTTGGTGGTGATGGTACTCATTCGAACCCCCTGGCGGTCCTGGTTGCAGGTGGACTCTGCGGAATAGTATCCTGGGCGATGATCTGTGAGTACCGCAAGAAAACAGCCGCCTGTCCTCAAGCAACCATCTTACAAGCCTCTACAGATCCAATCGATTCCGCGAAGAGCATATATCAGCGTAACTGTCTGATGTACTCCAGGGGCCAGACAGTGCCCAAGGTGAAAATTGAGTTCTTCCGAAGGCATATGTACAGGGGCCTGGGCGTGTCAATGGGCCGATCCTGCGCCGTGAATGCTGTTTTCTTCTCTTCCTTTGAGTTTCTGAAGAAACAAATTAACGCCATCAAAGAGAAAGATTGAAGGTCGGCGTTGCATCCCAATGTGAGCCAGTCTGTTTAAGGCCGGTATTTCATGCATTTGCGGGACGGGACGGAACGGTCGGAGTCGTTAAGGTTGGGACAGAACTGGAAACGCTGAGTTAAGATTTTATGAACTGCGATTGATGGCCAAGGAAGGCCTGGGCTGATGTGGTAGTGTCCTCTGATAGCAAGGCACATTATGGACGGACAAACTCAGTATCTGCTAAGAAACAGAAACAGAAACAGAACAAATTCAAACGAAACTTCATGCCCTTGCTTCATAGGGTCAAGTCTCCGTTTCTGACATGACAAAGGCGTTGATACTCCCATACGAACCCGGCCTCCCCCATACCGTAGCGGTAACAGTTCCCATTCCTTGATCATCAACGAAGGGATTACCACTGCTATATATATAATTGGAGGAATTGTTCTTTTATCAGCACTTTCCTGTCTACGAGGAGGGAAGTCCTTAGCCCACACAAACAGGAAATGATTTTCTATCAATAAATAGCCTATCGAATAGCTATCGTAACTGCAGCATATATGGAGCCTCAACTCTGCTTCGGGTCATTCAATATTGGAGAAACACCTGCTCACGCAGTGATATGTAGGACCCGTAGCCACGGCAACTCATGAGTTGGTGACAGCCATGGTAGTTCTCCGGTTGGGAAACGGAAAATTCATGAGCTTCAGAGTAGAATATCTTAATTGGTTATCAATGGCAGCGTGAACATGAGAGCACTGTGTTGGGAACATTCAAGCCGCAAAGTGAGACAACAGCCGTGGCCTAATTATCGTCCCATCCTTCTATAAAATCTGGGTATCATTTGGTAGACACCTAGCAGGCCCAAGGGCTGCGGCCTCTAGCACGCCGTCCTCTCCTCAAAGCCCGTTTCTCAGCTTCTGCCACTGCGTCATAAAACCGTAGCCGCCCATAGACCCTCTAGTCTCCGGAGCCCCAGGCTCTGAGGAGCTGCCCTGCTCTCTCCTCGAGCCGTTATCGTCCTGCCTGCTTCGGCTCTCCCTCAAGACCAGCTCCCTTTGCGCCTCCGCCTCCTTCACCAACTCCCTATGCCGGTCCTCGACCATCCGCGCCAGGCCCTCCACGAACCTCTGTCGGGCCTTCTCCTCCGCCGTGCCCTTCCACACCGTGACCAGCTCCTTGAGCTCCTCCACCCTCTTGGTGGCGTCCTCGACCCCCTTGACCGGGTCCGGGTTGTTCTTGGCCAGCAGGCCCGAGATCTCGTCGCGCAGCCTCCTGAGGGTCTTCTGGCCCTTCTCCTCGGTGCTGATCTGCTCCTTGGACGCCGTGTGCATGTCCGGGAAGTCGGGCGCCGAGACGGACAGGAAGCCCGAGCTGACGGACACCTCGGACGGCGGGAAGACAAAGTCCATGGCGTCCCCGAACGTCTTGATCACGGAGTCGAGGCGCGACCGGACAAGCGTTAGCGTCCTCAGGTGCGATATGTACGCCGGCTCGTCCTCGGCGGCCTCGGCCGCCGCCGCCTTCTTGTTGGTTTCCAACACCGCTGTGGCAGGGGTCGCGGGCGGAGGCGAGTCCTTGTCCTTCTCCGGGAATGGTGTCGGGGGCGCCAGGCTCCCAAAGGACGCCCGCCTGGTGGAGGAAGCGGCCGCTTGCTCGATGCCGGCCGGGACGAACCTCTCCAGGTCTTCTCTCAGCGGGCCCTCGGTGAGCGTCTCGGCCAGCCCCAAAGTCTCGCCCCGGAGCAGCTCGACCTCGTACGCCAGCCTGCTGCCGCTGCGGAGGATATCGTCCGTCAGCTGCGTGAGCGTGGCCGCGAGCCGTGTGGTGTGGGCGTTGAGCTGCGTCAGCAGCTCCTGGGCCTCGCTCGACAGCTGGGCCAGGGGGGCGGCGCCCTTGCCCGCCGTCGACGAGGACCTGAGCGATGACGATGAGCCCTGGAGGGGCGGCAGCGTCTGGTTGAGGTATTCCGCCGGGTCGAACGCCGGGTTCAGGAACTCCTGCAGGAAGGGGTCTGATGTGTGTGCGGACTTGGGATCGACCTTGACCGGTGTTGAAGCCGCTGCCGTCGCCTTGCTGGCGTTGCGCATGTGTATTGAGAGCCCCCTTGAGCGCCCGGCCGCCGCACTGCTATTTTGTCTCCGGCGAGACACTGTGGATTTGGAGTCCCATGACATTTTGGTCGTTGCCCGAGAAAAGAAAGAAACATCAACGGGTCGAGATGGGTCTTCGAATTAGTTGGATTCACATGAGAGGCTCGGCCTGAGATGAGGGTAAGTTGAGTGAGCTGTCTCGATGTTGTACTGTCTACCTCAAGACACGGCAGCTCTTCAGCAGTATCCGAAGTACCACTACCACCACCCAGCGGTAAGTGAGCCGCAGACACAAGTGGGGCTAAACCTGGGGTCTGAGAACAACCCCACGTCGAGATCTCCACAGCGGTCGACGCGTCTTCCTCGCTTCAACTACGCGACGCAGGACCAGTCCTAAGCCACCTCCCATCCGCCCACTGGCACAAGCCCACCAGAAAGATGGACGACCGACCAGGATCGAGCGCTCTGCTCTCGCCGCCCGAGCTCCCCCCACTGGAGCAGGAGGTTCTGGACGAGTACGAGAGGCTGGCAGATAACATGAAGAATGTACGCCTCGCGAAGCATTTCATTCCCTTGACTCCGAGCACCCAGTTCTGACCCTGTCCTTCTCCCCGCGCAGCTTGCCTCTATCCTCGACAACATGGCCGCCCAGCCTACGACAGAGATACTCGACGGCCTACGCGAGCTCGAGCGGAAGACGAGCCTGGTGTTCACGCTTCTCAAGGCGAGCGTCTACAGCATCGTCTTGCAGCAGGAAATCGACTGGGGCGACCAGGCTCAGCATTGAGGGTGCATAGGAACGAAAGACTAGATCTATCAAGCAAAAGCTGGGATCGTCCGAGCTTCGCGCTTACATTTGCTGCGTCACTGGACATTAGGCACGACACTGCACACGGATGGACACCCCAAACGGGACGCAGATCGACTTTGCTCGATTCTGTGCGCACGTGTCCCGAATCTGCAGAACAGTTCAGACACCAACACTGTGGTCAATCATGGCACTGGACTCGATCCGAGAGCCGGGCTTGAAGGTGCTTCATTATACACATATATTCACAGGAGCGCGGTCTAATGTACAGCACCACCATAGTAAACCTTCCGCGCATCGACGAGCTTCTTGCCTCTGCCGAGCGCAATGAGTTCCGGGTCGGGCTGGTTCGTCAGAGCCTGGGCAAGCAGGCCTTGACAGAGTTCATGGGGTTGCGCGAGCGAGGCATCCTCACGGAGAGGTCAGTGATACCCGCAAGACGGGCAATCTCGAACATGCGGTGAGAGACACGGAGACCAAATCCTGTTACATTTGTTAGCAAAAAGACTCCTGGCCGCTAGGGTAGGGTTTCTCCCCAGGGAAATCAAGCATACCAGGTGGCCGCGTGTACATCTGAACAATTGTTCCTCCAATCTTGGCCTCCACATTGCCGTAGATTGTCCTGTTCTCGTATCTCCGAATGGGCACCATGTTCTGGATGGCTGACAGCTTCGCTTTCATGATGGAGATCTCCGGGTCTACGGACTTGGCCTCGCCCATGCCCAAGCGCCCGTTTCCGTTGCCGGCCATTGCGAGGATGTAGGTGCTGCGGATCTTGCCCAAACGCGTCTGGTTCGAGACGTACCTGCGCACCAGGATCTTGGTTTGCCTGTTGAAGATGTCGAGGATCTCGCCCACGCTCATGCCCGTCTTCTTCTTCAGCTCTTGGTACGTGCCTTCGGGATCCAGGCTCTCGTCAGACTCGTCCATCTGCCGCTTGTACAGGCCCGCCACGCCGGGCACCTTGTCTGGCAGGTCGGGCGCAAGGGAGGTATCGCCGCCGTCGAACCCGGTCATGGAGTTGCGCTCCATGAAGTATTTGTATGCCTCCAAGTCTGAAATGTCTTTTGGGCCTTGGCTGTCCCTGTCTTGAGCCGGATCTTCCAGGGCGCCTTCCTGTGCCGCCTCTGTCTCGCCAACGACTCTGTCCATGGCTTCCGCAAGCTCGGTCGTCGACAATGCGTCCTCGGGGTTGCTGTTCAACATCTTGGACCGCATCTCCTCGTACATGTTGAGCGCCTGCTCGTAGGTTATGTCGTGCGATACACCCCGCTTTTCGTTCAATTGTCGCACGAACTCGACAAAGTCATCGCCAAACTCTTCTGGCGTCATGAACTTCGCAGTGGTGTCGACCGGTCGGTAGGTCTTGACGCGCTTGTCTACGACCGGGCGGACCTTTGAGAAGTCCTCGAGATACTCGAACGCGTACGGGTCGTTCCGTATCCTACCCTGCACCGCCAGGTCATCCATGTCGATGACCTTCTCGCCCAGCTGCACTGCGCTCAGCTGCTCTGGAGTGTATTTCTTCTTCAGAGACTTGAGGTCAGTCTCATCCCAGTCGGGCAGGGACTCCTCTTTGAACCTCCTCCTCGTCTCGTGGTCGTCCAGGTTCACTTCGTCGATCTTGACGTTCTTGAATGGTGACCTCTTCCTCCCTGCCACTGGCGCAGAGGCGTGGAAGCTGTGTCGTTGGCATATTGATCCCGGAGCGGCGGTAGCGGCAGCGGCAGCGGCGCGTGCGGACGTTTTGGCGGAGTTGGCTGCCAGAGACCTGCAGAGCAGGCGCCTGGCAGCAGGTGTAGCCACACTCATGGCTTCCGAAGGGATGGTACGCGACGGAGCCTGGAATGGCACATGGATCGCTGAGATCCGTGGAGTCGTACAGGCGTCAAGGCGTGGGGAGGAGCTCTTTGCTCGGCCGCAAGCTCACGAGCCCGTCACCAATTTTTTGACAGGGGTGGCTACGTCTTGATGACTAAGGTCGCCGAGGTACTGTGGCACGCAGCACCCTTCAAACCTGGAGCAATTGCTTGCGTACTCAGGTACCTGAGTACCTGTCTGGCACCCTGGTGGGCCCTCCAACGGCACCAGTGCCTAGGGGTGGGTATTCCCCATAACCACCCAAAGAAGAGCCTCAATTGCGACGTCGGTTGCAAAGTCATCAAGCTCTGCTCACATCAACATTTGTCGTCACGCACAGCACAGCCCAACGACGAGGCCATCCGCTCGAGGCTTAGCCCAGTGAACATGTTCCGGGTCTTGGCGGCCCCCGTGAATGGATGGATGGGACGATGAGGCGGCCAGCCAATTGGGCCGCGCTTAATTCACTCGCCATGAGTTCAGTCTGCCGCAATCCTGAAACCGTCGAGTTTCGATCTCCTCGACGGCTCCCCTATTTGGCCCGTAGCCCTCCTCGGGTGAGACGCATTGGACCGGGCCCTCTCTCTGGTCCTGCCCAGATGGTTTGTATCATGTGCATGCGATCTCCTTTCTGTTCCCGCCTCCGATCTTCTTTTCCCTCTATTCACTTCTGCTGCGAATAGCCTCTTTCGTCATCTGCTGGTCCAGTTGTTTATATTCCTTTTCAATTCTTCTCCAAGGCCAACAACTAGTCGCCGACTTGCAGAGCAAGCGAAGCAGACACAGTCGTTTCTGTCACGTCTCCCCATAATTCAACGACAATCACCGACCAGCCATGGCTCAATTCGATTGGTTCAGTAAAATCGGCGCTACGCCCCAGGCCGTCGCTGCCCTCAACGACCAGCCATACCTGTTCACCATCCTCGTCGTCGTGCTCCTCATCCTCATCCTGGAAGGCGTCTTCATCTGGTACATCCACTTCGCCACGTTGAAACCCGAGCAGAAGAAAAAGAAGGAGCCAAAGGGCGGCAAGGGCGGAGCCAAGAAGTAATCGCAAATCGACCTTTATATCAACAACGAGACCGGCTCACAGATTCCCACCGGAGCCTCGACCGGGAAACGGAGTGTCATCGGCTTCACGGAACTTAGTTGGAAGGGAGCGGTCGCCACGGCATTCAATCTTGGGAACCTTGATCAACAGACACTGTACCCAACACTACGTTTTGCTCGAAGCAGGCGATGCGTCATGAGAGGCACAAGGAGTATGTGTTGAACTGGTTCCGCTCAGACCAGCAACGGGACAATAAATTGGCATTAATAGAAGCACAAACATGTTATGAATATAATGACTCGACCTACCTTAGGCCCCTTGTAGACTCTCTTTCTCTACCCTTCGCACTCAGTGCTTGGGATCGTGATTCAAAGACGTGAGGATTCTTTTCACTGCGTCAAGCTTCTCAACGGGGTTAACCATTGCATATATCGTTCCATCGCTACAATGGATCAGAAACACGTCCTGCCAACTCGTGTCCGCGACGCAGCAGACACCACCACTCTGACTCTGGAATCTGGTGATCCGATCCAAGCCGACATGCCCCAAAGAGCATTTCGAGCTCGTTTATTCGTGCCTTCGAGTCACATGTGGCAACATTCTATAGGTCCGTACATTTGATGACTTGGAATGTACCCAAACTCATTCTGCCTATCATCACAACATCGGCTCCCTTTTTCAAATGATATCTTTAAGATCACTACTCCTCCTTTGGCCACAACAGCTCCCGTTTCCAGATGCAGCGGATCATGGTAACGAATATGACAGCCCAGACAAGAACCAGCAGTCCAGTCATGGCACATCCAACGATCTGGAGCGGCCTGCAGCTGAAAGCATTTGCTATTTGATAAGTTGCGGTTAATAGCGCCGTGTTGGGGAAGACGAAAGAGAAAAAGGTCATCTGGAAGCCGATCTTGGCCTCGTGTTCTGGCCGGGCGTACTTCCAGAAGCTACCAACGGATACGAGGAAGAACCTAGACCAGGCCCGTCAGCGGAGGAATGGAGTCGTTAACATGGGCTAGGTAGCACTGACCAAACAGCGAGTCCCCATAACCACAGTCCGATCATGGCAGATAATAGCTTCAGGATGAAGACAGCGTGACTTGTCATACCAGGCATCATAAAGTCATCCGGAAGAATCTCGCCCGCCAGCCCGCCAAGTTGGACTGCGAAGGAGGCCGGTCAGCTTAGTCGCTGGCCTCCGTGAAAGGGGATGTGCGTGGTGTCGATGAGACTTACCCAGCCCCGCCGCGGTGAAGGCACTAGGTCCTATCGAAATGAAGACACCAGGCCGCTGCATATCCCGTGGCAGTTTCTGCGTCATGAGTCTGTAAACAAAGGCGGCAAGGATCATAAAAGATAGACAGAACCCCATCCCCTGCACAGCAACTGCAGCCATAGCTATGGGTAGCGCGTTGAGGGTGCTGGTATGCCCAGCCTTGACGGACGAGTTGATAAGATTGCCCGCAAAAGGTGCTGTTATCAGGAGAGGGTAGGCAGGGAATACCCAAACCGGGGTCATCGTATGGATGGGAAAGATGCTGTATGGTAAGGTCAGATATGATCAGGACTGCAGGGGATGACGTTGCAGAGGTGTGCTTACAGCGTAGACCATAGAATCAAATATATACCGGCGCTGATAAGGATAGCTGCTACTGTCCATATCCAGAAGAGGGCCTCCATTGTGGTAAGAAGCCATGGGCCAGCCTTTGGGACGCCATATTGGCAGATATTTATGAGAATGGTGCCGATGCTTTGCTGAAGTCAGTTGTAATGGTTTCCCGATCTCAGACTGTCAACTCACGAGACAAGCTAGGATTTAGTCAGCGATGCCACACTTACACATTCTACATTGCGTTTTATGAACTCACAGAGGCCGGGATGAAGAGGGACTCAAACTTGTCAGTAAAGGAGTGTCTAAAGCTCCCAGGCCGTAGACGGAATCTCGCGAGAAGAAGGGCAGTGTTCATGAAGAACAGACAAAGATTGAAGACGAAGAAGATGACTCCAACAATGTAAAGCCATTGAGAGCGGAAGGGAACTAAGCAGGCCAATATTCAGCGTCGTCCGGAATCTCTCGAGTAGCGCCTGTTGCTGTTGTTTTACCGGATGCAAGGACATTGGCAACACCCCCTGTTGCCATTGTTGATGTGAACCACGTCCATTGGAAGCAAGCGATTCTGTCTTTGATCCCAACGGCCTTCGGTACATCTGTCTTCTCGACTTTGGAAACCAAATTGTCCAAGGCCGCATTCTGCCTCCGTTGTGTCTGCTCCAGCTCACTCAACCGGTGGAACAAATGGTTTGCGGCCATGTCAGACGTCACGGTGCGATCGACCGTATGCTCTGTCGGAGACTCATAACCGAGCCCGGTAGAGTATGGTCGAGGGGGCGTCATATCTCAGGGTCCGACAGTTCCTGAAAACGCGGCAGGAGTTTGGAGATGATGTACAGAAGAATGGCTACCTCCGGGTCTGCGTAGCCTATGGCACCATGAAAGTTGATCAGGCTGGTCAAGAAGACAACCAAATCCAAGCCAGCTGTCGATAGTTCGGCCAGGGTCATCGTCGTTGGGTCACGCCTCCACTGCCCCTCAGTGTGCCAGCGGTTGAGCAAACCAGAATGCAATGCTGAGAGGAGACAGGCAGCGAGGTATGTACAGTGTAATTAACGCCTCTTTCCGAGGCTGAGTTGGCTCGGAGGAAAGGGGGGCAGCAGAGCTTGTGTCTGTAGTGGCGGTGGGTTGCCGGGGTCTAGTCGATGCGGATCTCGGGAAGGGCGGGGTGGAGGCCCAGTTTGCCGAAGTAGAAGACCAAGAACTGCGGGTGTGCAGACTTCAATGTAGTCTATGTATATTTCGTCCAAGTGGATCCTGATTTGTGTCGTGAAATGGGCTGTCGTGGTTGAGATCTTTACTGTGCACACGTACTGGTGATATTCAAAGGCCTGGTTTCTCTGCAGTGCTACTGTACTGTATAGGACGGCCATAACATTTCTCACTCAGTCGGCGAAACCTCGCCGTGTTCCACGCCTCCTAACAGCATCACGGCGCCCAACCATCTCGGAACAGCGCAAAGATTGACCAACGAAAAGAAGATGTGTTTTTCTGAAGCATGATGAGTTCTAATACAATGGAACTCGGACTTCCTGCCGTTGGAAAAGACCTTGAAGTGAAGATTCGCGATCATCGCTTGGTGCTTATCTGCGATGATTTGACATCGCCACTGTTGCCGCCACCGCATCGGAACTCAAGTCGGGCCGTCAAAGACGACGTCGTGCAGTACCTCTAATAGGCGCCGTTCAACTTTAACCTTCTAATACGTGCCCACCTGGACAGTAAGAACCTCAGGTACCTGCCTACCTACCTCCCTACCTAGGTAGGAGGTAAGCACGGTAGGCAGTGGGTGCACGACCCTCCTTCCCCCAGAGAGCGCCTGCCATACGACACTTGTCGACGTGAGCACGTTCGTTGGTGGGAGGAAGGAGCACCTGAGATCCTGTTGCGTGGCGCCCCTGAATCCTTAACCATCTTGAAAGCCATGTGTAGGTGGTCTTTCCTCGCCTAGGCTTCTTTCCTCCTCACACATCCAGATTCTCTATTTCAACTGTCCTCGATCTTCAGCGAAAGGCCCTCTATCATACCTAGGTACGACGAGTAGGCCTAATACCTCCCTAGGTATCCAAAGGTAGATACCTGTCTTCATCTCCGTCTGCCACTTCCCCTGACGCCATCAACGCTGTGTCCACTCCAGGGCATAGCTCTCCTCTCTGCGTCTTCGGTGGCGATGAGCCTGTTCCAACTTTGGCACGAGTCTCTTTTGTACAAAACATGATCAAGTGTGATCTTCGGTAAATATCTGCTGTCTCAGAACCACTTCCATTCAGGTTCAAAATCTATTCCCCTCCTGCCATGGCTTCAGAAAAGACTGTCGATTTCGGGAGCTTCAGCATCGCCAGCAAGGCCGACAAGGATTTCGCCCTTGATGTGTCCACGTCAATGTCTCTGTCACTTCCAGGACATTTTGTAAATCATCTGACCGCAAAGGATTTGCGGGATCAAGTGAGAGCGGGAACCTTATGGCTCACTCGAGCAAGTTCCTGCCGACTCACTTTGACAATCCATTTCGAGCACCCGGCCGGGATGTCAGTCCACGGGGACGCACAAAGGAGACAGCTTGCCATCGACGCGTTTCAATCACTCCCGGTGTGTTGACCTTTCCTTGTTGGCTATCTCCATGTTTAATACTGACAGGGGCAAGGTCTGGCGTGATTTGGGTCTTGAGCTTCGCCTGGAACTGAACGTACTCCAAAATAACAGAACTCCTTCTACGACCTCGGTATACTATATACAGCATATCCAACAGCATTCGGGCCTGTTCGTTCCGCAAGATGTTCCCTGCGGCTACCTTTCCGAGTTTTCCTGCAGCTTTCGATTTGCGGCCAGGTCATCCAGGGCGCCTGGGAATGTTGAGGAATCCGTTCCTCGATCGAGAACCCACACACGTTACAATCTCCGAAAGCTAGCTGGAGCATCAAGTGAACCACGCTCTGTACATCCCGCGACCTTTTGGGGCCTTCCCCTAGACGTGCAGGCGGAGAGAGTGGTGCGTCTGACACACAATGCATTGAATCTTATGCTGGGTATGAGAAGGAGGTGTCTGGGTATCTGGTGCTTGAAAGGGACCAAGCCACCGGCCCTTCTTGACCTTGCGCCGGCCGTTTGGAATGCACAATACTTTCAGGTCAGTAAATGCGACAGCTCTTCGTCTTGGAGTCTAACGAGGAAATTCAGAACGTTGTCACTCGGGCACACTTGATTCCAGCAATATCCTCCGCGCTGGGAAATTTAATGAGTACTCAGTCGCCAGTACTCCGGCGGAAGGTTGAGTCACTTGTTCCGGAACCAGCCGCAGGCTCAGGGCTCGACAAGGTGTTAGATGAGCTCCACGGAAGGACTCAGATCCTGCTCTTAAGGTCGGCACGAGATCAGAAGATCAAAACTTGCCTACCGAGGGTTAAAGCCCCGAGTGCTCACCCTACCGGCCTTATCCTGTCTCAGGAAGGCTCCTCTGTACCAAACACGCCCACAGGTAACGACTTCACCAACTTCGCCAGCCTAGACCTCGTTAAAGAGACTCTGCACGGGCAGAATGGTGGTCAGTCACACGAGTCCATCTCAGGTCTTCCTGATAATGGTCTGATGCATCTGGAGTCTGGGAGAAGCTATGGCTTTGCAACAAACAGGACAGGCAGCGCTGAAAGCGACGGGATCGATCTCGCCCCTGAAGAAGGTTACATGGACAGCGATATGGAAGGTGTGGAATGGATTGATGATGATGCGGTTTCTTATACGTCGGAAATTCTTCCGGAGTATGGCGACCTGTACAGTGAGCATTATTTGGGGGACGAGGTCCTTGATCTGACACACAGCGAGCAAGAATATCAAGAGCAACACCTCGCCCTCGACGACGATCACCAGGAACATAATATGGATACCGCGGACTTCTATGATGAGAGCGACTGTTACGGCTATTACTACGAGGTGCCAGACATCGAAGGAGGAGTGCAACCCACTGCACACGATTTCGAGGATTACTCTGTCAAGTCAAACCGTTTGGTGGATACTGAGGACGACTACTCAGACTTCGTGGCAGATGAAGACGAATTCATTGATGATATCCACGAACGTCTCCGCGATCATGACACATATTTTGACAAGGGCCCAAACGATCCGTGGGAAACCAATGATGACTTTATCCAAGGGGACATGCTTCAAAGGGGTGATCTAGACCAAGAGGCGGGTCCCGACTACATTACCACGGGACATGTTCACCACAACGACCAGGCGGAAGAAGCTGAAAGCAACATGAGGGTCGGATGGCACAGCCAACTGCTTCAAGACCGGAGCCAGGTGCCTAGAAACTATGCGTACCATGGTACCGAGGAGCAATGGGCATATCCTGGACTGCACCCGATCGCCTTCGCTAGCAGGTTGGCAGATTATCAATAGCTGGGCCGCGGCGCATGCGAACATCGGACCAGGTGGCGCAGATGACATTGGAAAGAATTATCTAGGCCGGTCAGTGGACGCGCATCTTGGCATGGCGCGGTGCATGTACTATGTAAAGATGCAGCAAGATGAAAAGGGGCCTGTTTAAGGCGAACCGCCAGGACCGCCGACCAAGTCAGCCGCCCTGTTGTTGGCAGGGGTGTGTTTAGGTGGAATGTCTGGATGAAGCTCAGATTTCAGCTCGCCGGATCTGTTGGCGTGGACTTTGTTGCCCCTGACCGGGTAGAAAGTGGGGTTGATGGGTGCAAGAAGCAGCACCTTGACAAACAACCTTGGAAGTGCCTTGGGCTCGAGGAAGCCGTGTACGACACGCCACACCGGCACGTACATGTGGACTACTACCTTGGGACAGAGAGACATAGACTACACACAACCAACCATTCATCAAAGCCTCGCAGGCGTGGCGGTTGGCTGATTGCTGCAGTGACAGGCAAAATCAAACCCGTGGCTTGCTCGCTTGACGTTGGTTGAGAACCAAGTACCTGTACCTACCTCTCTTGGCCCTGCATGCTGGATCCCTCACCCGCCCTTGGCGGCATGAGCTTCAGGTTGCGCCGTTTCCTGATACCAATCGAGGGGGGGGCAGGACGTCCAGGCAGTGGACTGCAGCCGACCATTGCCAGCTGCGACGGCCTCAACCTCGTACAGCTACCTACTAGCGATCTCTGGACGGCACTGTACCACCTGCGGTGCGGCCTTGTGTGCATAGAGGTATACATATATAGTCTATGTACACATATATATGTATCTTACCAAACACGTAAAGACATCTAATTCTGACAAGGCAGGCAGGGTATCTTCCAGGGTGTCTTTCTAGTTTAGACTGTGGGCAGGCTGGGCAGCAGAGTGCGAACGAAGCAAAGGTGCGGCAGCTCATGTGTTCGTGTGCGTGTGTTTGTGGGCGCGCGCGCGTGTACACCACAACCGCAGCGACCCTGGAACCCACCGAGCTTTCTCACACTGCCAGCGCCGGCGGGCACGGAACACCTCTCTCGACTCTCCTCGCCCGCCTACCGCCCCATACAGACCAGCTCCCTCTCTCCTCAACTGCACGGTGCCCAGTGCCCAGTGCCCAGTGCCCAGGTGCGCTTGATTGCCCGTCCTTCTCCCACCCAGCGGCCCGGATCTGCCAGTGAGTGAGCCCCCTTTGGTCCGTCAGAGAGTCACGCTGTGGGCTGCTGCACGAGGTGGCATGATGCCTCCCAACGCGTGCGAGTTCGTGTTCGCATGTGAAGGCATCCTGCCAGTCCACCCTCGCCCTCGCCCTCGGTGACCAGCAAGCTTACGGTAGCATCTCACCATCAGCAGCAGCAGCAGCATCCTCCACTGCCTGCCAGCCCTAGCCCCTTAGCTCTGCGGCCTTCCGCCCATCCCCCCACGCCCGGACAGCCCCCGAGTCCGCTCCTTCGTCGGTCGCCAGCCCCGAAGACCCACAGGCGACGACCTCCGTCCTCTGCCGCCCGTCGTGAGCAGGAGCAGGCCGCCCCTTCGCGCCTCCCTCGCGCCTCCCACCCCCTAAACCGACCACATCTCCCGTCGACACACCGGCGCGCGCCCCGAACCAGTCGGCATATTCCAATCGGGCTGGGCGCCCCAACATGTGCCTGTGCCTGTTCCTGTGCCGCAGCCCTGGTCGCACCCTCGCAGAGACTCGCTGAAGGGACCAACACACACCAGGGGTATCCGCTATCCGTACTCTGGCCCTTCACAATTACACCCGGTTCCTGGTTCTCGCAAGAGCCCCCGTGGACACCTTTCGGCATACATGGCACGACAGGCTGGGTCATAGCTAAAAGATACGCGCCGTTTGGATCAAAGGGGCAGACAGACAGCACGCCAGGCCAATACCCTCCCGCCCCCCCCCTCTCTTCCACCATGGACACAATAAACATCGCCATAATCGGGGCCAATGGCGTGGGAAAGAGCGCCTTCCTGCAGCAGGCCCTGAAGATGTCCAGGCCTGCCAACATGGGCGTCGTCACCTTCAACTGGACCGAGCCCGATGGCTCCCAGCATACCGTCAACATGTTCGAGGTCGACCTGGAGGCCTTCGACCTGGGCATGAACGAGCCCATCCGCTGGCCCAAGCAGGCCAACGGGATGCTTGCCCCTCGCATCGATGGTACTTTGGTGCTCTACGACGTCATGAACAAGGACAGCATCACCCCGCTGCCCCAGACAATATGTGAGCCGTCCCTCGCCCGTCACCCGTCTCCGTCTCCGTACTATACCGCTCCCGTTAGGTACTAAGCCACACGACAGCCTCTCTCTCCCTGTCCAACTATCCCGTGGTCCTTGTCGCAACGAAATGCGACAACCCCGAGGAGGTCAGGGAGCTCGACACAACAAGCGTCGCTGCCGCATATCCATCCGTGGTGGCCAATTTCACCACCTCTCCAACCTCTCCGAACACTACTAGGGACTGTCTTCAGGTCATATTGAGGGCCGTCGTGACCGGCCGGAAAGGTACTAAACTCCATCCCCCATCCCTGTGTCCCGAGCCCCGAGCTGCTTCTATTCATGGACCTCCCCCAAGCCAAAGTGCCCAAGGATCATGACTCATACTTCACTCCCCCCAAAGCCGACTTCCATCACCTCTGAGCTGACGTGCATGCTATCCCAGGAGGTGATAAGTCGGATGCGGCCAGCCAAAGACGGCGTGCCGCCTCGGCCGCGAACCTGGAACCCACGGTAGACCCCCTCAACAACGGTCGACCCGATTCGGTGCATAGCAAACACAGCAGGGCCAGCTCCGACCTGTCATTGCTTAGGGGGTTTTCGCAGCAGTCGAGCGATAGGGACAGTTACTACCGAGGGTCGGCAGCACGCTCGCCCAGAGCGTACCCAGGTCAGGGTCTGGGACAAGACGAGATGAACCCGACAGTGTCAAGCCAGTTGCGGCAGACAGGCGTGCGTTTAGATCTGGGGGCGGAGCCGTTCTACGAAGTCGAATCAGATGTTGAGTCCTTCCGCACCTCAATGACGGACGATATGCCGATATTGCAACGAAGCGATGAGAGTTTCATGGACCGTCCCACCAAGATGACCGGCGTGGCATTCGATGACCTCGTGGACAGGCTTCTGGCGCCGAGGATGACGAGGGCGGACAACAACTTTGCGGACATCTTCCTGTGCCTGTACCGAAAGTTTGCTGCGCCAGGGCAGCTCTTTTCCGCGATTCTCACCAGGCTGGAGCGGGGCAAGGAGGACAAGTCAGCACACTACCTCAGCAAGAAAGCGACGCAGATGCGCATAATCGAGGTTGTGGCCAGGTGGGTGTCTCTTTATCCTGGCGACTTTGCCAGGCCGTCGACCAAGAAGACACTTGAGCGCTTCATCAACCACCTGGCAAGCGAGCCGGCCTTCAGTGCAGCCGCCGGTCAGATGAGGGTTCAGCTCGACACATATGTGGTTGAAGACGATGATACGGCATGGGCACAAGCAGATGATCCACCGGAGGATGCCAGTGTGGCCAGCTCACATAAATCCCAGGATCTTGAAGTGCCGATGGCCTCATTGAGCGTGGATGACCAGCTGTCGGCCGAAATGCGGCGACCCTCACAGGGCTCTGAACTATCACATGTCGAGCGAGACTACAGCACAGGGGAGACGAACTATCAGTATCATACTTATGGGGACTACGAACGCGAGGCGGCAAAAATGGTCCCTCAGGCTACGCTGCCTCTAAACAAATTCCGCTACCACATCTTCATGGACACGAACCCAGAAGACATCGCCGAGGAGATCACCCGCATCGACTGGATCATGTTCAGCAGCGTGCGTATCCGCGACTGGGTGCGACATGTCAGCCTGTCGAGTGCAGAGAAGGAGCGATGCCGGTCGCTGAGAAATGCGAACCGCCTGATCGCGCACTTCAACCATGTCGCTAAATGGGTGCAGAACATGGTACTGATCCGCGACAAGGCAAAGCATCGCGCCCCATGCCTCGAAAGATTCATGATCATCGCACACAAGCTGCGAAAACTGAACAACTACAACGGACTAGGCGCCGTGGTCGCCGGCCTGCAGAACGCTAACATAGCGCGCCTCCACGCAACACAGGCGCTCGTCAGCAAGGAGGTCTGGAAGCAATACCAGAGTGCTGAGAAGCTAATGTTGAATACCAAATCGTCGTTCGCATACCGCCTGGCGTGGGAGAACAGCCCGCTCCCCAGGATACCGTACATGGCGCTCCACCGGAAGGATCTGACGTTTGCTGAAGAGGGCAATAAGACGCTTGTGGGGCCAAATGGGGACCGAATTAACTGGAAGAAGTTTGAGATTCTTGGGGAGATCTTGTTACCGATCATGAAGAGCCAAGGGGCACCGTACCCGAACCTCCTCAAGAAGCATGAGGTCAGCCGGGACTTGATCTTGGACTGCCGGATGGAGCTGGATGAGGATGTGAGTATTCATTCTGTTTGGGAACACACTGCAAGCCCATGCACGCACACAAAGCTGACAGACACCCGCGATAGGCCCTCTACCAGCGCAGCAAGCAAGTCGAGCCCGGCATCGGGGGTACAGGTGGTGCGGCCGACCTAAAGAAGAAGACGATGGGTTTTCTGAGGGGCGGGGTCTGAGGGAAGACCTCAGGGGCGGACGGCTGATTGGATTGATCTACGCCGAGGAATTTATCTTTCACATATGGAAGCTGGAGTCTTCTAACTAACTAAACATACCTTTTTTCCGACTTGCACATAGAGAGGAAACATGGGTAGCGGAGTGTCATGGGTCTTTTGTTTCGTTTTAGTCAAAGGCATGTGTGTGTGTGTCTGGAGCGCTCAGGTCTTTTTCGGCCCAGCCTTTGTTAATACACTATTGTCATCTCACCGTCCAATGTTTATCCGCAAATGCTCTCCCTGACTGTTGCAATTGGTTCTGTTTCGAAATTCGAGCATACGCTGAGCTCAATGAACGGTACTGCATGCTTGCTCTACTCGGCGTCACTTCGAAAGACGCCTGGAGGCCGAGGTTGAGAGCACTGCGGAGGATGGGAATAAAGGGGTATCGTATTTCATGTTCATGTGCTGTGTGACATGGCGTACATCTATCTCACGTATATACATTGACGCCTCACTGCTCGGTGCTATGGCCTATACTGCACCTTAGCTGGGGCAGTAGGCCCGTTCTGATGTTCCCACGCTTCCGAGCCCACGTCGGCACCGCCATGCTTCGAGAGGACCGCGTCGTTGTCGAAGTGGTTGCTGGTCTTGGTCGGCGTGTACGTCAGCTCCACCTCGTGGTCGACCCGGATGAAATTCTCCTGGGACCCGGACCCGGAGCCCGAACCAGCCGCGGCGGCCCTCCTGAAGGCGCTGCTGGCCGCGGTGCCGCCGCTACCCCCCTGGACGGCGGCGGCGGCAGCTCGGCTGCCGCCGTTGACGGTTCCGCCCCAGGAGCCGAAGAGCCAGCCGTCCATGACGGGGAGGCTGGCAGTGATGGTGCCCATACAGAGATCAAGGCAGGTCCAGACGAGGATGTCGGTGTAGCTCCACGTCGAGTCCTTGGATATGGTCTGCAGCTGCTGCAGCAGGCCGCCGATGACGCTCAGGGCGCCGGCGGCCCAGATCAGGAAGAGCCGGGCCTTCTTCTGCCAGCGCATGCGCACGTTCCACAGGATGACGACGGGGGTTAGGAGCAGCAGCACGCCCAGGGCGAGGTGGGCGACTCGCAGGGTGCGAACCGAGAGCGTGTTGTCCAGGCACGAGGCCGGGCTGTCCAGGCTGCCGGCGTACCAGCGGTCCCAGCTCGCGCGGGGCGGCTCGCAGAGGAGGACCTGCCAGAAGACGGCGAGCAGGACGTAGGCGACCTCGAGGGCGAGGAAGAGGTCGGTGATGATGGTCCAGAAGCGGGAGATGCAGTCGACGATGCGCCGGATGAAGAGGGTGATGGAGATCTTGATCAGGCCGACTGCGATGTAGAATATTATCTGGCAAACGCGGCCGTAGTAGGCGTAGACATTGTACTGCGCGTACGTCACCTCCCAGACGTGGTGGCCTGCTCCGCCCTGGACCACCATGAGGATCTGGAGGATCGGATATGTGACTGCGATGGACTGCGGGTCGCCTGAGGTCAGCCTTGTTTCCTGACTATTTCCACCCGAGCCGGGTGCTTATGCCGTCTTTCCCCATTTCTGGCATGCGAATAATGCTTGCACAGGCTGGACGTATAAATACGTATAGTATGTATAGTCCTCAGCCCACAACCACACACACCAGGGGCAGCATGCTGGGGGGGGGGGGGGAGTCTTACAGCGGCGGCCAATATAACCCAATCATCCGACCCAAACACCATCTTTGTACTGTAATACCTGAGTGCGAGCCTCGTAGCCGTCACCACAGATATCAGCAGTATGACGATGACCATGCCGGCGATGATGCCCGGCTGCTTCGTCTCGTACACATGTCCCGCGGGCTCTTTCGGTACCGTTATCCACCCCCTGCTGGCATTCGCACCGAAGAGCCCGACCGACCGAAAGATGCCCCGGACGATGAAGAAGTCATCTTCATTGTTAGGCGGGTTGCCGAGTATGGCGGAGCTGTTGCTGCTCATGGCGGGAATCTGAGCAGTCGACTTCCACGCAGTCGAGTTCTGAGCAGTCGACTTTTTGGGGGTGGGTGCCAAGGTGGGAACAATGCGGAAAAGATGGACCTCCCGGGAGCCACGACCCCAAGTATTTTTATCGTCGGCAGAGTTGCCCAGCGCTGATCACTGACGGGGCCCGACAGCTTGGGTGGGCAGGTTGTCTTTGGGTTAGAGAGGACACCTTGGACACAAATGGGCCATTGTCCCGGCGGGAAGGAAGGAAACTCAAACACTGCCTCTGAGCCTCAGATATGAACCCCGTTTCAAGATCCGCCCGGGTGGCTCGATGGGCGCACGAACACACTGAAGAACGGTTTGCCGGGCTGGCGAAGTCAAATGTCCGGAAAGCATCATGGTTGGACCAGGACTGGAGACTTGTCGAGGGTTCTGCCTTCAGCTGCCGGGCGCTGGGCTCCACAATACCAGGTTTCTTGTTGAACGCAGGGCGGCCTTGACGGTGGCAGACCTTGCAACACAGCCCGCAGGGGTGCTCAAACTTTACGTACGAGGTTAATAACAGAACGTACGTGGATACAGGGCGACCGAGCTAGATCGATCCACCTGGCGGCACGCAACAAGATGTTGGCGCCACGAGGAAGCCCTCCCCACAACACCACGGCGCATCAGGCTACAGGACACAGGACGATATCTCACGGGCACGTCATCCCGCGAGACTTTGTGTGTGTCCCGTCCCGCAAGCCACGCGGGAAGGGCCTGATGGTGTGTGGTGTGGTGGGCCAAAGGTAGGCTGGGCAAAGTTAAAGGACTCCCGGCGTTTTGCCGTCGCCTCATTCATAGAGCGCCCGGGAAATCGCCGGCAGTGGAGACTGCAGTTTTAACCGGGCCTGGACCACGGCGAGCTCGGCCGCCATCAGACCTGGGCTGAGAGGCCGGAACATGCGGCATGGCGACCTCGAGGAAGTGAGGCTTGGAATTTGCGCGCCGAGGCCGGTCCCGAGTCGTCTCGACTCGATGGTACGAGGCCCGGCTCCTGCCGCTCTGCCATGAACAGCACGTATTTATTTTTCCACGTCGCCGGCTGTCGAGGAAAATGTCGAGGCCCCCGTGGGCGTGGCTCTGCGCGGGTAAAAGTGGGTGACTCGTGGTGGTTGAGAGCTGCAAGCCGAGGCGAGTGTGGACACAAACCCCCTGTGGGCGTGGGCACTCACTGCTGGCGGACCTCCGAGGGTCGGTAGCTGGTAGCTTGGTAGCTGGCCATGACTTCTTTGGCAGACTCACGATGGGGGCAAAAAGCCAGCCAGATACCTCGGCCTGGGACGAGCCAGCACTTGCACCAAAGGCTCCGGCCACCCAGAAAATTGTGCATGCGTGGCCCGGCGGCCTGCTCCGAGTAGTCGGATCCGATGGAACCCCCCCCCCCCCCCACATTCAAGGTCTTTTGCCCGGGGTGCCAGCGAGGGGCGCGCCTGGCACGGCTCATCTCCGAAAACATCGAGGGGCGGGCCCCTTTGCGATAGGGGCAAGTGGCGGCGGATGGAGACGATGGATCTTTGCCAACAGGGTCCAGACTCGCCAAAGCTCGACCTGATCAGCAACTGGAGCAACTGGAGCAACTGGGTCCTGCCGAGGGTGGTGAGGAGGCCGTCGCTTGTCTGCGATCCAATTGCCAAAAGTCGCTACACCAGCCGCCATCCCGGCCGCCCGGGTTCTCGCATGCTCAACGTCTGAGTTGAAGACCCGCGGCTTGCGGCCATCACCAACCTCTGGCAAGCACCGCACCCAGACCCTTCCAACCCCAGCAGAGTCCCTTGCCATGGCGCGCCACTCCCTCGGTTCCCTCCTCAGCTCGGGCCTGGCCCTGCTCGTGGGAGGCTCACTCGCCGCACGTCTCCCTGGCCGGTCCGACAACTCCACAGCCGACTGCACGGGCGTCTTGGCCCTCAGCCCCAGCTGCAGCTCCGACCAGGCGGCATACGCGAGGGACGTCTTCTACGTCGGCGGCCGGTATTACGAGGACTCCAGCGGCAACCGCACCACGGATCAGTTGTACGTCGAGAAGCTGACGCCGGCCGCCGTCACCCAGCCGAAGCCGGTCGTCTTCTTCCATGGGGGTGGCACGAGCGGAGTGTCTTGGCTCAATACGCCAGACAGCAGGAAGGGCTTTGGTTCGTCTTTTCATGCTCTGTTCTGTTCTTTTCTCTTTCCTCCTGGAGCGAGACATGATGTCTCTCGTAGCTGTTAGAGTGGCCTTTGAGATCGTGAAACGAGCCTGCCGCTCACAAGGGACGGTCAATGAGCATCGTGTACGTCTCAAAGGCTGCTTCCTGGCTTCTGGAATATATCATGCAGCGAGGAATGGACCTGTGCTGACAGAATGACCAGCCTCATACTTCATTGAGCAAGGCTACCAGGTCTACGTTGTCGACCAGACCTCAGTCGGTCGCAGCACCCAGCCAGACCTGAACAGCTACCCCTTGTCAGCCAGCACGACGGTCGAGAACACCGAAAAGTCCTTCTCGGGCTCTCAGCACTTCCCGGAGCTCTACCCCCAGGCCGTGCTGCACACGCAGTTCCCCGGCACCGGCCTGCGAGGCGACCCGTACTTTGACCAGTTCCAGCGGGCCGTGATCCCCTTCTCCACCAACTCCACCGGTGTGGAAAACGTCATGAGGGAGGCCGGCTGCGAGCTTCTGTCCATCATCGGCCCTTCCTACCTCGTCTCCCACTCCGCGGGCGCCATGTACCCGATCCTCATGTCCAACGACTGCGGCTCCCTCGTCGCGGGCAATATCAACCTCGAGTCGTCCACCACCCCGTTCTTCTTCCCCAGCACCGGCTCCCTCTCCGGAACCACCACGCGCAACTGGGGCCTGACCGACGTGCCCGTCGACTACGACCCGCCCGTCTCGGACCCCTCGGAGCTGATCCAGGTCGAGGTCGGCAACGACACCCTGGCCCACCGCTCGTGCCACCTCCAGGCCGAGCCCGCGCGGCAGCTGCCCAAGATCAGCGCCGTCAGGTACCTGCTCATCACCAGCGAGGCGTCGGTGCACGTCACCTACGACCACTGCACCGTCCAGTACCTGAGGCAGGTCGGCGGCAGCCCGCAGTGGATCCGGCTGGCCGAGCTGGGCATACACGGGAACGGCCACTTCATGCACCTGGAGCTGAACAACCAGGAGATCGCGGCCGTCGTGCACGACTGGATCCAGGGCGGTGAGAAGAATGCGACCCTGACGCGCAGGTGGGCACGATAATGGGTGTATATAACGCGGGAGGAGATGGAGATATGTATACACTGGTAGTTTAATGTCTCAATATGTAATACCGTATTGGACCCATTCATCAGCGTGTTATGTCTCAGCTTCTCGCAATTTAAGTCACATGTTATATGAACTCCATATCTCGAGCCATTTGCATTTCAGACATTACCCATGTGAGGTAGGTTAAGCTGAAAACACACTAATAGACGCACACATAGACACACATATATCTGACTGAACACCTTAGGTACCTGTCACTGTGGAAATCAACTCAAAGTCAATGTCACTACACAGGACGTTTTGTCTGCTTTTACCTACGCGCCTGAAATCTGCCTTTGTCTCCTGCTTGTCTCACTCTCCGCCCTCGTCCTAACTGACTACGAGTCCCAGATTTCAAATGGCAAGCAGACCTCGAGTACTCTCAGCCGGAAGTCGACAAGAGCAAAGTGAAAGCAGACCGCTACTGTTTTCCCTGACCAGAACACGAAGCCACACGAAGCCCATCAAAGCGTCGTGAGTAGCAGGGTCTAATCCCCGCGGCCCTGTCTGGTTTTAGATGGTGCTAACCACTGATGGTCCAGTTTTCCCCTTTGGGGGAATTCGCAAAGGGACTAAGCAGAAGGGTGAGACCGCCGCGTCGCTCCGCCAACTGTCTTAGTACTCTGGACTGCGGTCTTCATCACAGGCTGCTGACAACGGATATAGTGCTGAGAGTTCCTTGCCTCATAACCGCTGTCACGGACAGCGACGACTGTTAGGTCAGGAGATGTGTCCGGCCTGTTCAGAAAATCTGTCGGCACATCTGCACGCCAAGTCTCACGCGGTCCTGCCAGGGACAGAGGGATTATAACCACCATGCACGATGACAAGGGCCCTGACCTGTTATGGTCGACAGTGTTCCGTATCAGCTGTTCCCCCATCAGGGCGACCGATGCTATCGCGGTGTCCAGAGGCCCTGTGCAGTACTTTCCTGGACGCTCTCCCTGCACTCCACGGCGCCCACCCCGGATGTTTGGACATTCGAGGCTGGATGTATACGGACACCGGGACACTTCGATCGATGCTGAGACGTCAAGCTTACAAACACTACTAGGCTACCACAACCCGGACAGCAGAAGGGAAGCGTAAATTGCTCTAACACCGCACAGGTAGAACCCAGCCGAGAAGCCGGGCCCGGTGTACCGGAACAGAAACACTCGAGCGTCGAGACCCGAACGGACTGGTCACTTGTCACTAGCCCTTTCCCCCGGGGAGATTTCGCGGGGCCCAACGAGGGCTCGAGGGTCTTCGTAACCGAGGGCGGCGCCAAGAAGAGCCTCATTGGTGGACAAAGGATGGCGTGAGAAAACCGCCGCCGTCCTACGAGTACATGTTTTTCCGCGGTGGTGCACATCTGCCCTTTGAGACAAGCAAAATCGGGCCACGGGTGTCCTCGCGTGCCAACTCTTCCTCTCGGTCGTGAACAAGAACACACAAGCAGACGGGCGGCTCCTCCCCTCCCTTCCAAAAAAGCAAGCCCGTCACGCGGGGCACGAGGGAAAATCGGACCAGATGGTTGAGGCGCACGTCAGCGGCCACAACCCAGGCCCTGCGAGCCAGCCGAGCCAGCCCAACCAGTCAGTCCAGTCGGCCGGCCGGCCACCTTTGGATGGGTGGTGGGCAAATTAGGCTAGGCGGTTTGACAGGTGTTGGCGGCGATCCCACCCAGGCCTTTTCCTTTTGGGACGGGGTTGGGAAGGAGGACGAGGGCAGACGCCCAATTGCGCAACTGTGCTTGCAAGCCTGCAGGCGCCATTTCTTGTCGATCAGAGCCTCTGATGCACGAGGGTCCGTCCCCCTCCTCGCCAAACCCCTGCCTCCCCAATGACACACCCACATGTACCTCGTCCCCCATTGAGCCTTTTCGCAAGGCAGCGCGACATCATTCTGCAGCAGCAGGACACGATAGTCTGGTCATCAATGCCGAACATTGCGGCAGCCGTGGCGGCGGCGGCGGCAGCAGCAGCAGCAGCAAGAAACACTTGCAGCAGGAAGGCTCGCAGGGGGAGGGCGAGGAGGAGGACGGGGGGGGGGAGGAGACTGGGAGTTGGCCCACGCACAAACGCACCAAAGCGGTCAGGACAGAATCACGATGCTGCTGCTGCCAATGATGCGCCCCTTGTGGCCTGGTGCATACCTTCTCTCGCATACCATTCGCATACCACCAGCATGCCATACCGTGGTACGGGTACCGCGCACGCACACACTCACACACACAAGATTTGCAACCGGACGGTTTCGCGACTCGTGAGCTCACCTTAGCTAACTACGGGTAGCCTACATACCTACATCACACCAGTCCACATTCTCTCAAGTCCCCATAATGGTTGGCGCCCCCATTCCCCGTCTCCCCAGTTGCCCCAGTTGCCCCAGTTGCCCCAGTGCTCCAGGCCCCGGGCCCCGGGTACCCCTTCTTTTTTCCAAGCTCGACGAGGTCACCGGACCCGCGCCTTTGCATGGCAGGCATCTGATCGCATTTAGCCGCATCCCTTGCTTCGATCCTGTTTTCCTTTGAATAGCTTGTAGTCCCCCCCCCCCAAGCCGTTGGTATTTCAAGCATTTGGCTCGCTCCTCGCCCTCCCGCCCGTACAGTAGTAGTAGTACCTGGCTTGCATGTGAACGATCTGCCCGTCTCTGTTCCTTTGTGCCTGTCTACCGACGCTGTCAACGACGCCGTCCAACCGAGCACAGCAGTGACCGTACACATATACTCTCACATAACTCTCACACTTCTTCACACCCACAACCTCACTCACACTCACACAACTCACGCACGCACACACCATGTTACACACGCATATCAGACCAACGGCAATGAGAGCCTCCAAGGTAAAGAGCCAGAGGGGCCCTTCAAAGAAATCACAGCCCCTCGACCCGGTCGATCTAAGCAGGCGCCTGAATATCGTCATTGCGGAGCGACAACTCGAAGATTTGCAGCTAGGCAAGAAGCCGCATGAATCAGAACCGGACCTGCTCAAGTCCCGGCGCACACACGACGTGCGCAGCAAAAAGACCGCCCCGCCTCCACAGGACGGCAACAAGAGGTCCTCCCTCCTTACAGCCCCAAAGACGTCAACAAGATGGGTCTTCCGGACAAAGCCCGTGGCCGACCCCTCCCCCCACGATTCGACCGACTCCAGCGCAACGTACGTCCACGTCCCACGGCAGCCCAACGTGCCATCTCAGCGCACCGCCACCATAAGGGCGGCGCGGAACCAGCCAGGCGCGAGGCAGGATAGCGAGGGGCTCGGACAAGCAGATAAATATTCTGTGGTGCTGGAGGAATGCTCCAGTGAGCCCGCAAGAGGGCGATCGGGTGATGCCAAGGAGCACTGTCCACCAGATTGGACGCAGGTTGATTCAGCAGGGCCGAAACCGCGGCGGCTGCAGCTACTCAAACGGATGAGCCCGATTGCTGTGCTCAAGTTGAGACTCGGGGGCGACGGCCCCGAGATTGAACAGGTGGCCAAGGTTGCGCGCACTCGATGCGACACCGCGATGGATGGGAGTCAAGCAGCAATGAACAGGAAATCCGGAGTCTTCTCGAAACTGCTGGCGCATTAGCAGGCCGGTGCATAGGAAAGGGGGAGATGCGGGAGACGAAATGCATAATGCACATACAATATTGAACTCTCCACGCCTGTGGTCACCTTTTTTGATGCCTGTTGAACGCGAGAGCGTCCTGATCATATATCTTTATCAAGGCCGCAGTACGGAATTGCGCAATTGGAGTATGAGAACCCGCATCTTGGAAATCAGGTCCACTTGGACTCCGCCTCTATCAGCTTCTCAATGAGCTGCACATCTTGTTTTATGACCTGCTCCCTCACCAGGTCGGTGACGGCACCCGTAGCCTCCTGCTTGGACAGCAGGTGCAGGACCAGCTCGCAGTACTCCCTCACGGCGTCCCCATCCTCGCCGGGGTCAGTCCTCGCCTTGCGCAGGGCCTCTTTGCCGCGGCGCAGGCCCAGGTCGTGCGTCCACCTCGGCTTCTTATGCTGGTAGCCAGGCGCCTGCTGCAGGTTCCAGGGGAGGCCGCCGCGGCCGGGCTGCTCCTCCTCGGGCGGCAGCGTCGCGACGTGGATGTTGGTCAGTTTCGTTGGGAGGCTGGGGTACCTCTTGAAGAGCTGCGCCAGCTCGGGGGAGTCGTCTAGGATGTTGAAGGGGTGGGCCTTGCGCTTATTGGGTCTGCTGTCGTCGTTGGTGTCCTGTTGGGTTGGTTTGGAGGGCGCTTGCGCGGGCTGGGGCTCGACCGGTGGGTGATTCTCCTTGTGGGGGCGGAAGCAGGCGACTGAGCAGCTTGAGGTTGGTTAGCAGACTGGACTTGGACTGGATAGGTCGGAGGACGTCGAGGGGCCGGTCTTACTAGGAAATAGAACATCGAGGGCATTTGTATTTTCCTTCTTGCTTCTCGCAGATCCCGCAGAGCTTGGGCTGCGGCTTTGGGGGTGGAACTTCCTCAATTTCTGCCGTTGGCGCGTCGTGCGTGGTCACGTCGTGCTGTGCTTCCCCGTGCTCTGCCGCCTCGTGTTCGGCGCTCTTGTCGGTTGGGGGCGCACAACCATCTTGGTCGTTCGGAGGGCCCTGAGCGTCCACTGACATGGCCGCGACTGCAATTTCAAAGAGTGATCGACAATACGGACGGTAAATCGCAGGCGGCTGTGTGCAGGTGAATTACGGGTTGGTCGTGTTGGAAGTGTTGGATGCCGTTGTTCTCGATGTGGGTGGAGGGGCGCGGCTGCTCTGAAATTTGACTTGCAGGACCGGCCATTTTTTAGCAGGGATCCCGGCCCCCCACACACGGGCTGCACACTGACTGCGCAACTGGGTGCTCAGAAATCTGGGGAAGCTCGGAAGATCGCAACGCCCAGATTTGTTATCAATAGGTCCCACCTCCACTGCAGCCCGGGCCAAGCAATGACGCATTTCTCGGGGCAAATAATTCTCGCGCATTTTGTAAGCAACGGGGCCTCTTCTTAACATCACTCCGCGGCCGCCGCTGCTGCCACTTTCCTACATTTTCCCACCCACCTACAAACCAGAACTTCTCAAGATGATTTTGAGGAGGATAAGCAGGCCGTCTGGCAATTTGCTGTCAGCGGCACGGCCGTCACAGACTCGCCCCGGCCCGGGCATTGGCCGGCTCTCCCAGATGCGATTCCACAGCATAGGCTCGACACATCCGCCCTTCGCAGCCGGGCAACGACCACAAGTCCCCACGGCGAGGTCCTCACTTCCCGGCATGCGGACCACCCTCGGTCGGCGGACAATTTTCATCCAGATCGAGCCCACACCGAACCCGGACGCCCTCAAGTTCCTCCCCAACCAACGCATCCTCCCCGAGAACATCAACACCCCCTTCATCGAGTACCTGAACCCACGCAGCACAATCTCGCCGCCCTACCCATCCCCGCTGGCTGCCCAGCTCATGAACGTCGACGGCGTCAAGTCCATCTTCTTCGGCGGTGACTTCATCACCGTGACCAAGGAGGAGGACGCGAACTGGGCACACATCAAGCCCGAGATATTCGCGCTGACCACCGAGGCCATCACGGGCGGCCAGAGCATCGTCAATGTCGCCAAGAAGAAGGATGGGGCCGAGGCGGCCGGCCAGGGGGTTGAGGCCGACAGCCTCGCTTACGATGAGAACGACGATGAGGTCGTCGGCATGATCAAGGAGCTGCTGGATACGCGGATCCGGCCGGCCATCCAGGAGGACGGCGGCATCGAGTTCCGCGGCTTCGAGGACGGCAACGTCCTGCTCAAGCTGCGCGGCGCGTGCCGGACGTGCGACTCCAGCACGGTCACGCTGAAGAACGGCATCGAGGGCATGTTGATGCACTACGTCAGTAACCCCCCCCCCCCTTTCATTTTTTTCTTCTTTCCCCTGGGAGACTGTCCCACCGCATATCCAGACACCGTGCTAACTGACCCTTCCAGATCGAGGAGGTTAAGGGCGTCACTCAGGTCATGGACGAGGAGGAGGAGATAGCTATGAGGGAGTTTGCCAAGTTCGAGGAGAAGCTCAGGCAGCAGAAGGGCACCGTGCCTCCCACGTCACCCGGCGCAGGGTCCATCGACAAGGTCGCTTGAGACTGCCGGACATCAGAGCCCTCGCTGCGAGCTCGCCTCTCGACTCTAACAGCATCTGTGCTTCACCTATATGTGTACCCTTGTAAAATTAAGGTAGGGCTGTCGGGATAGGCCCTGAAACGCAAGATGACACCATGGTATAATATTGGCGGTTCTAATAGACGAGACAAGGCATTCTTTTCGAGCTTCAAATTGGCTTTTGACTGCTGCATCAGACGACGGCTTGTCCTTCCACTTGGGTGAATACAGACGTTTCCTGAACGGCAACGCTGCCCGTAAACGAACACAGAACCGGCCATTTGGTCCCATCCTCGGCAGCAGGTCTGGAAACGATTAAAGGCACTGTGCGCTGATACGAACCGTAGAAAGTGAAGCAACTGCCCACCCGGCGGGATCGTTCTGCCGGGTCTCGGTGGAAGAATATCTTGTGTTTGACTGGCTGATCTTGTTCACTGTACATACGGTACCGGATGGCAAGAGTTGTAATGAAGGGGTTTGGCGTTTCATGATGAAGGCCAGAAACAAGGAGTCCGCTCACGGCATTGAAACTTAAAACTCAGCCATTGAAATTTCCCGTATCGCGACAGGCGCGAAATGTGTGAAGTCCTCTTCCTCACAGCATCCTCTGGGGTGACCCGTCGCAAACCTCCTGTCTCATGATCTACTCCCTCGTAACCTCCTATTACCTTATCCGGCCACTATGGGGCACGCCGTGAGAGCGTCGTAGTTTGATCTGCTGTCTGCTCCGGCCCGCAGAATAACGTGACACGGCCTGTATCACCAGCACTTGCGATTGGCCTGGTGGCGCCCAGCAGACGAGAGCAGAAAGGCAAATGCCCTGGCTTGTGATACACTCTCTCAGCATGCGTGACAGCGCCAGTGCTAAACTCCGACCGTTGTCGTCCTACGCAGAATCATTTAGGCCGGCATCAAAGACCTACATACTTGGTACTGAGATGCCGCCGCCGTACATGTGTGTTTCAAGATATAGTACGTGATCGACAGCCACAATCGGCGCTGCCAGAGCCGCGAAGCTATATGCCCCTTGCACCCCCGCCAGCGTCGGAGCCAGTCAACGACGCACAACAGATGTCATGGTAGGGAGGAAAGCTTTGCAGCTGATCATGCCAAGACCTCTCCGGTCGAGCCTACATACTAGGGGCGTCGACCCCAGGGTCGGGAGAGGAGAGCGAGGGGCCCTCACTGCAGGCCCGACCCCAGCATGTCTGTGCGACGAATCCGGGGTTTGAACGGATCGTCAGGATCGTGGGCCTTTGATCCCAGCTGGAACGGTAGTTGGATGCCTGTGCCATAATCCTACAGTCTGGTCACGTCGTCGGCGGGCGCCTCTGCAGTCCTTGTTTCGGGCCACAGCTAGGCAGTCCATAGGGCTCAAGCTTATGCATAAAAGGCAACCGGCTCGCCACCAGCCGTTTCTCAGCTCGGGTCGCAGTGGCCGGCCCGTGCTTCTAATTGGAAACGCGTGCTGAGGTCTGGTGTCTGTCTCTGGAGCAGGTCGGTGAAGGAATAGGATGCCCCATATCCAGTCGAGCCAAAAGCTGGACGAGGACGTCAAGCTGTTGCCTCGCTCCGCTCTGGCTGGCTTGCCTCGGTCCTTTTGGGGGAGGGGTGGCAGAGTGACAAAAGACGACCATCTGATGGCGGGGCCTATGACAAAAGGTCACGGTCAAGGTCAAGGTCAAGGGCACGGTGGCGTCCGCGGAGAACCAGCCAGCTGATGGCATCGTGGATTGATTGACTTTCCGCCAGGGTCCCTACCCCGCTTCGGAGGCCCGTCAAGCATGCTTGCGATTGAGTTGGGGCTCCCAAGACCCATCCCGGATCTCTGCTCGCATCGGGCGCGAACGCACAATGCTGCGCTGATCAACACTTGTGCGTCCATCATAGCACCTCTCAGCTGACAGTGCCACTTGCCCAAACAAGAGTTTCTCAAGAACGACCCAGACACCTTGGGCTGGATGCGCGCATCCAGTGCCTCATGCGTCTAGCTTGGAGGCTAGAGCAAGGCCCAGAGCGGCTCCCATGGGCCTGCATGGATGGGCAAAGCTCAACGGTGCCCCCTGGCTCCCGTCCTCAGACGAGGTGGACGGCGTGTGGCCCGGGCAGCGGGCAGCGGGCGCAGAGGTATACTGTAGACGGCCTCTGAGGTCGTCTGATGTCGCGGAGCTGAAGGGGAGCGAGGAGGGGCAAGAGCGGGAGGCAGTCGGTCGGTGGGCGGGCTAGGCCCGTCTCCTCTCGCAACCCCGTCGTCAGAATGAACTGAAGATCGTCGCCACGCGTCTACCAAGCGTCAGTAGACCACACATGGTGGCTTGTTTCCTGTCGTTTTCATTAGATATGCATAGGCCGCATGTAGCAACCGGCTTTCTCGGGTCCGACTCCTGCGGCGAACGGGAGGAAAGACTGGTGAATGCCGCGCGTGGCCCCTACATCGTAAAAGTAGCGTAGCAGGCAGGATAGGCGATTTCGAGTCTGCCGTCTGTCTGTCATCACGCTCGTTGCATGCAGCGGTTGGGATTTGGTGGCTGCCCTTGGCCCCCAGGCCCCTTGCTGCTGGTTGGGCGTGGCACGCTGGATCGACGATCGCCGCTAGACGGGATCATGCTAAGTGAAATTGCGGGGAAGCCTCGTGTGATTGGGCGCATGCAAGGCCCCTGGTCACATTTCCGAGTCTCCCAGCTTGAGGCCAGGGGGGTCCCTTGAAGTTTGGCCTCCTTCCTGTGCTGCTTTGTGCTGCGCTCTGCTGTGCTGGATGTTGCTGCCACAATGTTGTCAAACTCCTGTATCGCACCGTAACCGGCCGTGCTGAGGTTGCGCTGTGTTGTGCTCTGCCCGGGAGAGTGAGAGCCATGGCGGCTTGGGCCGTGCATTGCAAGCATATAGGATGCGAGCCTCGGCCCTATGCAGAGGAAATTTGTTCGCGGGCATGGATCTTGTTGAATGGGAATGAGTGGGAGTGAATGGGATGGGCTGACTGGCGAGGGACCCGTAGGAGCAGCGGCAGGACCAGGAGCAGGGCCAGAGGGCACGAGCACCTGCAGCTCCAGACCAGCCACTACTGCAATGGACCGCAGGTAGAACAGACCGAGTGGAGGAAAGGGGGGTATCAGAGGCGGAGGAAGGCAACGATGCGATGCAATGCAATGCATAATGGAGCATCTGGACTGGCCCGCAGCACCCTTGAAGAGTCCTACATCGCACAGTAGTGCCGGTGCCATATGGCACATACCGTCTGCCCACTGTCGATTGTGGTCAGATGCCACGGTATGGAGGGCGACGGCGACATATCCAGACAATTCCTGGCGGCATGGAAGGATAAACGCTGTCGAATGAGAGGCTGGTCTAGCGAGTGAGAGAGAGAGTACTCTCCGTACTGTACTGTACGTGCTTACTGGTTGTGACCCCCCCTTGCCCCCTTCCCCCCTCCCCCCGGGCCAGCGTCAAGAGCCGCCCGTTGCGGCAGAGAGACATAGAGACAGACTGTGTTCCGTGTAATCTCTACCGTCCACCCTTGCACTCCTCCTTTCTTGCCAATTTCAGCCTCAACCGAAGGTTGCCGGTCTCATGTCCAGCCAAGTCGGTGCAGATGGCATGGCATGGGCTTGGGCATGATTTAACATAGATGGACAGACATATGTATGTACGTATGTATGTATGTGTGTATGTGTGTGCATGTACAATATACCGTGTAGCACGTACCACAGCATTGCTCACCCAATACTTGGACCTACCTCGCAGGTACAGAGACACACATTTAGACGACAGAAAGACGTACAGATGGCGAGACAGCCCTGGCCTCCTCGAGTCTTGTTCCTCCTCATGTATGGGTGCGTGTGTGCACACGCCCAAGGAGCAGAATGCAAGATGCAAGATTCTCCCCCAAAGCCCCGAGTCTCGCGCGTCTCGTTGCCGTCCACGAATAACAACACAATATATTAATGAGAAGTGTGGTAAGCAAGACTATTCGGGTCGAGCTGCTTCGTGCCTGGTACAAAGTGGCTAGCCTTGGATCTCCCAGCCAGCTTTGCGAACCTTGCAGGGGAGCATTGACACCACTTACCAGTAAGGCCCCGGGGCTCTCCTGGGCGGGCTGGCGGGCTGGCGGGCACTCAATCGTCCAGAGGAGGCACGCGCCAGTTCTCCACAAGCGTCCCCCTGCGGGGACACCAGCCCGGGCTGACCAGTCACCTCACGGGCTGCAACGGCTGGGCTAGTAGGGGGGCCCCTCACCCACACACGAAGCGAAAGCCCCGCCCAGTCCTGCACTCGTCGTGCGCCGCTGCAGACGGGCTGGCGGGCTGGAGGGCGGGCAAGGCACTTGGGACTTGTGGAGTGCACGCTGGAGAGCGGGCGGGCGGGCAAGCGAGCACCTGGGCCCCGGGTTGAACCACTTCAGGTGCAGCTTCAGGTTGTCAGGTTCAGGTTTAGGTCCAGGTCCAAGGTCCGGGTCGGGTTGGGCTACCTACTACGGTAGGTTGGGTGGGCTGCCTTTTAACCTTTCCCAAGGTTGCCTTCCAATGCCTTGCCCTCTCCGCAGGTCCTCCGCAGTTGCAGGTGCAGGTCTGGCCCAAGCAGCTCTTGACTGGACTGGACTGGACTGGACTTTGACTTCCACACACGCACGCACACCACACGCTCTCACACGCACCTACCTCGACACATCTTCCATCCATCGTCCTGCCTGTCCTCGATCCACCCTTTCCACGTCTTCCCTCCTCCAACTCCCAACTCGCATCTGAGCCTCTCCCAACTCCCAACCTCTTGCCTGCTCCCACCTGACGACCTGATCGCCAGCCCTGCAGCACAAGACACACTCTTGCAGCGAGCTTGGGCATCACCCAGTCATCCGCCTCTGGGCGCGCCAAGGCAAGACACAAAGGAAGGACGACCTCAAAGATGGGCGCATAGATCATCGTCGCAAACCAGTCCCTGGGAAAAAGACAGACCCGCGCGCGAGGATCGTCATTCGAGATGCGAACGCCCTCCACTCACTTTCGATGAGCATCTTCTGAGGACCAAACCCACCTGATAGAGCTGCAGCCTGCCCCCTCCCCCTCAAAAAGTATCCGCACCCTGCCTCTACACCTACACAGTACACCTAGACAATCCTGACGACGATCGCTTCCTGTCTTTCTCACCACTTACCTGTCGCCATTGTCCCGTCGCATCTTATCCTCTGCTCTGGCTGGCAAGGTGGGCCGACTCGGACAATCCCTATTGTCTGGCCTCGAGTCAACACCTGTCGCATCAATTTATGAGCCTAATCATTTATTCTTCCGCTTCTCGTTCGGGCATTAGACCAGAGATCCAGAATTTGTCGCCCTCGCCGTAGCCCTCATACGTCGCAGCCAGGTACGTGTGTCCTCGTTGCCTCTGCACCCACCCACCCCACCAAATGCCCCCCCCTCATGACTCCAGAGCTATGCGACGACCCGAACCACCCCATGTTGGGTAAACTGCTAACAAAACGACTTCAGTCTCACCATCATCTGTCGTCGGCCTGGTCATCTTGTCGTCCCGTCCCGTGGCGTTTTGGTCGGCCCTTGGGCGCATCTGAGCATCTGGGTCCCCATATCGGTCATCGTGAGCCTCACCGGACCCCTTCGATTGGCTGTCGCCATACCAGGACTGTCCAACTCTTTGGCGCGCATCATCTGCCTCTAGGCTGTTCGATGTTCGGTTTTTACCACTTTCACTTCATTTTTAATATCCTGCAGCATAGACGATGAGCTCGGGTGTCACCAAATCTGGCCAGCAGAACAAGCCTGGTCAAGGTAGTCTGCCACCAGGTGTCGCTCCGAGCAGTCAAGCCATCCTGCTGGACAAGCTCAATGTCCGGCGAGCCACGCCTGACTCAATCTCTGAAGCGGTTGCCAGCTCTGACGACGAGGCCGAAGCCCATCGTCAAGATCACCTGCAATCTTTCCAGCAACAAAAACCAGTCCGCCGAACCTCTTGGTTGACCGAAACGTCGCCGGCAGGGATTCGCCCAAGGAAAGGCTCATTTGCGAGCAGCTCTATGTCGCCCACAGCATCGCACCCGAGCACCCCTTCTGCTGAGTCCGGGGCCGCAGCCGCAGCCTGGGGCTCCCATCCAACCTCAGCTACCGGAATAGGACGGCCCCAGCTTGGTTCTAACACGTTTGCTTGGGGGACAGGTATTTGGAACAACGACAGGAAGGAACCGCCCGCCCGCCTGGCTGAGGTGTTACCTTCACCCAGCTCGTCTCTGCCGACCAGCAATTCGTTGCTTGGCCCTGACGGCGGTCCGCACCAGACGTCTCCGGCGCCGAGGGAATCCGGACCTAACTCTCAGATACCATTCGCCATCCCCATTCACCCGACCCCAAAGAACTACCGCTCTCAGTCATACTCCGTAGGCCAGCTTGACCCAGAAACACCGAACGCCATGATGGGATCTTCCGCTATCTTGGGTTCGCGCAATCGGGGTATTCCTCATTCCGGTCTTCAGCACCGACCGTCTCGGCCTAGTATGCTCAGTGAGATGTCGAATGAAGGTGGGATGCTTGGAAAGGTAAAGGAGGTCGAGGACGACGAGGTCGGGAATGCAGAGGTTGCGCAAGAGCAAGCACAATCAGCCGAGGCCAAGACGATCGAGATGCTGACACGGGAGAACGCAATGTTGCGTCAACAACAATACCATGCTGCTAACCGCATGAGGCCGAGAGCATCGACTGGGTTTGGTGGTATAGGAAATGGCTATGGTCTGCACGACCCGGTTCCGGAAGAGTCGTCTGACTATGCTGTGGATCTGGACGAGTCTGGTGAACTTTCCGACCTGGCAGGAAAGAGAGCTTTTGGTCGGAGAATGAGCGAGTTCGGCGCAGGCCCTTTCCGCTCCTCCTTCTCCCTGGAAAATCGTCCGTTGGAGAACGTCAAGAAGGCCCTCTGGTCGAGCTCCCTTGGGTTCGGTGGTTTGGCAGACATCCCCCAGAGCAGACGACATTCCTTTGCTGAAGTTCCCACACGACAACCATCCATTGGATCAATTGGCGATCACGTTCATGCTCAGGACCAAGGTTCTCAGGAAGGCCAGGACTACGCTGTCGGACAATATGAGAACTCTCTGCTGAACGCAGCCAATGCTGGTAAGCTGCGATGCGCGTGAAGTCAAATCACGATATGCTAACGAGTCCTACCAGGTGCGTACTTCACTGGGCCATCTGGAATCAACAGCTCCCAACAGGCCCTTATGCAGTCGGCCTACTCGAACATGTACCCGTCACCGTATGGGTTGCAGGCTCCGTTTTCGAACAGACCCCCTTCTCCACATCGGGCGTTGTACGGCATGCCTCAGCCTCGCCACGCTCAAAAGCTCCACATTGTTCTCTTCAAGTGTAATAGGGCGGATGTCTTCTACATACAGGAGGGCACTGGTCTGACAGTGAAACCGGGCGATTTGGTCATTGTCGAGGCTGACCGAGGGACTGATCTTGGAACGGTGGCGAGAGACAATGTCGACTGGGGCTCAGCCAAGGAGCTCAAGGAGCTCTACGCCGAGGAGCACTACAAGTGGCTCATGATGTTCTCTCAAAACGCTGCAGTGGCTCAAGACGGAGCTGGCGCCGGCTTGATGGCAGCCTCTAACGGCATGCACGGCGGCGCCGTAGGAGGCATGGGTCCGCCTAGTCAGCATCACATGCAAGAACCGAACGCCGGTGAGCTCAAGCCCAAGCTCATCAAGCGCCACGCCCAGCCCCACGAGATACAGGCGCTGCGAGACAAGGAGGGCAGCGAGGCCAAGGCGAAGCGTGTTTGCCAGTCGAAAGTTAAGGACCACGGCCTGAACATGGAGATTCTTGACGCCGAGTTCCAGATGTGAGTATCTTCTCTCACTCTTCAAAACGACCATTTGCTGACATGAATGCAGGGACTGGAAGAAACTGACCTTCTACTACTTTGCCGACTCTTACATTAATTTCAACTCTCTTGTGACCGACCTCTTCAAGATCTACAAGACTAGAATTTGGATGTCCGCCATCAACCCAGCTTCTTTCGCCAGCCCTTCCCTAGGCCTGCAGACGCCAAGCGGCATTGGCCCGGGGGCTGTTGGTGTTGGCAGAGGTGGTTCCTCGGACCGTCGACAGAATCAGCAGCAGGAGCAGTCCGCTTTCCCCAGCTCATCGTCTTCAGGCCGACCTTTCCAGCCAGCTCTTGTTTCACCGTTTGGTAACGAACGAGCCGCCGCGCCTTTCGCACAACCAAGCTACCCGTACAACTATAATAACTCCTTCGCAAATGTACCGAGGCCGACCTCGTACACTCCCACAGCTACATCCTCGATGGATCCATACCCTACGACCTTCCCCGGTGGCGACTATCAGCTGCGCTCTCGAGCATTCCCGCCACCCCACAGCGGAGCGCAGCAGCACGACCAGCCGGTTTCTCCGTTGACCACACAGAACGACTGGGTCGGGTCATTCCAGAGCCTCTCTCTCAACAGCCGCTAGGAACCAGCTGCTGAGGGACAGGCTCAGGCGGGAAGACCAGGACCCCCATCCACTGCCTCTGGCCCGATTGAACACCCCGACGTGAGCCAGCTTCGGGTGTGATTGCGAGCAATAACATTTGAACTTCGAACAAACACAAGAGGGCAAGTCAATGTGACGCTGCTCTTCTATTGACGAGAAAATGACATGCCAGACTGTCTAGAGAGGGTTGTCATTCACGTTAGGCGTTGGCGGGCCATCTGCTTTTCATGAAGAGGAAAGATCTTGTCTCTTTTTCTTCCTTTCATTTTACAGACCGGGGGGATTGGCATCTAATCTCTCGCGAGCTCTTCGTTCACGGATATTCTCGGCATGGCTGGAAAGACAAATGTGTTAAAAAAAGGGCGATTGTTGATAGACAGAGGAGTAGGACCTGTCATGAGCACCGTAGTTTTTAATCCGGCGACTCCCAAAAGGATAACTGCTTTTGTTTTATTCATTTCTGATTATTTTGGCTTGGTTCGGACAGGACGCACGTATTCGGCTCTGGGAAGAAGCATCTTGTACAGTCGCTCTCTCGTTCGAGCATCCACCCCCCACCCCTTGCCCGGCCGGTGGCGTTGGTTTTTGTCCATTGTTGGAAGAATAAATATGATTTGGCTAGTCGTCGATTACTTGCAAGAAATTGGAACCAGAGGTGTTCGATACCCCCGTAACTATGGACCGCTTGCGAGACGTTGTGATCTGTATGCTGCCGCCAAGCGACAGAGACGTGGTCCCAAGTTATGGATGCCGAGCATCATCAATGGCCCGGCCTGCTTGGAATGGGAAAGGAGACTCTGGCAGACTACTGGCTTCAGAACTGAGACACTCGATGTGCCCCATCAACATGTGCGGTTGATAACAGCACTGGTGGTTGAATTGCTACTGTGACACAATTGGGTGGTTTCATCTCGGCCGGTGTAGCTGCTGTCTGTCTGGGTGCTGCCGTGCCTGCCTGTTATGGACATGTCTTTTTGTATGCCGTTATTCCTCAAGCTGGGGAAGGAGCGACAGCTTGCAATTGACTAGGTACCTGAGTACCTAGCTCACACCTACGCCAAGTGGAAGCAACTGCCCCCTAAAAGTCCGCCATGTCTTGAGCCCCAGGCAAACTTTGGAAGATAGACACTGTCGTTCTGACGGCGATAATTACGGCATCTGTTTCCAAACCCATCCATAATTTCTCAAGTCTTGACTGTCAATGCCCGTCACCTAGCATCACTCCCCAGAGCCAAGCCCTTTCCAACACCCGTCAACCAAAGATGCCACCCAAAGCAACAAAGAGGAAGAAGGAGGGTAAGACTCCGACGCGCCCCTCGCCACCAGGTTGCTAAATCCGAGTCTTTCCAACTGATCATGGCAGCAGGCCTCCATGACGACGGTCCTTGGGGATCTTCTGAGGATCGACCGAGGAAGAAGACTCGGGCGTCAACAAACCGTCTCGGTGACCAGGACGAAGGTCATTCATCTCAGGCCAACAAGTGAGTGCCCTTCACCTGCGACCGTCTCACTCGAAATAGCAGGGGCTGAACCTCATCTGCTCTTTGAAAGGTACTTGTCGGGCTGGGTTGCCTGGCAGAACAAGTTCAACGAGAAGGAGAAGACTGAGAAGCGCCAATTCGCGGACGACTTCAAGGAGAAGCTCCAATCAAAGCAGATGGAGATCCAGAACCTCATCAATGCATGCAACCACGAGTTGTAAGCTATAAATCATCCTTGGCTCCCATCACCGGACCAAATGCCGACGATTCCATGCAGGACTGCCACGGGAGACAAGTACAGCAAGCTGGTCAAGGAGGCCCACCAAGACAACAAGACCAGCTCCAAAGCCAGACCCCAACCGCAGGCTTTCGTTTCTCGTGCAGAGCACCCACTGTTCAAGGCTGGCCAACACATTTTCCAAACCTGCCGCGAGCTCGTTGCAGCTCACGAACGGGCCAATTCGAAGGCATCGCAGGACAAGACTAAGCTTAATCTGCCACGCGAGCAGTGGAAGGAGGACATCGCCAGCGTACAGGAACTGCTTCTCTATGGCCGGCAGCATGGAGAAAACCTTGTGGACTGTGTCATAATTCCGTCGGGCAGCAACGAGGAGAAGAGTCGTTTGTTGACGCCGGACACAAAGGGGCTGAGCGAGACAGGTACCATGGCTGTCAATATGTACCGCAAGAGCACCGGGGCAATCAACGGGAGTGGACCGACATGGGGCGAGCTGGCGAAGAGCCATGCTGGTGCCTTTGGGAAGATCCTGGAAGATTTGGCTGACGCCTGAAGAGAGAGGAAAAGGGGGATCTGACAGGATGCTAATGTGCGAGATGTGACGCCGATTTGCTAATCAAGTACAAGAAGCTACAGCCCCCATGGCTCTTAAGACCTGTTTTGAGGATCAAAGTAGCTACATACAATTCCACTATCGTCAAGCTAATATCAGTATCTACCATGTCTGGTATTGACAGAAAGCAATCGTCGGCCTGAACAGCTACTGCATACGCTCCGAATCAATCGAGGGTACCACTAAGCGGCAAGCATGTAAGTACACAGACAGGGCCATAACTTTTAGGCCACCGAGGGCTCATAGTCCGATTCCTTCGTCAGTGAGAATGCTCGACTGGGGTCAGGTCGACCTTCACTGTCAGCGGCTTCTCTGGAGTTGGGTGTGCCAAGCCCGTTCGCTGAGAAGATCAAGGGTAAGAAGTATCGAGTCCGCACGGTGCATGCGCACGTGATCCAAGAAGTGGGGCACCCTCTTCCAACTGGACCAACCAGAGCGGAGCAGCTCAACCCACACGAAATTCAGGAGGTGTAGCTGGGAAAATCTTCTTTTCAACCTCTCCGATCAGCCGACTGCAACCAACGCCGCCCAATTAACACCCAGGTCAACGCCAACTTTCAAGTTCTGGTACGTCGCCCTTTGAAGATATTCAGGATCCCGATTGCCGCGAGGGAGAATTCGCTGACCTTTTGTTCTTCTGAATTTACAGCAACCATGGGTGCCCTTAAGTGTACGTCTCCCCATCTCAAAATTATCCGCCCAGTCCCCGAACGACTCCTCCGAACAGGCCACTGACGATATGACACTCCAGACGTCGAGGAGCTTCAGAAGAAGAAGCAGAGCGATGTTCTGCAGTTCCTCCTGCGAGTCCGCTGCTGGGAAGTACGTTGAAACCGAACCATTCAATTGAGAAATAAATACATGTGGGCGGAGCAGCTGTTCTCGCTTCTCGCGGGCTCAACCCGTCACGACGGGTGGCTCCGACCAGCGAGAGCACCCTCCGCCTGTGCTATACACTCGTTGAACGTTTGCTGAGAGTGCATCAATATAGCTCCGCCAATTGAATGTCATCCACCGCGCCTCGCGCCCCTCGCGCCCTGACAAGGCCCGCCGCCTCGGTTACAAGGCCAAGCAGGGCTATGTCATCTACCGTGTCCGCGTCCGCCGCGGTGGCCGCAAGCGACCCGTCCCCAAGGGTGCTACCTACGGTATGTCTCCGCCGCTGACCCAGACGGACCTCGTTTCAGGCGAAGAGACTGTCCGTGACTGACAGCTTCTTCCTCCGAACAGGCAAGCCCACCAACCAGGGTGTGAACCAGCTCAAGTACCAGCGCTCCCTCAAGGCCACCGCCGAGGAGCGTGTCGGCCGTCGCTGCGCCAACCTGCGCGTCCTGAACTCGTACTGGATCAACCAGGACTCCACCTACAAGTACTACGAGGTCATCCTCGTTGACCCCCAGCACAAGGCCATCCGCATCGACCCTCGCATCAACTGGATCGTCAACCCCGTCCACAAGCACCGCGAGGCTCGTGGCCTCACCGCCACCGGCAAGAAGTCCCGTGGTCTCAACAAGGGCCACCGCTACACCAAGACCCAGGCCGGCCGCAGAAAGACCTGGAAGAAGAACAACACCCTGTCCCTGTGGCGCTACCGATAAGCGGCTCGCCCCTGCGGAGGGTGACCGCGTTGTGGATGTGGGGATCGGGTTGTGGGCGTGGCTTGACGATAGTTTCGTGCTTCATCATGGTCACGGCAAGGGTAATGGCCGTTGCCAAAAGGGTCACGGTTTCTTAAGGGCACCGCATATGTGCAGGTTTTGGGCGTTCATGAGAGCAAAAGCAGATCAAAATACGACGAATTACGGCATTTTGCTGCCCGACCCGAATGCATTTCCTTCTAATTCATGACTTGATTTCAGATCTCGGCTGATGATGATGGGTATCTGTGCTGTTCGTATGTTCTGCAAATACGACGACCGCACAGTCCTGCACTGGCCATTGACTCGCACGTACTGAAGTCTGCGATGAGGAAGTTAAATGAAAGAAATCATGGCAAATTTGCGCCCCGTCCCTCATCACTGATTTCTCAAGCTGCTTCAGTACTCCCCTATATCTCTTCCATTGCAATAGCAACGACTCTGTGCTTCACCATCTATTTGTACGGTCTCCCACCTTGACATGTTTTGTTAGAGTCGCCGTCCGTGTATGTCTCAGCACCGCACGACTTGACTTATGTCAGCTTTGGCGGGGTAACGGTACAGTTATGAACAGGTACGGCGAGTCCAAGGCGGGGACATTGGGAGCTGTTGTTACCAGTCTCAGCGTATCTCCGCCACGTTGGGTACTCATTGAATGAGGGCACACGGGTCGCTAGCTCAGGCTGGCAGCTTCCAATGCAGGGAACGCGAGCTGTGGGCTCTTCGGAAGCAAATGGTCTCGCAGGAAGGTATCCAAGCCCCTACTGCCCGTCGGTACCACCTCAGAGACCACGATACAGTCTTTTCCTTGGGAATGAACTGGTGACACCCCGCGGGGTTCAGCTTGTGAAGGGCGTCGAGACAGGCGCCTTGGTTTTTAACCTGTAGACGTCAACATACCGGTGCCCTGCCCGAAGCCGAAGTTATGCTACTAAGTTACGCTTGCCTGTGTTAGATGTGCTCAGTGCCAAAGTGATGATACGGCGCAGACGCGACCGCTTTAAAGGATCCTACTGTCGGCTGGTCGATTCTTTGGTGTGCATGCCATGTCCTCTATCTGACAGTGCATGCTTAACATTGCAGCTGATGAGTTGGTTGGCGCATAAGGGAACGGTCACCCGTGCCGGCAGCACGCTGCGAAGACAGGTGAGGAAGTAAGATACGTATCCATCGCGTAGTAGCAGGCCATGAGACACAGAAGGACTGGAGAAGAGCAGACGTCACAAGTCATAGATGTGAATAAGAGCAATCCGTCAAAACTTCTATCGTATTAACATTGTCATTGGGGACCCCCTATCCTGAGTTTGTTTTGCACGAAAGCCATCTATTCTTAAAATAGACCACGGAGCTCCCTCCAAAGGAGTCGTCCGTGTGAGGCCGTCGGCAATGCTGCGGTAAAGGAAAATGAGGAGGTGCCCTACATACAGGTCATAACTAGTAAATGCTGTAAGAATGGAGTATGACCTGCCCGGAATTTTGCATGGTGTAGAACTCTCAATCTGGTGGTGACCGAGCTGAATGAAGCCCCGAAGAGGTCCCGAGGAAAGTGAGTTGGGTAGATAAGACCAAAGTGTCAAATCCAAGCCAAATTATTTCCAGATTCCGTGGCACAACTGCCCAAGCATAGAGCAAGCTATGAGCACCGGGCGTCTTATGGACTATGTGCGTGCCAGAGGAGCCTCGGAAGTCTTTCACCGTTTGAAAGCAAAGAAAGGAAATTTTCATCCACCTGGCCCCAGCGTAAGTGCAAGGGGCTGCCACATTGACACCTGAGATTCTGTCCCGAAAACAGAGAGAGAGAGAGCAAATAGCTGCCAGGAAGATGACCGCAGTATCCTTGAGAAGTACCCAGATGGTGAGATCTCAGTTAAGCTCTGAGGTGACTGTATCAAGGCGAGAAAGTTGTTCTGAGCTTCTTCTCAGATGGACTGCCTTGAAAAAGGAAAAGAAAAGTCGATGCTCAAGTCGTTGACGTCGTTTGCGATCATAGCCTCCGGACTGCCGGTGAGAAGACGAGGACTATGAAGACTTTGCGTCATTGTGATCCGTACCAAACCCAAAGAATCCAACGCCGTTCGTAATTTCAGTGGGAAAGAAACGCGTTTTTGGTTTGGTGACCAAGGAAAGATCTATGCTGCCCATGTCCGCGCAATGCAGTCGATGTTACAGGCGAAAGAGCCATGCCTCTTGGTCATTGCTGGTTCTCCCGCGGAAGGAGTCCGCCCCAGATGCAAGCCTTTCTTGAGAAGATCTTCTGGTTCACCATCGAGCCTCTATTGTACAACAAAGCACTCTAGATAGAGCGCTTTTGCTCGAATGGCGATGAAGACGAGGTGGGTCGTGATGTCGTTGTTGGTGTGACAAGCCAGAAAAGGAAAAGTCGTTAGGTTTCGTGTCCAGAACGTGAGATCCGTAAAATGACAGAGCATGAAGAGAAAAAACAACCCCGAAGCCACAACGACATCACTTCAGTCAGCAGGCTAGAAGAAGTTCTGCTCGCCGTTGTCAGAAGCCATGGGCGGGTTGGGAGCTCCATTGTAAACCTGACCGCCCTGGGCAGGTCCAGAAGCTCCCTGTCCTTGGGCATAAGGAGCGCTAGCAATGTGGTTGACGAACTGAGGAGGCGCATATTGCTGGGGGTGCTGCGACTGAGGAGGCGGCACAGTCAGACTCGCGCTGGTGGGAAAGACCTGCGCGCCACGGTTGTTCAAGCCGTTGGTACCGTTCTGAAAAGCGCCAGGAGTCAGAATAGAGGTAGTGTTAGACATGCCGCGGGTCTGAGCTGGGCGGATTGGGATCTGGCCCTGGGTGGGATCTGCAGGGGTCATCTGGCCGCTGGAGCGGCCGTTGGTGGAGTCGTACGCAGAGACCTTGGCCTGGATCTTTCGTCCGTATGGGGTCTGGCGGACAGTTGGGAGGATTGGGCGAATGACATCGACCAGACGCTGCTTCATGTAGTGGGTAGCGTGCTCCAAGGCCGTCTGAACCACATAGTTGGCGTAAGAGTCTCGAATGAGGCGGTCCATCTCGCTAGGTGCCAGAAGCTCGTCCACGATCATATCCTTGGAGGCGTCTGAGGCGCAGCGAAGGCACTTCTCGATCACGTTGGAGCTGAACTTGTGGCGAGACAGCTGACAGATCCTGCCGTGGAACTTCTGCACGACGGGCTCTGTGAAGATCGACTCGTTCAGATCGATGATGTATTGGACAACGTAGTTGCCAAAGGGGTCCTGAACGAGGGTGACTGCGTGCTCCGTAATGCGCTGGATGAGAAGCAGCTTCTGATCACCCGAGGCGTGATCGATGCAACGCTGCAGCACACAGCAGCCATGACGGTGAGTGCCAACCTCGACGCAGCTCGTACCGACGGCTTCAAAGATGAAGTGGGCGTCCAGAGCGCTGAGTTTCGTCAGGCACTTCTGGATGACATGGTTGCCGTTGAGGTCCTGGATGAGCTCAACGACACGATCACGCAGGGCAGCGGTGATGAGGGAAACCTGGTCGTTGTTGGACAGGTGCTCGATCATCTTCTGCAGAGCTCGTGTGCCGTGCTGGTTCAGAGCGATGCGAACCATGTCCTTGGAAGCGTTCTGAACCAAGACAGTGCGCTCGTCGTCGTTGCAGAACTCGAACAGCTTCTGGCACAAGTAGTTGCCGAATGGGTCAGTCATCAGCTCAATGACATGAGAACAGGTCTCGAGCCAGATCATGTGCACGTGGTCAGGGTTTCGGCTCTCGAGCTGCTTCTGCAGGAAGCGGCATCCGTGCTGGTCCTTGCAGAGCTCATAGATAGAGCCGCCGTAGGACTCGAGGGTGGTACCGTTGAAGCGGCTCATAGCTGTGAGAGAGTCAGCATGGTGAACTTACTCTAGATTCGCGCCTACTTACCCTCGTTGTCTTGCTGGCGTCGGCTCGCCATGATGCGCTGCTGGCTGTCTCGCGGCTGGTGAGGGGCGTAGACAGGGGCATAGCCAGTGTAGTTCTGTGCTGAGTAGGTATTTCCACCTCCGTTCAGGGACAAGCCCTGCATCTGCGCAAGCAGGGGCATTCCGTGGTAGTTGGCGCCACCGTTGGCAGGTCCCACATTACCATAACCGTTGGGCGTGTAATATCCACCGTTGTTGCTGTTGTAGGGCGACATGCCCTGGCTAGGAGCCATGATGGGAGGCACAGGGGTCTGCGAGGGCTGGGTGAGGACAGGGCCCTGGAGAACATTGGAGGGCTGTGCCAGAGCTGGGCCGAACGAAGGCGCGTTGGCGTGCAGAGACGAGCCGATGGACTGGTAGTTGGCTCCGGCGACATTGTCACGAGCATCGCCAGAGAGCTCGCGGCTGTGACGGCTCGGCAAGGCACCAGCCGGGATGCGACCCATGCTGGCGTTGTGGTTGTGAAGGTGCTGTTGAGCCGCCTGGTTGGGGGTGCTGCCCACAGTGGTCCCAGACACATTCTTAAGGGTAGGGATGTCGTTGGCGGAGAAGGAGGGCTGCAACTTAGGAGGAGTGGCGAGCACGCTGCCGTTGTTGGTAGGAGCAGGCGCATCGGCCGCGGGATCAGTGTACTTCTGATCCATGGTCTTCATCTCAAGCGAGTGACGAAACGCTGCGGGGCGAGTAGCGATGATAGAGGCCTCGCTGGAAGCGTTCGACTGTGACGCGTTAGTGAGACTGGCCGAGTTGTGTTGCAAAGCACCGAATTGACAGTGGGACCAGTCGTTGGGTGTGGTGTCAACGTTCTGATCGTAGGAAGTGGAACACGCGTGAATCACGCCAACAGACGAAGGGGACAACTTCAAGAGAACAAGTATTAAGGTCAACAAACGAAAACAGGTACAAGACGCTGTCGAGCCAGGCAGGCCGAGCTGTGAACACCTTGGACTCAACTGCAACAGCAATACAAGAAATGTACTGTACAAAAGAGATGGCAAGGAATGTGAGGGTATGCAAATCGCGTGCTCTGGGTGCGGTGTAGGTAGATGTCAAGGTAGAGAAGGTGAGGTAAGGTCAGGTAGGTGCAGGTGAGCCTAACGGGCAGAAAACATGCAACCTCCCAGGTGAAGGAAGGGTGTAGGCAGAGAAGGTGAGGGGATGTAAGTGGGAACCAAAACTCCACCAACCCAAACGGCAGCAAAAGGCTTTCAAGCAACTTTCCGACAGATGAAACAACCTCTGCTAGTGTCGATATGGCGCGGGGAAAAGCAGATAAGAAGGCAGTACATGCATGCTATGCTGGAGACTAGATTTTGACTCACCATATTGGGCTCACGTCGGAGGACAGGGAAGTTGTCTTCGTTGTTGGCTTGGGTGTAGAGCTTTCCGTCGATCACGTTATCGTCGTCTCCAAAGAGAAAACCGGTGGTGTTGGCCTGGTCCAAGTTGATGTCGTAGAAAGCTGTGCGAGACTTGGTGACGGGCATCGAGTACCTGTTAACGCTGTTCTCGAAGTCCTTGTCAGCAGCCACCACTGGCAGACAGACGAAAGCCTCAGAAAGGTGATGTGATGATATGGAGTAAGATGATGGCCAAGAAGCGATACTGAGTGTTGGCTTGGCGGATCTGAGACAAGATCGCAGCGAAATATCATGTGTGTGGGATGTAAGTGTAGTGGAAGACCAGAGACAAGTGGCCTCTCGGTGAGGAGAAGATGCTGAATTTGGTATCTCCTTTCCGTGTTGAAGGTCTGGGGAGAAGGAAGGAAGGAAGCAGTGGCGAGGGCTCAGAAAGCGTGACGTTAAATATCTGGGCAAAAGATGACGAGAGCAGTTGACGGCTTAATTCAGACGAAGAATAGGATGAAGAACAATAGGACGAATATGTTGGTTGACCATGTCTCTCGATCCAACGAGAACAGCTGAGGTTCAAGTAATCACTCCGTTGTGATATTGAGCAGTTCGAAGGGGAAGTAATGGGGCAAGGGGAGTCTTTTGCCATTACGATATCGGACGAACCAAAGTCTCTTCAAGAGAAGGGCAAGTGTGGCCCGGGAAGAACAGTGACTCGGAATATCAAAATGCTCAATGGGAGGGCAATTGGAAGGGGTATCAGAACTGGAGGAGTGCAATGTCGACACATCCGCCTTGAGGGAGTCTTCCAGCCCTCAGAGCCGGATAACACCTGCCACACTCCAGCTCAAGGCATAGCCCTGAAGGCATAGTACTGGACGGCCACAATACCAATCACTGCATTGGCCCGGATCTCGCATTGAGACAACTGACTGGGAAAAAGCAACGCAAATTTGAAGCGGCAAACGCGCGATCTCAATCAAGTGCGGGGGCTCAGAAGAAGATGGTTCAACGTACGCATTGGTCGACCGATGGGACGTAGGGTCCTGGCGAACAGCCTCCTCCTTCTCGTCCTCATCGCTATTCCTCCGCGAGCCTGGAACAGACCAGGACGGCAGCTGGTCGTCGAAGGCGAACCGGGACAGCGGGACGCCCGACTGCGGCGATGCGAGGACGGAGCCGGACCGCGCCGAGCGGTTAGCCAAGCCCGGGGGAGACGTCAGGCTGGAAAGGGAGTAGCGATTCGGGCGGGAGAAGACCGAAGGGAACCCAGAGGGGTTCTCACGATACTCGGGAGGCGTCGTGGGCTCGGACTGGTGCCCGGAGAGCCTGCCGTGCTCCTCGAGCATGGCGCCGAGCTCCACCTCGTGCTTGGCCAGTTCGGCGTCGAAGAGGCGCTTCTGCTCCCGGATCTTCTCATACTCCATACGCTTCTTTTCTATCTGCTGAGGCGTCAGCACGTGTTGTCCAACGGAGGGAGGAGGTGCCGGCCGGTCGAGCGCTCTGGCTTGAGCAAGGCCCCGTCGCGGGGGGCTCTCCGTGCCCGGGTCGGGCGGCGGGTCGGACACGAGGGCACACGCACCAACTGAAGATGTTGCATAGTCTGCGTCGAGAGCGCAAGGTCAGCAGATGGCTCGCAAGGCAGGAATGGCAGTACGGGAGATGGGGGAGACGGCCAAGCTCCCGGCGCGCATTGAGTTTTGGAGAAGCGCAGACAAGCGCGCAACCACACAGACACACCACCACAGAGATGGCAGCCACGGCGACTGACCTGGTATTCGGAGGGATCTTGGCCACGTGGGGCTGCAGATGAAGACAATGTTGGTACACGGCCCGAGTCGGTGGTGAAACGGCGAGACAGGGTCGACCGGGGATCTTGAGAGGACATGGTCTGCGAGAGGCGGTTCCGGGGCGGCGAGACGAGGGAGTTCATGGTGGTGGCATCGCTTCGGGGAGACTGCTGGGCGCGGAATCGCATTTCGTTCGGATCCATTTTCGACAGTTCTATGTCCTCTTTCTTTCCTATACAACTACTACAACAACTGACGGCGCCTGAGGACCCTGCCTACTCCATTGGCGGACACGCACATTAGCAAAGCAACTCCTCGGCTGACCCAGGCCTGCCTGGTGCCGGCTCCTGCTGATCCCTCGTCGAGAAGGCGGGGAGGGGGTGGGATGTGTCTGGGCTGGCTGGCCATGGTGGACAAGGGCTGGCTATACTGGGGATTGTGCCTCCTCGCCGTGGCCTGGGGGCGGCACTTGCGCTGCGCTCGCTTGTCTTCTTGCCTTGCTTGCCATGGCTCTCCCACTTAGATCCGGCCGACTGGCTACCTTGTGTCGAGTCGGATCGCCGACTGAGAAACATGTCCAGCCTCGGGCCCCAGTGGCGATGAGATGGCATGTCGGGCGGCGGCTGGCAGGGCAGGAGCGTGCATGTGGGTGACATGGCATGGCATGGGGGCAAGGCGTGGCAGACAGCGAGCTGAGGCGTGCCCCCGTCCGAGGTGGTTTTTGGCTTTGGGTTTGAGAGCTTGGGGGGAGCAGAAAGCATGCGACTCACCTGGATGGAGGCTTGTACTAGACACAACAATATGGCACAGCTTGCGCCCTGGAGAGCCAGGAGCAGCAAGAAATAGGAAACACGGGGTACGTGGGCAAACGTCAAGCAATATTCCTGAAAATGAGCGTGTGTTGGAGGGACAGGATGCAGTCCGCGCCGAGGGAGGGGACGAGTGCTACTTGAAGCAGCCTGCGTCGGCTCGACGAGGCACCCAGCCGCTGCTGCACGCTGCGTCGATTGCCCGGGGTCAGGTTCAGGGGCCCTGTCTGGCTGCCCGCCTGGGCCTGTCTTGGGTCTGCAGTGGTCTGGTCTGCTTGTGCGCCTGTGTGCGTGTGCAAGTGGGTGGACGGCAAAACGATGGCGTTCGCCCCTGAACCTGGACCCTGCACCAATAATCCAGACACTCGGTCAGACTGGCACCAGCCCAACCCGACACTAACATTTACGCATTTCCCATGGCAACCGCTCCAACGGTAGCAGTACAGATATTAACACAATGCCCGTCCATCGTGCCCACAGAGCTTGGCAGCTGGTAATACGATCCTGGCTGCGAGCTCTGCCGGACGAGTCCAGTCGTCTTGTTTCCCGTGTCAGCAGCGACTACACAGGGCGTCTTTGTCGGTGGGTTTGATGCCGGCGGCGGCGAACCTGCCCCCGATGTTCCTTACCCACCATCCGGCCAGCCTCACTCCCAACGTCGACGCTCGGCCGACACACTTTTTTTGTTTTTTTTTTTGTGTTGGTCATTCATGCCCCGATACCCTAGCGGCTTGACGTGCAGACAGTCCGGACGGCACTCGTCAAGCTAGCACCAAGATCGGCTGCTCAACCGTCAACGGCGGTGTAGACAGGCGTGGACGGGAGCAGAGTAGTGTGGTCTACTGCACGACGCCCCTTTGCTTCTGGCGCACGAGATCACGCCTGCAGCCTGCAAGAGTCACGGTGAGCTGGAGGAGGCGTCCCGGGGCCAGCGGACGAGGCTTGCGATTGAAACATGTCATCGCCGGCTCGCAGGCTGCATGAACTGGCCGCCCTCCGTACAGCTTCCATTGTGTCTCGCGCATGGCGTACGCTACAGACCAGACGAACGATGCCCTTTGCTCGAGGCTCCGGCTGCACGCCAACGAGTGCGCCTGGTACGCCGGCGCACGCAGGCGCAAGGCGCAAGGCGGGGTGGGGTTGAGCAGGCATTGGATGGGCCTCCTGTGAGCGATCCCTCCCCAGTTCCCGTCTCCTGCAGCAGCGCTTGTCACCCCTCCACGATGCGCCTGCCCTGCAGCATGTGGGCTTTGGGTTCCTGAATGCCCCAATGCCCCTGTGTGACCTCATCTACGTATCAAAGTAGCTACCCACCTGCATTAGAGGCGCAGACGGCGGTGACTTGACCCGGCCGAGGACATAGAGAGGTGTGAGTGACCCCTCTGGCAAGAGGAATCCAGTCGTTCAGGGAGGTCACGACACTTTTATACCCGGTCGTGTACCATCATCAATGGAAGGGACATGAGTCCTTGTGGGGGATTGCGGCCCAAGGCCGTCCCTCTGGTCGGACACAGATTGTCTTCCGATCGTCGCACGGCCTTTGACTGGGCATTGGGCATGTTCGATACTACTAGGTGCTACCTGCGGTTTTCAAGTGCTCCTAGTCCGAGTCCTGCCCATTCAGTCAATTTCCCTCCGTACTGAGGTACACGCGTGTAGGGTTTTGATTGGTGAAGGTACATGGCCGTTCCTCCCAATCAGTTTCTGGGCGCAAAAGCCATTGACGAGGCTCGGATTTGTTGATGAGGTACAAGATACATCAGACTCCATTGGCCAAGGCTGATCGAAGCTATCGCCGGACCTGCAGTCAAGCTCAAGAGACCTCTTGGGGACCACAACATAAATTCGGGCCGGCCAGAGAAGCTCAGGGTTTGATTCTGGTGGGTGTTGACCCGACCGCGATATTCTCCACAGGCGGGCCTGGGAAGACCTGCCTCCCCTCTTCGGGATTTCATCATCCTGGTCTGATACGCACGCGGTAGCTCTGACGGTACTTGGCCGCGCATCCTGGGGCGTAGCGCGGCTATCTCAGAATCCTGACCAGGAAAATCTGTGCCTCTAATCACGCTATTCTAAGAAGTTGCATGCCGCTCCTGGGCTGACCATAGGCTGTCCTTGCTGAAAAACCTCCTCGGTCTACTTGATGCGCGCTGGAACTGAGGCTTGACGATTCAGCAAATGGCCTAACACATCAGGGCTCTTTGAGCCTGCTGCCCCTCTCTTCCAGGGCTGAACCAGGGGGGTGTATTGTGGGACCGTCGCAGCTGCGGGATCTGCAAGATTTCCCATTCTTGCCGCAGGTCAAGCCCAAATCATGGACGAGATCGGAACTTAGCATGGCATCTCTCTGCCGCATTCGTGGCAGTGGACTCATTGCGGAAGTGCTTGCAGGGCGACTGTGGCGACCAGGGACCCGGCGCCAGTCATTTCACCGACTATTGAGGTACGTCAAAGCTGTCTTGAGGCCTTTGTGAGTGGGGGAAGCGGTTTTAGAGAGTCCTGCGGCATGACGATCGATCACCTTGGGCCGCACGTCTCGTTGCTTTTTTTCCACATCATCGCGCTTATGTGCTGTGGTGGGACGGACAAGGAGCGCCGTGTTGATCCACGTTTCTGACCAATTCAATTTGTCCGAGGCTTGAAGAGCGATCAGTACACCTGGATACATCGTCCATCCTTCGGCAAACCAGCACTATTTGGAAATAAACCCCCTCAGTTGAGGAGGTCACGATCATACAACCCAATCACCAGAAGTTAAATCCATCCATGTAGAAGTCTACCAGCCGAAACCGGTTAACAGCATTAATACAGATGCTATATACTAGAGATCCACTCCGCGTCTTACCTTTTTCTAAGTAGCTTGATCATCCCATGTCTCCTCAAGGTCCCCCAAACATGCTTATGCACCTTCTGAATCGGAAAATAATACCACGCAGCCATTCACAGCCTCGGAGGTATCCAGGGAAGGGGCCATCTGCAATATGGCTTGTCCTAGTTGGTGATGAGTGGCAGTACGTTCGAGACCACCCGCGCCTTTTTCATCTGGACACGGCTCAAAATTCCACGAGAAGGAATTGGTATCTGGCCAAGTCGGTCTAAGATGACCGACTCGAGCAGTAATGCTCCCATGATTTGAGCACGGCTATTTCCAGTCTCAAAAGAGTTTGGACTCAGCATTCATTCATACAGTTGGTGCAGCGCTAAAAGTGAACAAAATAATTGTCGAGATGGGGGGTAAAGTGTGGTTTGTGCTTCTGCTTGGAGGGGCCATGCATGCGGCTCTCATGCCACCGAATTGACTCAGATTTCGACGACACCGTCGTTGTAACTACATAACAGCCCATCGATGCCCCTGTCACCGTTGCACATGCCATTGGCGACGAGACGAGCCCACAGCACAGTGGGAAACATGAGTTGAGATCCGTGGGGAACATTGAACTCTCCCATAACCATGCCTAGGTCTCGTCCCCGACCCAACCGCTAGTAGCTCTTATCTTATCGGCGTGACTCTTTGGCGATTCTGCCCCGCGAGGGCAAAAAGATTCCCAGATTCAACCCCGGCCACTCGTCGCAAACCCGACACAGCGTTCCAGCAGAACATGACGACGTCCCCAAAATGCCAATGACCGACGACGACGGGTTTGAGGCCCTTCTGGAGCCATTCTACAATGGCAAGAAGCTCACCGATCCTATTTCCACCAAGGAGGACAAGTACCAACTCCTGCCCGCCTTCTTGAAGGTCAAAGGTATGTCCGCTGCCTCACGCGCCCGCTTCCGCAGCCCGCCCATCTTGCTCATTTGCCGCCTCCAGGTCTTGTCAAACAGCATATCGACTCCTACAACTACTTCATCGACCATGACATCAAGGAAATCGTCAAGGCGAATCGCATCATTCGCAGCGAGGTCGACAGTGGCTTCTACCTCGAGTTCCTCGACATCCGAATAGGCATGCCCACCCGCGGGGACGCCGGCCAGTCCTTCAAAGCCAAGAACCATGTCACCCCAATGGAGTGCAGACTTAGGGACATGACATACGCTGCCCCGATCATCATCGATATTGCCTACATCCGAGACAGGAAGAAGATTATCCGGAGGAATGTCCCTCTTGCTCGCATGCCCATCATGCTCAAGAGCTCGAAATGCGTCTTGGCCGGGGCCACCAACCACAAGATGGAGCTCATGAACGAGTGCCCCTTGGACCCGGGTGGTTACTTCATCATCGGCGGGACGGAAAAGGTCATTCTGATCCAGGAGCAGCTCAGCAAGAACCGAGTAATTGTCGAGGCCGACGACAAGAAGGAACTTATCCAGGCATCAGTCACGAGTTCAACACACGAGAGGAAGTCCAAGACATATGTCATATTGAAAAAGGACAGGATCATTCTGAGGCACAATGTGCTTATGGAGGACATTCCCATTGCCATTATCCTGAAAGCACTGGGTGGTCTCTCAGACTACGAGGTTATGCAGCTTGTGGCCGGATCCGATGGCCGCTACCAGGACGATTTCGCCCTCAACTTCGATGAGGCGACCCGCGTTGGTGTGTTCACACAGCAGCAAGCACTCGAGTACATTGGCGCTCGCGTCAGGATGGGATCCAAAGGCAAGCCACAGTTCGGTCCTGCGCCTCGACGCAACAATGTTGAAGAAGGACTCGACGCGCTAGCCAACATTATCCTTGCCCATGTCTCTATCGAGGGTCTCGATTTCTACCCCAAGGCTATTTACATCGCAATGATGACCCGGAGGGTGCTGATGGCTTCTCATGACCCGAAGTTGGTCGACGACCGTGACTTTGTGGGTAACAAGCGGCTTGAGCTGGCTGGGCAAATGCTTTCACTTCTCTTCGAAGATCTTTTCAAGAGTTTCCTCACGAATTTGAGGATGAACATCGACAAAGTGCTTAAGAAGCCAAACAAAGCTATTCCATTCGACCCATTGACCTCGATCAGCGGCACAGGTGGTCACATCACCCAGGGTATGAACCGGGCAATCCAGTCTGGCAATTGGAGCGTCAAGCGGTTTAACATGAACCGAGCGGGAGTCACTCACGTCTTGAGTCGACTAAGTTACATTGCTGCGCTGGGAATGATGACTCGAATCACAAGTCAATTTGAAAAGACACGTAAGGTGTCTGGGCCCAGAGCTCTCCAGCCTTCGCAATGGGGCATGTTGTGTACTTCAGACACTCCTGAAGGCGAGGCTTGTGGTCTGGTCAAGAACTTGGCTTTGATGACGCATATCACGACCGAGGTAGACGAAAAGCCCGTCAAGAAGTTCATCCTTACTGTCGATTCGAATGTGGAACCTATACGGAACTTTTCTGGTTCGGAGATGCACCAGGCCGGCGCATACATCATATCCATTAACGGAACACCATTCGCCCTGACACACTATCCGAAGCGGTTCGCCTCCAAGTTCAGGACCATGCGCCGTCGTGGATGGATCAATCCGTTTGTGAGCATCAACACCAACTCTCATTTCAACACCATTTTCATCGCTACAGACGAAGGACGGGTTTGCCGGCCGTATATCATTGTAAAGAACGGCGTGTCAAAGTTGCTGCCGGAACACCTCAGATTGCTGCAGCAGGGCAAAGTAGGCTTTGACGACTTTCTCCGAAAAGGGGTCGTTGAGTACCTAGACGTGAACGAGGAGAATGATGCTCTCATTGCCCTTTACGAATCAGACATCACGCGGATCACAACTCACGTCGAGATTGAGCCATTTACCATCCTCGGGGCCGTGGCTGGCCTCATTCCCTTTCCCCATCACAATCAGTCGCCCCGAAACACATATCAATGTGCTATGGGTAAACAAGCTATCGGAGCTATTGCCTACAATCAATTCAACCGGATCGACACCCTACTTTACACCTTGGTGTACCCCCAGCGGCCCATGGTCATCTCGAAGACAATCGAGCTTACCAGTTATGACAAACTTCCGGCCGGCCACAATGCAACGGTGGTCGTCATGTCCTATTCCGGCTACGATATAGAAGATGCGTTGGTCCTCAATAAGGCATCATGCGACAGAGGTTTCGGGCGGTGTCAGGTCTTCCGCAAATATGCTGCGGAGCTTCAGAGATACCCTAATGGGGCGTCCGAAAGGATCGGCCAGCCCGAGACGGATCCTATGACGAAGCAGAAGATTGCCAAACACGAGGTTCTTGACAATGATGGACTTGCCAGAGTGGGCTGGCAAATCCACAATGGCGAGACGATGGTTAAGAAGGAAACCCCCTTGGATACCGGAACAAGTATAGGCGGGGACAAGAGTTCCAATGAGTACCGGGACACCTCCATGGCCTACCGGATTCCCGACCCAGCTTATATCGACAAGGTCATGGTCACACAAACCGAGAGGGAGACGGTTTTGGTGAAAGTTCAGACCAGGCAAACCCGTCGTCCTGAGCTTGGTGACAAGTTCTCCTCTCGGCACGGGCAAAAGGGTGTCGTTGGCATCATTGTCGACCAGGAAGACCTTCCGTTCAGCGACAAAGGCTTGGTTCCGGACATAATCATGAACCCCCACGGTTTCCCATCCCGTATGACAGTAGGCAAGCTCCTCGAATGCCTCACTGGAAAGGCGTCCATTGTACATGGCCGAAAGAAGTACGGCTACGGCGACGCTTTCCGATCGCACCCTGTCGAGGAGGTGAGCAAGGTCCTGGTTGACCATGGATTCTCCTGGGAGGGCAAGGACTACTTCACGTCTGGCATCACAGGTGAGCCTCTCGAGGCATACATCTTCAACGGTCCCATCTACTACCAACGCCTAAAGCACATGGTGCAAGACAAGATGCACTCTCGGGCAAGGGGACCCCGTGCGATCCTGACGAGGCAGCCTACCGAGGGTCGTTCGCGCGATGGTGGTCTGCGTCTAGGAGAAATGGAGCGCGACTGCTTGATCGCATACGGCGCGTCGCAACTTCTTCTGGAGAGACTGATGCACAGCTCCGACGGCACGAGTGTGGACATCTGCCAGCGCTGCGGGCTCTTCGGGTACAAGGGATACTGCCAGACCTGCAAGAGCACGAGGGAGGTGACGGCAATGACGATGCCGTACGCTGCAAAGCTGCTTGTACAAGAGTTGATATCGATGAATGTTGGGGTGAGGCTGCAAATGGAGGACGAATTCCCTCACCCGAGATGAAGATGGGCTCTACAAGAGACATTAGGGCGCCACAGCGCACGTTGCTTGTGTGGCAAGGATAAGTGCCAGCATGGAGGCAATGACGGCCCAATACCTTACAATTTGCATAGCATTCTGGCGTAAGGGAGTATCAATAAATGTGTAGCTAGTAAAGGATAAATGGAAGAGGATTGATGCATCCCTCTTAAAAAAAAAAAAACCGTGGCGGACCCGTGGCGACATAAACGCCAAGTGTTTCCGACGGAGCCCATACATGAAAAGACAAATCGTGTTTGCAAATTGTTTCTCATGAGAAAGTCTCTGAAAGCCTTTCTGTGTACATCGCAGGAGAAAGCACCTAGATAAGAAAGCATGGCCGTGGCAGATTCTGGCTGAAAGGGACCATGAACGGAGCCAGACATATAGAGGTTGAATGATTTCTCACAAATAAGGTTCATAAAACAATTTAAACATCGTAATTGATCGAAAAACAATTATGGATAAGGAATGGATTGTTTGTGGGCACTGAAGCGAAGCAGCACGCATTAGATATGTTGTGGTGGTTTTGCTGCTGGGGCCTATGGCTTTTCTAGCCGACGCTAACTCGCTTGTTACAGGTAAACCTGCGAACTTACCAAGCAACACCTCAACTCAAGGTCGTGACGCGTTTTACGCACAGAACAAGAGCCTGAAACAGCCAGCTGAGGGTAATTTTGTTTCTGATGCCGTACCGTCTCCCAAATCCTCACTCATGACGGATCTTGCACGCATCCTGCCGCATTTCCCAACCAGCCAATATGCGAATCTCATCCCGAGCCTGGAGAAGCACCAGGTCACGACGAGCGAGCTCCTGACCCTCGAGGCAGCAGACATTGGCAAGCGAACGCAGCTGCCTCTGTTGGACGTGAAGAGGCTATGCGGCGCCATCTTGGCCGCGCTGCACGCGGACCTGGGCGTGGAGGATCGGGAGCCTGACGCGGCATCACAGGCGGGCAGGGACGACGGCGCTGGGACCGTGGACGAGACACCACAGCAACATCGGTGGTCCAAAATAAGCACTCTCGACCCCGTAATCGACGAGCTCCTCGGCGGTGGCATACGGACAGGCCACATCACGGAGCTGACCGGTGAAGCTGGAGCCGGCAAGACGCAGTTCCTCCTCTCCTTGCTCCTCGCCGTGCAGCTCCCGCCGCCGCATGGGATCGGCCGTAATGCCCTCTACATCTCGACCGAGGCATCCTTGTCAACGCGCCGTCTCACGCAGATGCTGAAGAACAACCCTGTGCTCACATCCAAGTCTATTCCCTTCAGTGAGAGACCATCCCTCGACAACATCACCAGCACCACCACGCCCGACCTGGAGTCTCAGGAGCACATTCTCACCTATCAAGTGCCGGTGCAGGTAGAACGCCGCAACATCGGCCTCATCGTGCTCGACAGCGTGGCGGCCAACTACCGGGCCGAGTTCGACCGATCCGTTAGGAACGACTCGGGCGCGCTCGGCGCCGCGAGCGAGGGCGGCAGGAGCGTCAGCCAGAACATGGGCGCCCGCAGCGCGGAGCTCGTCCGGCTGGGGATGCTCCTGCGGGACCTGGCCAGGAACCACAACATCGCCGTGGTGGTGTCGAACCAGGTCGCAGACCGATTCGACCGAGCCGGGGCCCCGGCCCTGCCTAGGAACCCGCCATCAGGCTACGGTAAGAACGTCGCTGCGGGCGGTGGTGATCCACGCAGGCGCCACGAGAGCTCGCCGTTGGCGGCGCGGAGCAAGGATCCAAACCAGCCGCCTCTGCCGCACGCAGAGCCGACGTCCTCGATGGCTGATGCGCTGCCGGCGTCGAGTATGTCATTCGGGGAGAACGGGGAGGATGAGCCCCCTCCGCAGACACGGCCGCCGCCGCCGCCGCCCATGGACGAGATCTCGCACCTGCCTGCCCCGCCAGCGCTGAACTTCGACCACCAGCAGAGGTGGTTTACTGGGTGGGGCGATGAGCCGTGGCCCTCATCGACACATTCTTTGAAGACTCCCAGCCTGGGCCTGGTCTGGGCGACTCAAATAGCCTGTCGAATCGCCCTGGTAAAGGCGCCACGGTATGGAAAGTCAAGGTACTCCGTCGACGATGATGCCGGCGAGCCAGAAACGCCCATTCTAAAGATGTGGAGGAGGTGGATGAAGGTCGTCTTCGCACCTCATGTTGCTTCAACGGGGCCCGGACTGGAGGGAGCGGCTGAGTTTGACATCAATATGGGTGGCCTGAAGGGGGTAGTTAGATGAGAGCTTTTGGAATGGTATACCTTGAAATGATCACTATCCGGAGGGCCGGACTGCCCGTACAAGATATCTGAGCCAGCCCTCACAAGCATTTGTCTTGGGGCTTTTAGACAGACACGAATTATGACAATACGAAGAGAAAACACATCAAGCAATATGGTAGAGACAGGCGGCAGCAAGAACACCGCCTTACTCATTGTTGACATCTACAGCCGATTGTATGCATAACAAACACACGCATTCATCACAACAAAAGTCAAGAAACGCACATGACAAAGCCAGAAAAAGGTAGAGGAATGAAACGGAAAAATGGAAGTAGAAACCAAGAAAAAAAAAACGTCAAAAAGGATACCAAGCTGCGTAAGAACCCCCAAGGATCACGAACAGCGTATAACTTGCCGGAGGAGGTGCGGCGCCAGCGCTCCGAGTTTACATTGCTCTTCTCACCGTCAATGGTATCAAGAAGGGCCGGTTTGAACCCTCGACCATGGCAGCACCGACTGCACAGGGCCGACGAGTCCATAAATCGTTTGCGTCGTGGTCCCAAAGAACCACTACACTAACGACCCCGACCCAACACTCGAGGTAACTGACGGTAAGCGCACTTGATAAGGTAGGGAGCTGTGGAGGATAGGATGAGATTTAGGGCCGTGAGTGCAAACGGAGGTTATCTAATTCACTCCTTCCTTTCGATTCATCTATCCCTCTGCTGTCCACGGGCACACCTCTGCGAGTGACGGTCCTGGGTTTTCAAAGTATCCGTGAGGACATGTCCCGCGCCTACGGTTCAACATAACAGCTTGCTAAGTATGTATCACCACATTCTGACGATCAGACTCACCCTATTCCCTCTGCACACACTTCAGCTGGTCACTTCTAACTGCCTTGCAGGCACTGTCATCAAAACCGGTGGTTCCACGCTTCACCCCCTCCTGACAACTAATGACTAAACCTGGCACTACAAAAGTGTATTTAATATGAAACTTGGGCTGGACGGTCGGACAAAGGCGATGAGAATAAAGTCTCATATACTTCGTCGTATGGGCTTATATTCGTGTATCTGAAAAGCCTCCCAGGCGGTAAAGCAGGGCCGTGATGACCGTCTCCGAACTGTGCTTGTTGGTAGAGAATGTTATTAGGTCCTAGAGGTGTAAATACCTTTCCACAAGATTATTGAATTGTTACAATTCATGGGCCTTACCCATTTCCATAGACTGCTTAAGCATACTCATTGCTGATTCCGCCCGAGCTGCGGTTGCGGATCCAGAGAAGCAAGTTGAGGGGATAATCGCAGTCCAAGATTAATTCATCTTTCTCCGACAGTATCTGGTTGTATGCCTCACATCACCAATTCCTACATTCGAAACTTCTGGTCGGCTGTATGTAGTGGATCACCCAAGCCTCAAAACCATGAGGTCTACGGGCAAGCCACTCAGGTGTGCTGAGCTTCCTGCATGTAGGCTGCGTCTGCGTCACTTGAGGCAAATATGCTTGCGGGTGGCATACTGCAGGTACAGCTTCCAAGGTATCCTAGCACACACTTCCAGTACCTCCAATATGACAGCCTCGTACCGGTATGGCACAGCTTCCTACGAGATAACCTCCTGTTGGATAACCCCCTGATTGGATAACCCCCTATGGGATAACCTCCTACGCGATAACTTCCTATGGGGTAACCTCCTGCTGGGTAACCTCCCATGGGATGACCTGCCTTGGGTTAACCCGCTATGGCACAGTCCCCTGTGGGACAGCCTCTCATGGGATAGTTTCACATAGAATGATCTTATATGGAATGATCTTCCATAAGCTGTCCTAGGCAAACGATCGTTAGGGATAGCCTCCCATGCTGGCGTCTTGGAAGAGTGGGTCACTCTAGAGCACCCTCTTGTGTCTTGCAGAGTAGTTGCAAGATGATGTCGAGGGAGGTACGCTATTGCTCGAGCCTCTGCAGGAGCTGCACAGGGTCTTGGATTCCTGGGAGACAGTGGCAGCGGTTCTTCATACATGCTGGCATCAAGACGCTGCGGTTGGACGCAGGGTAATGCAGGCATGCGGTGGACGTCGACAAGCGCCGGGTTGGGAAGCACAGGTGCAGGGGTTCAGCATTTGCAGGCGCAGACTTAGTAAGCGTTGCGGCTCTATGGATTCGTCGACGGATTACATCACTGGTACCCCGCGATCGAAATATTGATCGATTGAGCTGCCCTCGCAGCCTGCCAAACCGCTATGGCCAGCGTGGGGTGGGTGCTGTGGTTTTTCCCCCCTCGAGTGAGGTCATGGCTCAAGGCCCACATTCACATTTCACAGGCAGCTACGGAGCGGAACGGTAACAGCGCTGAGGGAATTGGGAGAAGGCTGCTCTGGAAACAACGACGTTTTGCACGAAGGTTCTCTTGTGGGCCAGAAGGCGAAAGACAGGTTTGGGCCAAGGGGGGAATGGGGGACGGGGGCGCAATCTTTGCCTGTCTTGGGAGCTAGGAGGTTGGTGCTTGCGGTGCTTGCGGAAAGAAAAGTGTAATGGGAGGCTGTGGAATGGAATCAGGTACCTTGCCACCCCCCTGCCGCTACCTAGCCGACAGGGGTCGTTGCAAGCGGACTCTGGCGCTTTCGGCAAGCGGCTGGAAGTCACTGGAAAGGTCCAGCAGGAACTTTCTATCTAGAACATTCTTCGACTGCACGCCCCACCAGGCAGCTCAGCAACCACTTGATAAAATCCCAACTGCTTCGTCTCCCTCGAGCGACTTGCAACCTCTCCCCATCATCAACAATCCTCTCTACCACACTACAAGTGAGATCATTACATCTCCTCTTCCATTTTCCTTTTTCTCAATCGAGGTTTTGCAACTTGATTTGCACTCGACACTACGATTCTGTGATACCCCGCAACCTCATCTTTTCACCCTCACAACCCATTAACGACACAACACTTCTCTCCACCACAAACAGTCACCATGGCTCCCGCTGTTGGTATTGATCTGGGCACAACCTACTCTTGTGTGGGTGTGTACCGTGATGACCGCATTGAGATGTGAGTATTTGCCTGTTCCCCCGAGAAGCCCAGCCTCGTCTTTTGCGTTCTGGCACCTCGCCCTCGCCATCAATCGTCTGGCAATTTCGTCAGGCAACCATACTGACTATGTTTACAGTATCGCAAACGACCAGGGAAACCGGACCACACCTTCCTTCGTCGCATTCACCGACACTGAGCGTCTGATCGGAGATGCCGCCAAGAACCAGGTCGCCATGAACCCTCACAACACCGTCTTCGACGCGAAGCGGTTGATTGGCCGCAAGTTCCAGGACTCTGAGGTCCAGGCCGACATGAAGCACTTCCCCTTCAAGATCATCGAGAAGGGTGGCAAGCCCAACATCGAGGTCGAGTTCAAGGGCGAGACCAAGACCTTCACCCCTGAGGAGATCTCCTCTATGGTCCTGACCAAGATGCGTGAGACCGCCGAGTCTTACCTTGGTGGCACCGTCAACAACGCCGTCATCACTGTTCCCGCCTACTTCAACGACTCTCAGCGTCAAGCCACCAAGGACGCTGGTCTCATTGCTGGCCTTAACGTTCTGCGTATCATCAACGAGCCCACCGCGGCCGCCATCGCCTACGGTCTCGACAAGAAGGTCGAGGGCGAGCGCAACGTCCTGATCTTCGATCTGGGTGGTGGCACTTTCGATGTGTCGCTCCTGACCATTGAGGAGGGTATCTTCGAGGTCAAGTCTACTGCCGGAGACACTCACCTGGGCGGTGAAGACTTCGACAACCGCCTCGTTAACCACTTCGTTAACGAATTCAAGAGAAAGCATAAGAAAGAGTAAAGTCTTCCCCTTCCAAAAATACATGTTTGACAACATACTAACGCAAGTTTTAGTCTGAGCACCAACGCTCGCGCTCTGCGTCGTCTCCGCACTGCTTGTGAGCGTGCCAAGCGAACTCTGTCTTCCTCCGCGCAGACCTCCATCGAGATCGACTCCCTGTTCGAGGGTATCGACTTCTACACCTCCATCACCCGTGCTCGTTTCGAGGAACTGTGCCAGGACCTGTTCCGCTCCACCCTGCAGCCCGTCGACCGTGTCCTGACCGACGCCAAGATCGACAAGTCCCAGGTTCACGAGATCGTCCTGGTCGGCGGTTCCACCCGTATCCCCCGTATCCAGAAGCTGATCACCGACTACTTCAACGGCAAGGAGCCCAACAAGTCCATCAACCCCGACGAGGCCGTCGCATACGGCGCTGCCGTTCAGGCCGCAATTCTGTCGGGCGACACGAGCTCCAAGTCGACCAACGAGATCCTACTGCTCGATGTTGCGCCGCTATCCATCGGTATTGAGACCGCTGGTGGCATGATGACCAAGCTCATCCCCCGTAACACCACTATCCCTACCAAGAAGTCTGAGGTCTTCTCGACCTTCTCCGACAACCAGCCTGGTGTGCTTATCCAGGTCTACGAGGGTGAGCGTCAGCGCACCAAGGACAACAACCTGCTCGGCAAGTTCGAGCTGACCGGCATCCCCCCTGCGCCTCGTGGTGTCCCTCAGATCGAGGTTACCTTCGATGTTGACGCCAACGGAATCATCAACGTCTCCGCGCTCGAGAAGGGCACTGGAAAGACCAACAAGATTGTCATTACGAACGACAAGGGCCGTCTCTCCAAGGAGGACATCGAGCGCATGCTTGCTGAGGCCGAGAAATTCAAGGACGAGGACGAGGCTGAGGCTCGCCGTGTCTCTGCCAAGAACGGCCTCGAGTCGTACGCTTACTCTCTGCGCAACACCCTGTCCGACTCCAAGGTCGACGAGAAGCTCGATGCTGCCGACAAGGAGAAGCTCAAGACCGAGATTGACAAGGTCGTCAACTGGCTCGACGAGAACCAGCAGGCCGCTCGTGAGGAGTACGAGGACCAGCAGAAGGAGCTGGAGGGTGTCGCCAACCCCATCATGATGAAGTTCTACGGTGCTGGCGGCGCTCCCGGCGGCCCTGGCGGCGCTCCCGGCGGCTTCCCTGGCGCTCCCGGCGGCGGTGCTCCCGGCGCTGGTGGCGACGACGGCCCCACCGTCGAGGAGGTCGACTAAATTGTTAATCGGAAGCCAAATCGCGGCGAGACTTTGAATTTGCAGTGCGCGGTCAATCTGTCTTGTTAGGCGATGGATGTGCTCAGGGTGGATTAGACGTTTTCCTTTTTCTCATGATGACTTAATGATACAGGGCAAAAGTTTTCGGATGGGCATACAAGTGCATGGGCGTACTTAATGGATTCCCAGTATCGAAATGAAATCAAAAAGAAATTCATAACACATTGTTCCACTTTTTGCATCGTGACATGTCATTCATTGCAGCCTGGATCATTAAGGCATGTCTGCAAACATGTTGCTGGTCTGCGATTTCGGGGTATATTTGATGTTTGTACATGAAAGTGACCATTATTTATCATGAAGCTGTTCCATTCCTGATCTTCTCCATCCGTTCCATCTCCCACTTCTGATAATCGGCGTCACTGACAGTCGGCGCCTCGACCTGCTCGCTGAAGGCCGTCCCTGGCAGTACCCTCTCGCGGCGCTCGCGCCAGACGTCCTCGCTGTTGGGCCTGCCGTGGCCGTACTTTGCGAGGTGCTTCTTCCTGTAGTGCTCGCGGATCATGTCGTCCTTGACGGGCCCCGGCTGGTATCCCTTGACGCGCATGCAAAACCAGAAGTCGTCCCAGTTCTCGCTGCACGAGCGCACCGCGCCGTACCGGTAGATGTTGTTCCACTGCCCTCCCAGCGACTGGCAGTAGAAGGCCTGGTTGAAGGCCTGCTCGCAGTCCATGGTCGTCGGTAGCAGCGACTCGGCGAGCGGGGAGAGCCGCGGCTCGGTGGGCGGGGAGAGGGTTTCGGTGGCTGTCGGTGTTATTGCTTGTGATGTGCTTGATGGGTCTGCTTCTGAGGGCGAGGGCGGGGTGGCGGAGCCGGACCACCATGAGGACCAGGACGACGAGGTCTCGGGCGCCGCCGGCGGGGTTCTTGATGCGTCGGCTGGAGGTTGCTGTGAGGGTGGCTGCTGTGTCGGGGAAGAGGGTTGATTTGTCGCGTTCCTTGCGTTCCGGAGCTCCCCCGCCAGCTCCTCGAGGAACTTCGTGATCTCTGGGTCGGTCTCTGGGGACGACGTCGAGGACTGTGGTGGTTGCGCCGCCGCAGGAGCCTCCCCGGAGCTTTGCGATGCTGCAGGCTTATCGGGAGCCGACCCCCCCCAAAGCCAGCCCATTGCGTAGTACGTCGCTTCTGGTTGATGTGAAGTTGGTCGAAGGATCCGTCGCGGCCTGGGAGGAAGGAGAGAACAAGAAGAATGAGCTGTTTCGCGAGGGGTATCGTCAAACTTGCAGTATGCTCTCTTTGTTGGAGGAGATGTTGTATCTCGGCTGCTTGGTGAAAATGGAATTTCCAAACCCCAACCCTGGGAGCCGGAGGGGGAGGCAGGGGGTCCCCTCCATGGCGAGACCCTTCTTCGGATCCAGTGTAGCGCGTCGGGAGATGACCTCATTGGCGTCGAGTGAGGTTCGCGCCGCACGAGTGTGCCCACGGCGCCCACCTGCCGTATGCAATGAGATGCCTCAGCCTGTCATTAACTGGGCCTTGGTTGAGCGAGGACGGCCGGCTGGGACTCATTGACAACGCAGAGATTACACGCACATCCAGTCGACGACATGGAGCACATTATTATTCTCACGTCGAATACTACCTCTGTTGCCTGACGACTGGACGGCCAGAGCAGCTGGCTAATCCCATCGGCAAGTGGGAGGGAAGATATTCAGCTCAAAGTCATCCTCTGGCACGATAATGAAGCCATGATACCTCGGCGACTTTTTCTTGGCCCTGCCAGGGCGCAAGCCTTGGCCAGCGGACCTCTCACCAAGTCATGTCTTGCTCGTCTCCCTCATGCGTCTGCTCTTCTGTCTCCTGCCGGGTTATCTTTGGCCTCGCGCACAATAGGTACTCGTGGGCATCTGCCGTCTGGGAACTCTCCCAGTGGACGACCTACCCTCCAACCAACCAGCTTCGGCAAACACCTCGGGAGGTGGGAGACGACCGCCACGGGCGATGAGAAATCTGGGCATCTTGCGCTGGACCTAACGAGACCATTCTCTTCTACGACAACCTGTTCCCTTTGAAGCTGAGCTATGGGTGGATGAGCTACCTGGTGGGTCGCCCGTGGGGAGCAGACCAAGACCTGTCGAACCTTCTCCAGAGGTTCAACAAGTCCTCGCTGGGCATCGCCGACCCCATCAACTTGGTGAAACGCGGCATCCCAAAAGATGATACTCTGGTAAGAGACACTCTCCCTGTCGCTCTGCCTTGCGAGCACTTTTGGGTAGATGTGCTCTGAGACTGCTCCGAGGTGATCTATCAGGAAAATGCTGACAACGACAATGAAGAAAGTCACAGAAATCATACCTCGACTGAAGGATGGCGGAGCGTTCGTCAAATTCAGCCACCCACCAGAAATGGTATTATTCCCCTGATCTCCTCCCACCCCCTCATATTGCTTAAGGATTCCCGAGCATCTTGCACACAGAAGCGGTAACTTTATCTCCTGCCTCGCTTGTACGACATTAATGTCGGCAGTATGGTCTTCCTGTCTTGGTAGCGCTCGGAGGAACAATTTCTTGATGGCTATTCTCTTGCCGATCAACTAGACCAAAGACGGCTCATTCACTGATATTTCCCAAACAGACTCCGGAACAGGTGGAAGAAAAGCTGTCCAAGTACTTGCAGGAGAAGTCCATAAAGCCTTGGTTCAACCCCTTCCGAGGACTCCAGGTCAGCCTTGTCAGGAATTCCATGGCTTGAAGACCTCGCCGCCAACCTCCCGCGTGGGAGGGTAAGGATTGAGTTCATAGCAAAAGAACCAGGCGCCGAGGCCGTGGAGCTCTCTCAGGAGACCGTCTTCAGTCTCTTTCGCAGATTTGGAAAGATCGCCGACATCCAGGCACGGCCATCAGACTCCAAGGTGGTCCCAAGATACGCCTACCTCGATAACAGCTTCGTGAGAGATGCAATCATGGCGAAGAACTGCCTCCATGGAATTGTGGTTCCGGAAGAGCTCGGTGGAGGTAAAGCCGGTACGAAGCTTCGGCTCTCATATGAGCGGTTTACCAAAAACCACCGCTTCTGGGACTGGCTCAGCAACCACCCTCGAATTGTTATCCCAATCGTTGCGGGTCTGCTTGCAGCGATCACCGTCGTCATTTTCGACCCGATCCGCGAATTCTTCATCAAGGCCCATATCCAGAAGTCTTTCAGTCTTTCGGACAACACGATTTTCCAGTGGTTCAAGCGCCACACCAACGATATCCTAGCATTCAGGAAAAACAAGACGGAAGACGCTGGTCTGACAGCCCTATTTACACACCGACGAGACGCCATTGAGCAGATCCAGAAATGGTTGATGGAGTCTGCAGACACTTTTATTGTCGTTCAGGGCCCACGAGGCTCAGGCAAAGAGGATCTGGTTATGGACCAAGCGTTGGGTGGCCGGAAGGACGTCTTGGTGATTGACTGCAAGCCAATCATTGCAGCCAGAGGGGAGAGCGGCACAATCAAGAAGCTCGCCAGCGCTGTTGGGTACCGCCCAGTCTTCTCTTGGGCGAACCAATTAAGCAGTCTCATCGATCTTGCCATTCAGAGCACCACTGGTGTCAAACCTGGCTTTTCGGAAACGCTTGACTCGCAGCTCAACAAGATCCTTCACAATACGGCCGCTGCCCTGAAGGAGGTGTCTTTGTCAGGTCGTGACCACGACTTTGGAGACGCCGACTCGAGCGATGATGCTTTCCTTGAGGCACACCTGGAGAAGAGAGCAGTAGTAGTCATCGACAACTTCCTTCTCAAGAATGAGGAGACCAGCATCATGTATGATAAGCTCTCGGAGTGGGCAGCGGCACTCGTTCAGGCCAACATCGCCCACGTAGTCTTCATGACTAGCGACACTTCGTATTCGAAACCGCTTTCCAAATCACTGCCGGATCGAGTATTCCGTACCATCTCGCTCGGTGACCTTTCACCCGATGTCGCAAAGAAGTACGTCATGAGCCACTTCGTCCAAACCAAACCAAAGGGTCGCGGCAGAGAGGAAGACGCGAAGGCGGAGGACTCTCCGCCGGAGCGCAAGCAGGGCTTTAGGGAACTGGATGAGGTGATCGAGGTTCTCGGCGGCCGCCTCACCGACTTGGAGTTCCTCGCCAGGCGCATGAAGACAGGGCAGAGCCCACGGCAAGCCGTGCAGGAGATCATCGAGCAGAGCGCGTCAGAGATCATCAAACTGTACCTGCTTCCCAACAAGGGCGACAGGAAGTACTCAACGGAGCAGGCGTGGTTCCTGATTAAGGAGATCGCCAAGAAGGAGTCGCTGCGCTATAACGAAGTCCTGCTCTCCAACACGTTTGCCTCGTCGACGAGCGCTGGCGTCGAGAACGGCGAGATGGCCCTCGAGACCCTCGCCAACGCCGAGCTCATTACCGTCAGGTCCCACCGTGGCCGCCCGCAGACAATCCAGGCTGGTAAGCCAGTGTACCAGGCGGCCTTCGCCGCGCTGCTGCACGACCCAGTGCTGAAAGCCCGGCTGGACCTGGCTGTCCTGACCGAGTTGGCCAAGGTTGAGGGAAAGACCATCGACAAGGTAAGTTGCGCTCGCTGGATAACAGTGCCTGTTTATCCGCCAGCGAGTCTTCCTCCATAATGACGAGACTAGCTCCGCTTCTTTATCAACAGGTCGAAACAGAGCTCAGTCTGTTGGGCTCACTTCCCCGGCAGCCTCGCGAGACTACCGAGCGGATCAACTATCTGCTCAACAAACTGCAGACTTCGCATAGTAAGATTGCTGGGTTCCAGAAGGACATGGCAGCTCTGAAAAAGGTCCTGGCTCAGGAAGCCTAAAACCAAGGTGCTTGTGAAAATGGATACCAGCTGTAAAAGAGGGGAAGGAGGAAGTAGGCGGGAAAACAAGGTAGTGTAGTTCGGTGATCAAGGGAGTTTATCGGGGAAATGGAGGCCATCGAAGGCCAGAACGACTGCAAAACGCCCTTCTCCGTAAAATTCAAGGCCGATAACATGCAGATAGATGAGACCATGCGATTGCCTTGAAATGGTCTTGAGCAAGGCTGTGAGTGTTGTGCGATTGAAGCATAGACAGATTTTGTGCGTGCGCTGTGCGATCTGGGTGACGGTAGTCTCATATTTGTCCATGCCGGGCAGTATGCCTGAGTCACAGGGCGAAGGCACTTCAATATGATGCTTGACGGTGTCAAACTAGCTTGAGATGGCTTCAACCTTGATGGAAGAGACCGGCCTGGTGTTAAGCTTGACAGTGTCAACACGGATGCACTAGGCACGGCCTGACACCAAGACTTCGTGTGCGAAAGAGTGGCTTCTAACACAACACTGGTTTGCAGAAGTAGATTTCTATAATTGTGATCAAGGAGGTTCATCGGGAGGGGAGTGGAGGTCATCGAAGATCGGGACGATTTTGAACAAACACCCTTCTCCGTACAAATCAAGGTCGGCAACATGCAGATATACGAGACCATGTTTTTGCAGAGGAGGAAGCAGGGAGCAAGGTTTTTGTACCGTAGCAAAGGTCATTCTGAAAATTTTAGCTTGACGGCATGAATTTCATCGTTGGCTTTCTCCCCTCAAAAGACGCCTTTGCATTTTAACATACTCCGCTCGCAACGTGGTATAGAGTAGAACCGACAAACTGCCTCCCGAAGCGGTATCTTCGCACCAACATGTCGACAGAGACCCCGTCACAGTCTCTCGGTTACAGACGTGGCATCCCATCCATCTCGATCATTACGCGACCATGCTGGCCTCGCCTACAGCACCACTCAGCACCTCGCAGCCTTGAGAAAACATAATCCTCGCCGGCAGGTCACGGCCGTTCTCGATACTGTAATAGTTGCCTGCAGCCACGTTAGCCGGATGAGCGCCACATATTAAGACGACCCGTGCGCGGATTGTGTGTCCTTACCTCTTGGCACAAACCACATACCCCCCTTGCCGATACTGAATGTCGTATCCGCCACCGTGACCTGGACGCGCCCGGAGAAGACGAAGAAGGCCATATGCATCTTCCTCGCGTTCTTGGGCTTCTTCTCCGAGTGCGGCGGCAGGTCGACCACGCCGGCCCCGAAGAAGGGCGTGCTCAGCGTCTTCGCGAACTTGAAGGTCGCGTTGCGGATCTCGCGGGTGACGATGGCCCCCGCCGACACGGCCAGCTGCTCTTCGGCCACCTCGATCTGCTCGTCTGGGCCCGGGGGGTTGAGCTCGTGCTCGGGCTGCCAGACGACCACCTCACCCGAGATGGAGTCGGCGTTTTCCTCCCACGGCTCGAGCTCGTCCTCCTCTGAGTCGTAGTCTCGGCGCTTGCTCTTCTTCCCCGCAGCGGGCCTGCCGGCCTTGCGACGAGCCGCCTTGTGCTCCGCCTCTGGCTCGTCGTAGCGGACAATCTCCTTGATGCGCGGAAGTCTGATGTGTTGCTTGCCGTCGTCAAAGACCTCGTCGTCATCAAGCTCGACGTGCTCGTTCTTCCAGTACTGGAGCGGCTGGTAGGAAGTTCGCCCGGATCGCGTCGTCAAGCCGCCCGGAGTCTCACGCCGCGATATTATCAAGCCTCGGGATTTTGGCAGTGGTGGCCCGCGCGGCACCTCTGCGAGTGACGTATCACCAACGCCAGTAGATATCCTCGGCTTTTTGGCTTGCTTCTGCTTGGGTACAGTCGGCTTCTTCGCTGCCATTGAAGAATTGTTACTCCCCGCAGCTGTAGTAGCCATAGGCCGGCCGCGTTTCCGTCCACTATTTTGCTGAGACGATTCGCCTGTTTCGTCTTCAGCGACATCGGACACACGTTTTGCCTTCTTCTTTGTTGGCTGCTCAGCGGTCTCCTCTTCGGCGGCCTTGTTCTTGGATGGCCTTCCTCTCTTTTTGCCAGCACGTGGAGGCTCTACGTCGGCCTCGACAGATTGCATGATCGGCTCCTCCTCGGGTTGCTCTTCGGCTATTTCTTCTGGGGCGTCTTCTGGTTCTTCGACAGGGGCTGCTTTCTTGGGTCGCCCCTTGCGCTTGGCCGCAGGGGGTGCAGGTGGCTCATCTTCCACTTGCTCTTCCTCGGCATCTGCAGGCTCCGTAGCGTCGTCATACTCCTCAGCCGCCTCATCGTCCTCCTCGGCATAGTCGTCACCTCCGTCTAGAATAGCCATTGATTCCTCGTCGAGCTGGGGCTCCTCCTCCTCCTCAGCAGGCGAAACGTGGCCATTTGTAGTCGCAACCGCCTTGCCCTTCCCATTGATACCATTCGTCTTTGGGAGGCTCGGCTTGTTCTTAAAATCGAGCTTCCGCTGAGGAGGCTTCGAAGGTCTTGGGGAAGATGATGCGTCGTCACTGGGCCGTACGACAGACCCCCGGATCGGAGATGATGAGTGGCCGAGGTGGGGATTTCGCTTTGCTGGCGACTGCATGTTGGTCTTTGGCGGCGACCTGGCGCGCGCCGGAGGGAAGCGACTGCCATTCATGAATGCTGATGGCGCTGGACCGGTGGCTGAGGTGGAGGTACCGCGTCAGTCTGTCTCTGAAAAGCTGTGCGACTCAGGAGGCCGGCCCGCGGAAGAAGAAGAAGAAGGGGCTCGCTCACTCTCGTCAATATCCATAGGCTCCTCGTCGCTTTCTTCGTCCTCGTCATCCTCAACACGATTCTGGCTGTCCTTTTCAGGGGAGGAAAAGATGTCGTCCAGTGGCTGCATGCCATGCTCGTCGCGGGCACCGGTATCCTTGAGAAAGACGCCTGTTTTCCTACCAGGCAGAAGGCCAGTCAGCAGTGCGCGACGTGTATTTCGACTTTGAATTGTCTCACCGGCCCCTGACACCCAAGTCATGAAAAGCCTCGCTTTGCGCATTGGAGCGCCGTTGCGCCGATGGACGCGGCGCCATGTCGCGCGGTTGTGGATATTAAGACAACCCGGGGAGAAACAAAAACAGCTGCCGGCCTGCCAACTTGCGCGGGAGGTTATTTATGACAATGCCGATAAAAATGGTAAGCAGCCAGGAAGAAGAGCACCAGCGAACGGGATGCGATTCAATGCGATACTTGTCACAAGAGACAATCCGAGGTCAATTTTGGTGTTTGTTGTCGAGACCCAGGGCCGGGGGGTGTGCTGTGGTTCTGCGGTTCAGTCTTGGAAGCACTGACTGGAGGGGAGCTAGGGCCACCACCACCCAGGGTACATAAGTACGTGGATAGCACTTGGGGAAATCTGAGCTGGACGCGACCCTGACGCGCATGGGACGCGCATAACGGCTATGATTGCGCCCGCGCTTTACCCTTCATGGATCCAAAGTCAACAAAAAAGACCGTCTGGCGGCGTCATCCAACACCGCCGAGGTTCCTGTCTCAGCCTCGAACGAAGCAGACAACGCCCCGGTCTGCGCCCCGCGATAAAATCAAACAAAAATAAAAGAAATACACATGGAGGACACGCAAATGACCGAGGCCGACACGGCGCTCGAGACGCCAGCCTCGGACGTCTTCATCCCGCCCTCGATCCACGACGGCCCGCTCCTCGCCGGCGAGAGCTACTCGCACTTCTCGCCCGTGCCGCCCGCCCTCGCATCCCCGTCCTCGGAGCCCGGCGACGGCCCAGCTTGCTGCCTAGGTGTCGACGAGGCCGGGCGCGGGCCCGTGCTGGGCCCCATGGTCTACGGCGTCTTCTACCTGCCGCTCGAGCTGTCCGACCCGCTGCTGCGCGCGGAGCACCACTTCGACGACTCCAAGGTGCTAACCCCCGCCGTGCGCTCCGCCCTGATGGAGAAGCTGTGCACGCCCTCGGCCTCGGGCTCCGACGGCGCAAGCGACAACGCGCTGCACTCCCGCTGCGGCTGGGCGACCACGTCCCTGTCCGCCCGCGACATCTCCGCCAACATGCTCCGGCCCTCGGCCGCGTACAACCTCAACGCCCAGGCCATGGACGCCACCGTCGCGCTGATCCAGGGCGTGCTCGCCCGCGGCGTCAACGTCAGGGAGATCTACGTCGACACCATCGGCCAGCCCGCCGCCTACCAGAAGAGGCTCGAGCGCATCTTCCCCGCCATCAACATCACCGTCGCCAAGAAGGCCGACTCCCTCTACCCCTGCGTGTCCGCCGCCAGCGTCTGCGCAAAGGTGACGAGGGACGCCGCCCTCGAGGTCCTGTACAGGCGCCACGCCGGCCGCGGGGACGGGGAGCAGGCCGAGGCGGCCGGGATGGCGTGGGGCTCCGGCTACCCTTCTGACGGGAGGTGCGTCGGCTGGATGAGGTCCAACATGCACCCCGTGTTCGGGTGGGGCCCCGAGTGCAGGTTCAGCTGGGGCACGGCGAAGGACATGATCGAGGCCAAGGGGGCCGGTATCAAGGTTGAGTGGCCCGTCGAGGACGACGGCGAGACGGCCAGGTTGACCGACTTTTTCGTGGCGAGCGAGGGCCGGGACAAGGACGCGGATGAGCTGGGCGCATGGTTCGGGACACCTGCTGGGCTAGAAGCTTTTTAGGACTGTCTACAGGGAACGGAGTAAGGGGTTTGATTCTGCAGCATTAGGAGTTCAGGTGTTCGAGGCTTTCTAAGGGGGTTATGAAACTACAGGATATCCTGCGCCGGCTTGGGTAGTAATGCGCGCAAACCCAAAAGTACATATATAAACAGTCCCACAACGATCAAATGTCGTCCTCATCCTCATCCTTATCCCGTCGCTTCCCCTTTGAGTCGAGCGTTTCCAAGCTGATCGAGTCGGTGTCCTTCCGGGGTGGCATGGCCAGTGCCGACCTTGCCGTCTCGTTGCTTTCCAGAAAATCCCGAAGCTTCTGCTTCCCAATCTCGACGGCCTGGTTGGTAGCAGCATTGCTCATCTGCATCATGGGTCCTAGAAGGTTCAGGTTGTATGCAAGATACGTGCCGCCTGCGGTGAGGCACAGCAATATGAACAGGACGGGGTTGCGCAGGACTAGACAATGTCAGTACGGACACAAGGTTACACAGTGTCGCCAAAGAGCAAGACTTACCCATCCATATCTCGTTCCACCCGAGCACCAAAAGGACCACGTAGAAATAAAGAGGTATCTGCGTCATACCACCCAGAGCACTGCGCTTCGCCTCCACGTAGACGCCATCGGCTGTCTTCTTGAAGCGGATCACGAGATCCTGCCTCTTGCTCTCGCTGAGCACCGTCATTTCCTCCTCGAGGCTCTTGCCTTCCTCCTCGTCGACGCCGCCGATCGGAGAGAGATCTTCTTCGTCCCCGGGCTCGACCCCGGCAGGCTGGTTGCCGATGAACGCAGGCAGGTCGGGTGGGCCATACGTCTCTGACAGCCTGAACCTCGAAAGGAGCGGGATGAGGACAAGGGTCGACTCGCGGGCACGAGTATAGATACCCTCGATATCGTCACTGGGGCGCCAGATCCTGGGGACACCTGACTCATCGTAACGGAACTTGTCCTCAAAGTTCTCACGTAGCTTGAGGAGAATATTGCCTTCCATCACCTCCTCCTCGACCTTCTCGCGCAGTGCCACCCAGCTCTTGCGGCGCAGCCTCCAAAGCCCGATCTCGACCTCTTCGTCGGTGGCCTCCAGGTTCTTGGCCCGGTCCTTGAAACGATCTTGTGCCTCATTGACAATGGAGACGAAAACGCGCCAGATGCGATCCCACAAATCCTTCTCAGTGGTTGGTTTCTCTCCGTCCTCTGGAGCGCCCGAGCCGCCACGCCCAGAGCCGATTTTGTTGAACTCCAGGCCGACAGCGTCGCCGAGACGAGACTTGACCCAGCGTTCGACGCGAGTGGCCAGACGACGCATCTCCTCTTTCCTCAGTCTTGCGCCGACTTCATCCAGCTCCTTACCGAACATCAAGTATTGCGGCTTGAAGTTGGTCCACGGAACGCCTTCGATGGCCAGGCTCTGCGCCTCCTTCTTGTAGATGTCCAGGGTCTTCCTCTTCTGCTTTTCGACAATCTCGGCAAATTCGTAATGGCCACCAGCCTTCTGGCCGGCCTTGACGGCGTTCGTGACGGCGTCTGTGAAAGCGGCGACGCCGGCCTTGTGAGCTGCAGTGAGCTGGCCATGATATAGTGCCTTCAGACGCGAATCAATCTTCTCTTCGAGCTCAACGTGCTTCCTCTTGTAGACCCCTTTGTGATATCGGCTCGCTTGTGTCTCAAATGCCCTGGTGGTCTTCTCCCGAGAAGCCTTGCCGGTTGCGCCCAGGTCTGGCAGTACCGTCGGCTTGCCCACACGGACTGCCTCTGCTTGCTGCTCTTCGAGGGGCGCGACTGCGGCGTCGAAAGAGGTCAGGACCTCCCGGGCAATCTCGTCGCAACGGAACTGAGCAAGCAACTCCTGTTGAGTCGGCAGATCGAGGTCCTTGTTGTTGACGATCTGGTCCCAGATGCCCTCCGCATACACGGGGAAGCCGTCGGCAGGAATCCTGCGGTGGTATTCTGCTAGGAATACCCCGCCGTCGAATTCCTGATCCTTGGTTGAGCGATGCCCTGCCACGAACCTCTTGCCCAGATTGTCGACCTCTGCTACGAACTTGTCGGGCTGCAAGATCTTGTGGGGCAGAGCCGCGAAAGCGAAGTCGAAGTAGTCCTCGATCTTGGACTCCTCAAGCCCCGGAGGTTTGGACAGCGAGGTCCAGATCTTGGTGAGATCCTGGACCAGCGTGTTGCGAAGGTTCGCGAGGGGGGTAGTTCCCAGGTGATCGCGGATGACGAAGAAGAGCAGAGATCTGGGCGTTGACTGCTTGTCTTTGAGGAAGAGCTGCAGATTGACCTCAAAGACGGTCTTGAGGAGGCCCATGTTTGCACCCTGGTACAGACCAACCTGATGCTCCCAAATATTGACAATCAGGACCTCGCTCGTTGCCAGGGCGAACAGGGCGCTCTTCCTCTCGAAATCTTGGTCTTCGCCCCTCTCACGGCCGTCGGTACCCTCGACGTCCATGACCAGGATGTTGTCCGCAAGCTTGACGGAGCCATCGGCCGTGCTTTCTTTCTTGTTCTTAGACATCCATATTCCTTTTGTGGTTTGACGGCGTTCCGTCTCGGACATGACACTGAAGTCGGTGCCAAACAGGTTGTTCAACAGGGTCGACTTTCCGGTGGACTGGGAGCCAAAGACGGAGATAAGGTGATAGTTGAAGCCAGCGTTGGCTACCTGGGTGCCGGAGAGATAGTGGCTCAGGTTGGAGCTGCAGCATGGTCAGAACCCGGGCGGGCGAGGGCAATGAGGTGCAGCGGAGAACAATGGAGGCACGTACTTGTACTGCTTGTCCTCGTCGATGACTTGGACGCCATGGTCATATTGTTCAGCAGCCGGCTCGTCGCCGACCGCGGCGAAGTGGCCGTTCATGATGGGTTTGGTAACTGGAGGAGGACTGGGATTTTAAAGCAAGACAGGTTTAGGAACGGGTTATGGCCATGCTTGTTGACGGGCGCGGTGGGTGGGAGAAGTGGATGCCACCGAGGTTGGACAACGAGGCCAGAGTCTGAAATTGGACGAGGTGGTTCGCGTATGCAGTGAATGGCATGCTGCCCCAGTTCCCCCAGCAGCCGGCAGCTCGAGTGTCAAGCTGGCCTGTCCTGGGCCGCTAACGAGTGCAGGGGCGTTTCCCCTATCGGATGACAGCTTGATCCCCGTCGAGTCGCCTGACACCCTGCACCAGTGCAGTCGTTGGTTTTGATCGTTCACATTCACTTGCCCGCCTGACGGCCGCTGTCACCAGGACAGCATTGTGATATGACTGGGCTGAATATTTGTGTGTGGTTCTGACACAGTACGCAGGTACCTACCCAGGTACCTACCCAGGTGCCTTAGACAGGTAGATAGCTGGCCCCTTCAGGGTCTAGCAGTCCAGCCAGCAATTCCAACAAGCTCAAGCTCAGTCCAACCTGCCGCCACCATCTGCCACTGATGATGTTGCGAGTGGCACAAGTGACTACCTAATTGTGATGACCCGATCTCCGTGTCCTTCCACAATTGTCCAAGCATTTACAGCGAAGCTCCTGAATCTGCCTCATCTCGTCTGCAAGCCATGACCCCTCCTGCACTCCGTCACTCTATCCATCCCCTTTTGAAGCTGTAACCCTGAAGTGAGCCCCAACCTCGCCCATCTCCAACCGCGCCCCCGCCCCCACCCCCCGACGCCCAACACCCCTCGCACTGACTTCTCACCGCCTGTACCCACTCCACTCATCAAGAACTCTTCTCCCGGCAAAACACTGCCTCATCATGAGCAATTCTGCCTCGGCTCTCACAACAAAATCCCACGATTACGAGCGCCAGTGGTTTAGCGGTAAAATCCATCGTTGCCATCGATGGGCCCCCGGTTCGACTCCGGGCTGGCGCATAGCTTTTGCACTGTGTTCCTCGTATCCCAGGCTTCAGGACTTTACTTTTTTGGGATCAAAGGCCACTGAAGACAGATAAAGATGTGGATGCCAAGATCCGGGGACTGGAGAACTCTCAACGCTGCGAGGAAACCAGAAAATGTGACAAACTCTTTCGGGTATTTGATCGTGGATAAGCGTGCGGCGTACTGTTCCGTAGAAAACGTTGAGATGGACGTGTGCTGTTTTCGGACGACCGAACACTCTTTTTGACCACGAGCTTGAGAGTCCTGGCACGAGGCACATTTCAGCCCATTCCATTTCTGTTGGACATGGACGCTATCCATGGGATGAAGGCCTAGAACTTCTGAAGCCAGGTATCAGCCTAGTCTATGTGACATGGACCAGCCTCAAAGGCGCCGGTGCTGAAGTATGTGGTGTGTACAAGGACCGGTCGAGATATAACCAACTTCGGGAAGCCCCATCGGAGGGCGGTTCATTGAACACATAATCTCGATCGTATGGTGGCTTCGCTTATCCATACTTCGAGATGAGCTTCTTCATGATTGACATAGCCCCGCCTCTATATCCACCACCAAACATGGCAAAGTGGTTGAGGTGGTGATATCTGTATCAACAGCATTGTCAGTCACAGCAGAAAGCAAACAGGGAGAAGAGATACTCACAACTCGTAAAGCGCCACCCGATCCTCCCACTCCTCCCTTGGCTCCGCCTTGGGAATCAACTTCTCGTACTCCTTCCAGAAGCCGCCAAAACCTCCGAACATGCGCATGTCCCCGAGTTCATATTCTGAATGCCCGTAGACAGCAGAGGCATCATAGACGACTTCTTCAACCCCTCCCTGTCCCGCGATAATGCCCCGGCTGTGATTCCCACTCCACAGGTCGCCGTGGATCACCACCGGCTTGATTCCCTTGACCGTGTCATCCCCGATCAGTCTTGGAACAACTTTTGCAGCAACGGTTTCCAAGGCCTTCTCGAAGTCACCGTCCTTCCCGTTCGACTTGACGCACTGCTTCCCGATGGGCCGCAGGCGGTTGTTCGCGTAGAAATCCGCCCACGACTCCTTCCACGAGTTATCCTGTTCCGTCGAGCCGCAGCATGTCGTCACAGGGAACCCAAACATGGGCCTGTCGTAGCCCTCCGGCACGGCGCCACGGTGGTGTGCAGCTTCGCCATCTTCTGCGCCAGGGACAGCCCAGAGCCCTCGGGGCCGGACCCTCGCAGGTCGAGGAAGTCGGTGGCGAGGAAGAACTTGCCTGGCGAGTCGTTGAGCTCGCCGTTGGCGTGCGACTCGGGGCAGAAGTTCGGGACGGCGTTGTGAATCGCGTTTAGGGACTCGTGCTCGCCGGCGAACATGACCTTTGCGTCCGTGCCGGTCCCCGTCTTGACGAAGTACCTCACCTCTTTGCCATCCTTGGTGCCCGATATCTTGAAGGTTGATGAGAAGCCGGAGCCGCCGTGTGATGCCTGCTTGGTTGTGTCGGGGTCAAGGCCAAGGGCGGCGAGGATGGCCGAATCCACGGTCGGGGCCATCTTTTACAGATCCAAAAGGGGCCGTCTTGAGTAATAGTGTACAAAGGGGAGAGTCGCTGGTTATGGGTTTGAGTAGGGAAGGTGTGAGTTCTGTTGAAGATGAGAGCTCAATGATTGAAGGTGATCGTTGAAATCGAGACCTCGGGTGAAGTCACTGTGTGAGCTGGTTGTGACGTCACCCACCTATGACGATTTCTGGTGTCTTCTTCAACCAGACAGTGATCAGGACGACTCAGAACACGATCTCGTCCGCGATCAATTCCCGAGGTGATCATGGTGTTTTCGGTCTTTCGGGAACTGGCGCTTTTTGGGTGAGCAGCGGTGCTAGAACTAGGCGTGTTAGTCGCCCCTGAACCGGGTCATGCCATGCGAGGGATACCACTTACGCCAACGGCGGGCACCTCCACTTACACTTGACTTGTCAATGTCAGCACGCACGCCCTTTGAATTCTTGGAATTTTGATACTCTCATTGCGTAAAGCAGCTATGGTTCTCGCTGGCTGTTGCGCCTTTCTGACACAAGGGTATTTCTCCATTTCTCATAGCAAACATTTGAGAGTATGAGCTGTGCATCATGTCGGCTTCATCGTCCTGACACGTATGCATGCCAATGTTCCTCAACAGGGACATGTGATACTGGTGCACACCCACATGCCTCCGTGTTTTCTCAGGCCTGAGCTACCGTGCCTCGCTAATGATACCCGGCCGCTCGTATCATATAGACAGGCAGCCTTTGCCACGGCCCCATTTTCACTTCTTGGATTTTCGTCCCAAAATTTCTTCGCATCTATGTCAAGGCAGGCATGATCTACCATGCCGGCCCCATTATTCCTTGGCTTGGGGGATTTCCTGCGCCGCAGTCCGTAGCGGCCGTGTCGAGGCCGTTGACTCGGCAGTCCGCCTCCGGCCCAGCGGAAGTCCAAATTTTTGCCAGCCGGCGGTCTCCTTCCGTTTCCAGACCGGAGCCGGTTTGGCAACAGAGCCGCCGGCAGAAGGTATTCTTATCTCTTTCGCGGGATGATCACAAGCCTCCCGCGTCTGCCTGTGCTCCTCCTTGTCAAAACATGCTGCGCAGGGGCAGACGAGTGGGCTCTGGTAGGAGTTGTGGCTCGCGCTTTGCGCAGGGTGGTACGAAGCGCGAAACCCGAGGACCATGGCGAAGGAATCGGTACGTATATACATATATATGTGCGTGCTAGGGTCCCGTCGGGAAGAGCCGGATAAAAGTCGGTATTGAGCCGCTGCTCTCAAGAGGCAAGGTGCATATGGGAGCGAGTGGCTGAGGTGATTCGCGGGTTCTTTGAGTGGGGACTAGCACCAGGATTTCTACCCTTTTTGAGCCGCAAGGTAAGGAGTGATAAAATTATGGCTGGACTTGATTCTAGAAAACTCTTCTTGTGGGAGCGTGAGTCTTTATATGCCTGGGTGCTTATTGCCGCCTCAGGGGTAGGTTGCGTGAAGGCCGAGTAGTCGCGACGCGAGAGGAATTATTGCACTGCAGTTGGAGTCCGTCGTACGAGACTTGTCGACGTACTCGAAATTCCCCGGCTACTTTTCTCTTGCGTACTTCACCATTACACACAAAGGCAGGAGCCCAGGTCGATCCATCTTGGCACTTGATTGTGATACAACTTAAGATTACTCCAGCTGCTGTGCTCTGGGTCTCGGGTATTTCCTGTGACGACGTGCTCTACCGTACTCTATGAACGATCATCATCGGCAAACTTGTGGTTCCAGAAGCCTCTGAAGTGCTTCTCGTTGCCCCTGTCCGCAATCAACTTGACCTCAGCAGGGGTCAGCTTGAAGCTCGGTAGCTTCGACAGGAAGCTCTTGAGTCTCTCCTCCTTGGAACTGGTTGTGATAGCAACAACACCTTGGTCCAGAATCCATCTCAGTGCGACATCCCCTTCCGAGACACCGTACTTCTTTGCTAGTTGTGCATAGACGTCATCCAAGGGGCCGGGCTTTGCCTTTGTAACGGCCGTTAGCCCCGCATACGCCGAGACAGCTATACTGTTCTTCCGGTGGAAGTCGAGTAAGTCGCCGTGCTGCAAATAAGGATGGAACTCGATCTGGTTGATAGCAGGTGGGACCTTGGCGGTCTCGAGGACAACCTCGAGGTGCTTCTGTAGGAAGTTGGACACGCCGATCGATTTAGCCCGACCTGAGGCCTTGATGGCCTCAACCTCCGCCCACTTCTGTTGGAGCAGCTTCGGGTCGCCGCCCGCAAAGAAGGGCGAGTGGATTAGGTAAAGGTCGACATAGTCCAGGCCCAGCTTCTGCAGGGAGGTGGTGAAGTCCTGCTCAATGGTCTTGTCGGCGCTGGGTTTGCTGAGCTTGGTAACCACGTAGAGCTTGTCCCTGGGCACTCCAGCTTCTTTAATGGCGAGGCCAAGCTCGGCCTCGTTGCCGTAGCCGTCTGCGCCGTCAAGGTGGAAGTAGCCTGACTTGATAGCTGTCACGGTGTCCGCGACAATCTTCTTGTCGATGGAGCCGGCAGCGTCGGCGCCACCCTTTTTGAAGTTTGCCGTGCCGAGCCCGTAGGCGATCTATCACATTTGTTGGTCACCAGCGACTTCAGGGCACTTTGGTGGGGCTCACCATAGGGATCTCTTCGCCATCGTTGAGCTTGAGATGCGGGATATACTCTAGCTGCTTGGGGTCTGCGCCTGTGGCATCTGGCTTGAATGAGGCTCCAGCAGAGTTCATCTTGGAGCACTGGTGGACAGTAAAGGTAGACCTGGGACTTAGTGACCAGCACGTCGGACGAATTGCACAAGATGAAGGTGTTATGAACTGCCGAGAGACGAAATACCGGGGGAGTCGATACATGTATGTAGAAGTGAAACAGTCTGATCCTCGGTCTGGAAAGTTACCGCCGATACTGCACAGTAAACTTGTTCTTATTCAGCGATCGGCACATAAACTCGCAAAGAACGGGAGCTTAAGCTTCCGTCGGATTGGATTTCCAGTCAGTGGGCTAATAGAGCTACGACAGAGCAGACACCCAGCCCGTTCGAATCCCACTCGCCACTCTACAGTCCCTTGCCCAAGGGCTTCGTGCCCACTGCATCTTCTTGGTCGTCAACTGCCAGGACAGGAAGCGCTGCTGTACTCCCTTGGTGAATCCTGCGGGGCAAATGGTGACGCCATCAAAGCTGCACGGCTCGTCAGTACCGTACCCGGGTCGGAGCTTCCTTCCAAGCTCCATTGCCGGGTTTCCAACTATGTACCCTCGGCCGGGGGGAGGGGGTGGTACAACAAACATCACACAGTTTCCGGGTAAGGGTTTCGCCAGCTTCCTATCTCTCTCACATCTCACATTGCCCCCGACCACACTGCTGCCAGTGAGTGCCTCACTGACTGTGGGAAACGAAGCAGGAGGCAATGGAGATGCCGCTCAGCTCAATCTCCACTTGACAGGCAGTGTCCACAATGAATTAGAATTTACAGGAAGAAGGGTCCGTCATACCTAGCACCTCGCAAGTTCTGGCCCGTCGCCTTTAAGCCCAACCGGTTCGCTGCGCCATGGCCTGGCCAGGTGAGACCCAACTCATAATAAATCAGGCAACATCCTCGCGGTCCCCTCCAAGAGAACCTCGAGGATCACTTCATCCCTCATCTCTTGCACAAATTCGGGAGCATGTGTCATGGTGAAGCCTCTCAAGACCAAGAAGAAAAACAAACCCTTATCGGCGCCCTCCTTGCCACCGGCCGCAGATGGTGCAAACGAACAACCGAAGAAAGCCACCGCCGCGATGACCTCTTCGTCAAGGCCTGGTAACACCCACCAGGCCGACACCAAGATCCACACTACCGCAAATGCCGCACTGAACGATGGGAAGACCACACTCAAGTCCGTAGAGTTCGCCGAGGCCCAGCCAAAGCAGGCGCTGGGGCCAGGTGCAGGAAAAGACAACAGTGAAATGGGGCTCAGCATATATGCGCGTCCGTTCGTCCCAGAGATTCTTACTGTCATCAACACTCTTCCCCCCCGGGAGGTACAGTCTACAGCACCAAGGAAAGCAATCAATTTTGCGGACTTTGTCGGCATATCCTTCGGATCTTTTGCGACCTCCCTACCGAGCTTGCCTATGCCCGCCCTCGACTTCCTCGCAGAGACCAGCAGCAGGAGCAGTATTCGCAACGCGAAGGAATACGAGGACTTCTTCCAGTTCCATCTCCGTGAGGAAACCCAAGCTCAGCAGACGCAAAATGAGGCATACTCCTTGTACGGCCAGGAAGTGACGATAAAACCCCACTCGCTCGATTTTCAGTCTTTTCAAAGTCAAGGAGAGACGATATGCTCGTTGCGGGTCCCCGGAATAAGAGAAAACAGCCCGTTTATTGAAGATGATGATGTGATCTATCTCCGAAGACTTGTATACGGCCGAGATGGTAGCCCACTCCTCATGAGGGAGTGGTTAGAGTGGACGAAGGCGAAGACACACACCAGCAATGTGCCACACCAGAGGCACATGTTCAAAAAGGACGGCCCAGCCCCAGGGTGGACAAATGTCTTGTATGTTGCGCGCGTGCTCAGTGTCTCACGCCCAAATCAGTTGCTCATACTTCGAGTAAGGGGCCTACCTGGCGGTGGGTTCGCGCCGGAGCGCACAGAGAGATTCAACGTGCAGTTCCCCTACCCTGTCGAGAGGTACCTCCCGATGCAGTATGCGCTTCCCCATGTACGGCGGGGGCTTACACAACTCCGAGAGTATCAGGAACCGAGGGACGGGCTGGAGGATGGCGGTACAAGCAAGCTCGTCGACCCACAAACCCAACAAGCAGTGCACTGGATTCAGTCGATGCTATTCCCAACTCTACGAGACTCTCAAATGCAGGAAAACCTCCACGCTGGCCAGTTTCGCCAAAACTTCTTCGACCAAGTGCTCAACTGGGAGCAAAAGAAAGCGGTCGAGGCAGTTTGCGAAGGAAAATATGGCAAGCTGCCGTACCTGATATCTGGGCCGCCTGGAACAGGGAAGACGAAGACTATCATCGAGACTGCATTGCAGCTCCTTAAGAATACGAGCGCTCATGGCCATATCCTCCTGTGTGCACCCTCAGATCCTGCGGCAGACACACTAGTCCATCGCCTGCGGCAGCATCTCAACACCAGCGAGGTGTTGCGGTTGAATAGACCAGGCCGCACATTCGCTGAAGTGCCTGGGGCTGTCTTGCCATACTGCAGCATCGTGAACAACACTTTCACACTGCCAGCTCTCCAAGAACTCATGAAGTATCGTGTGGTCGTCACAACCTGCCGCGACTCTTCTCTGCTTGCTCAAGCCAGGACGACGAATTCCGACCTTTACACGATGGAGAATTCCCTACGGAACCTGACCAGGTATGGCGTCTTACCGTCTATCACTTCCCAGACGCCGGTCCGCTATCATCGTCTTGCCAGGTCATTTCCACAGTGTCGGCGTCCCCTTCACACTACCCATGATACTAATTGTTGTTTCGTATTCTAGATCCTTTCATCCGCTAGACAGTGCCCCAGAGAGTACCAAACTCCACTGGTCTGCACTCCTCATCGACGAGGCCGCTCAAGCCACCGAGCCCGAAGCTTTGATACCCCTGACTGTTGTTGCGCCGCCCCTGAACGCTCCTGAGAACCTGTCACCACTGTTCGTCCTGGCTGGCGATGAGCACCAACTGGGCCCACGAACGTCGCTTTCTTCCTCGCCTCTCAAGCTGTCCCTTTTCGCCCGGCTATTCAAGCGGGCGGTATACGCAGATCACCCTCTAGCGAGGGGCAAGCCCCTGACGAAGTCTTTACTGCCAATTCCCTGTCCTGCGTTCGCCAACCTGAAGCGCAATTACCGTTCTCACCCAGCCATTCTCGCAGTGCCATCCAGTCTCTTCTATGCTGACGACTTAGAACCAGAAGCGAGCGACACAAACCGCCTGGCGGACTGGGACGGGTGGCGTGGCCGACACTGGCCAGTGCTCTTCCATGACAACGCCTCTCAAGACGAACTCGAGCTTCCGGGTTTGATGGAGGGCACGGGCGGGTGGTTCAATGCTGGAGAAGCCGACATCGCCTGCCAGTATGCGGCCTCACTCGTGACATCGGGACTAGTCGAGCAAAGCGAGGTTTGCATCATGTCTCCGTTCAAAGCCCAAGTCCAACGGCTGCGCAAGCACATGCGAGACCGCCGCATGTGGGATGTGAACATTGGCCCGCTGGAGGCATTCCAGGGGCTCGAACGGGGAGTAGTGATACTCTGTGTAACAAGGTCGAGGGCAAAGTTCCTTGAGCAAGACCAACACATGGGATGGGGCGTCATCGGCGACCCGAACAAGATGAACGTAGCACTCACAAGAGCCAAGTTCGGGCTTATTGTCATTGGCGGACGGGAGCTTCTGGTTGAGGACCCTAATTGGAAGGCGTTTGTGAGGTATTGCGAACGGAATGGCCTTGCCGCGGGAGAGGCAGAGGCCAGTGACGAATACGTCCGTGGCGACAACTCACACCAGCGAACTCGACTGGAAAAGGTCCTTATTGAAAAGGAGAGGAACTCGAAGCTGCAACACGTGGACGAGGGATGGGGACAACGATGCGACCTGAATACGGATCAAGAAATGTGGACGATGGGCATGGTGGAGCCACCGCCAGAGCTGTCAAGCAACGGATATTGAGGCTATGCAGAGAGCCAAAGAGAAGCGTCGTTCTCAGGGAAGATTTGGATAGAATAGAGAGCGTGTCGTTAGGATATGGACATGATAATCTTGCACTATCCTAGAGCGACGGTTTCACATCGGGAGGACCTGTCGTCCCGTTCTCGATACAACTTGGCACCAAAGAATTGATGCTCTTGGATTAAAATTCTCCTTGAGTACGAAGAGCAGTGATGAACCATGTAGTTACAATACTGGATCGTGACCTGTGAACCAAGCCAACGTTGAGACTGAGACGTTGGGGAGAGAAGCCCTCGTAACCCTCGTAACCCTCGTTGGGATCCTCCCCGGGGGCGGGGGAGGGGGTTCCTTCAGAGGGTGGGTGGCGAGGATGCTACGGATGTAACTCTAGGTGAGTAGCGGATCTGACATCACCATGAACTCGCAATCTTCGAGGAAGCTAATGCGCCCCGAGGATCTCTACACACCGTGGCGCCGTAGCCACCGCAGAATGACATCTTCCACCTCGGTCTCACGGAATAGAAGACGGTGACACAGTTTGTTGTCGCAAAAGCCCGTTGCTTTGAAACACAAATGTCACCTCGGCAGTCCCGGACTCTACTCTGTCTGTTCAGTAGAAGCGACCGTTGGAACTGCGACATGCGCCAAGTGTAATTCCTCCGCCGCAGATCTTGCAAATGCCGTTGCGCACAATCCTTCCACACCAGCTCCGGCGTATCCCTACCACGGCCCCGGCTACTGTCGCCCGCCGCCTCTCCTCCATGTCCGAACAACTCATCCACAGCGGCAACGGGACCGTCCCGACCCAGTCCGCTTCCACGTCGACGCCGTCGACGAAGGAGACCCTTGATGCCGAGCGCAGCGAGAGCCTGAACAAGCAAGCCTCGCAGCAGCAAGCCAATGGCAACGGCGATGGCGCCCACACACTTGCGACCCTGCCCAAGTCATGGCGCTTCACCTCGCAGCTTCCGCCCGACCCGCTCTTCCCCACGCCCGCCGACTCCCACAAGACCCCGAGGGACCAGATCACGCCGAGGCAGGTCCGCGGTGGGCTCTTCACATTCGTCGGCCAGTGACCCAGACCGACCCGGAGCTGCTCGCCGTCTCCCCCGCGGCCCTGCGCGACCTGAACATCAAGCCCGCCGAGGCCACCACCGACGGTTTCCGCCAGTGGGCGGCCGGCAACGTCCTCCTGGGCTGGGACGAGGAGCGGCTCACGGGCGGGTACCCGTGGGCGCAGCTGTACGGCGGGTTCCAGTTCGGCCAGTGGGCGGGCCAGCTCGGCGACGGGCGGGCCATCAGCCTGTTCGAGACGACGACGCCCGCGCCCACGGCTTCCGCCAGCGACCCCTGGGCGGCCGGCGGGGACGAGACGGTGTACGAGGTGCAGCTCAAGGGCGCGGGCATGACGCCCTACAGCCGGTTCGCGGACGGCAAGGCCGTGCTGCGGAGCAGCATCCGCGAGTTCGTCGTCAGCGAGGCGCTGAACGCGCTCGGGATCCCGACGACGCGCGCACTGGCGCTCAGCCTGCTCCCGAACAGCAGGGTGCGCCGCGAGACCTTCGAGCCGGGAGCCATCGTCGTGCGCTTCGCACAGAGCTGGGTGCGCTTGGGCAACTTTGACATCCTTCGCGCCCGCGGTGACAGGGACTCGATCCGCAAGCTGGCCACGTACGTCGCCGAGGAGGTGCTGGGTGGCTGGGAGCGGCTGCCGGCGAGGCTCAGCAACCCTCAGAAGCCGGCCGACGCGCCGGACCTGGAGCGCCCGCCGCGCGGACTGGTTGGCAAGGACGAAGTGCAAGGTCCCTCGGACGTGGCGGAGAACCGCTTCGCGAGGATGTACCGGGAGGTTGTGCGTCGCAACGCTCTGACCGTCGCTAAGTGGCAGGCCTACGGATTCATGAACGGCGTGCTGAACACGGACAACACCTCTATCTACGGGCTTTCGATTGATTTTGGACCTTTCGCCTTTATGGACAACTTCGACCCGGCTTACACGCCCAACCACGACGACCACATGCTGCGATACAGCTACCGCAACCAGCCTACCATCATCTGGTGGAACCTCGTACGACTGGGCGAGGCAGTCGGTGAGCTGCTCGGCGCAGGCGATACTGTCGACAGCGACAAGTTTGTCGTGGATGGCGTGTCCGAGGGCCCAGAGGCGGACGAGCTAGTGTCGCGCGCCGAGAAGCTTATCGAGCAGGCTGGCGAAGAGTACAAGGCAGTGTTCCTAACCGAGTACAAGCGGCTCATGACGGCGAGGCTGGGCCTCCGGCGGTTCCATGAGTCCGACTTCCAGGACCTGTTCAGCGGCCTGCTCGACGCGATGGAGGCTCTGGAGCTGGACTTCCACCACACCTTCCGCCGCCTCAGCTACGTTAAGGTCGCGGACCTGGCCACCGAGGACCTGAGGAGGGAGACGGCCGGCGTCTTCTTCCACAAGGAGGGCATCAGCGCCACGGGCATCTCGGACGCCGATGCCCGGCAGCGGGTGGCTGCGTGGCTGGACAAGTGGCAGGCGCGGGTCGTCGAGGACTGGGGCGTGGAGGGCGAAGAGGGGAAGCGCGTGATCGAGCCGGCCAAGGAGGAGGAGAGGATGGCCGCGATGAAGAAGGTCAACCCGAGCTTTATCCCGCGGAGCTTTGTGCTGGACGAGATCATCCAGAGGGTGGAAAAGGGTGGCGAGCGTGATGTCCTGCGACGGGTCATGCACATGGCACTGCACCCCTTTGAGGAACAGTGGGACGGCGAGAAGTTTGAAGGGGCGCAGTACAAGGGCGACAGGGAAGAGGAAGTGAGATGGACAGGCGATGTGCCCAGGTTCCAGAGGGCTATGCAATGTAGCTGCAGCTCATAGAAGCAAGTGATTTGGAACCAACAACATTCTTTGCACATAGCCAGTCCATAGAAGATACCAGACAACTGACCGCGAGACTCTAAATGAGGCTCATCGAACATTCGTATAATTCTTTCTAATGATGCCTTAGTATCTATTGTTCCATATCCCAACGTGCGAGTGCTCCGTATTCATGCAATCTCCCGCTCAGGCTTCATCGTCTAGTCTAATTCCCACCCTCTCACAGTACTTCTGGAGGCTTGGGCGGGGTGCCCAGTTCGACTATACTCTTTGTTACATGATACTCAGGCTTGGGCCTCGATCTCGTCGGCCTTCTCATAGCCATTGCCATTGCTGAGTTGCTCAGTCTTGACCCTCTCGAGCTGTTCCGCGATGTAGTTGTGCATGTGCTCATCCGCCTCTTCCTTTTCGCGGAGGCGCTGCGGGTCATCGGTCAGGACAACACTACCGCTAATACTATGGCCGTCTTGCTCGTCGTCGTAGCCATTAGCCTCACTATGGTCGAAGTCGCTCCGTGCACCTATCGACCGGGCTGTCGACGACCGCCTGATGCGAGGCATCGATGGCGACCGCGGAACGACCTGTCGGCTAAACACGTCATCGAAGTAATGGGCCATGCCGATTGACGGCGTGCGTGGCGTTTGTGGAAGACGGCAGGTGACACTGTGCAGAGTTAGTCAGGTGTCTGATGGAGGGATTTCTTTTGGGACAGATCCGATTCTTACCCTGTGTCGTGGATCAATCTGGCAATCAAACCTGTCCAGCCGCACTGATGTGTCGCTCCCAGACCACGACCCGTGTCTCCATCGAAGAATTCGTGGAACCACATATTATCCTTCCACAGAGGATCGAAATCAAGCGTGTCGTCACCAGCGTTGATAGCTCGACGGCCATCGTTGTCACGGGTGAAGAGGTGCTGCAGCCGGTGCTGGAGTTCTTCGGCCACATGGCCTAGATGCATGTAGTCACCGGATCCAACGGGGCACTCTACCTGCAGGCTCTGTCCGAAAAACAGGTAGTATCGTTGCAGCGACTCAATGAGGAGGAAGTTGACGCAGAGCCAGACCGGGCCACGCCAGTTGCTGTTGCCTCCAAAGAGACCGCTGTCAGAATCACCTGGGACATAGCCCACCTGGAACTGCTGTCCGTTAACGTCCATGGAGTAAGGATGTTTCTCGTGATACTTGGACAGAGATCGGATGCCGTGAGGACTCAGGAATTCATCCTCATCCAACATGCGTTTTAAGAGCTTCTCTAACCGGTCCTTGCTCACGATGGACAGGAGAATTCGGTTCCCTTTTCCACGCTTGCGAATACTGTGCATGTTCCGCTCTGCAACGTCGCACTTATTTGCCATGAACCATTCCAGCCTTCTTTTGAAGGAGGGAAGCTTGTTGATCAGCTCTGGCTCCAAGGTCAGAGTGGCATACATCGGAATCAGGCCGACCAGGGAACGGACTGGCATCTGTTGAATCCAAGGTCCACCCCATGAAATCGCGTCGTAGTAGAAGCCGTCTTCGTCATTCCACAGCGATTTCTCGTCTTTCTGTCCTGTTCTGAACGTCATTGCGTCGCTGATGAGGATGAAGTGCTCAAAGAACTTTGAAGCAATGTCCTCATATGTGCGCCGATGCTTGGCGAGCTCAAGACTAATGTTCAGCATGCAGAGGCAGTAGAATGCCATCCAGCCTGTGCTGTCTGCTTGCTCCAGGGTACCGCCGGTGGGAAGGGGGTCTGATCGGTTGAAAAGGCCGATATTGTCCAGACCAAGGAACCCACCCTCGAACACGTTCTTGCCCTCCACGTCCTTGCGATTTACCCACCAGGTGAAATTAAGAAGTAGCTTCTGGAACACGCGCTCCAGGAAATCGAGATCCTGCCGTCCGTACAATTTGCGCTCGATCTTGAAGGTGCGGAAGGTTGCCCAAGCGTGGACCGGCGGATTCACGTCCCCGAAGTTCCATTCATAGGCAGGGAGTTGCCCATTTGGATGCAAATACCACTCCCTGGTGAACAAATCGAGTTGTTTCTTGGCGAAGTCAGGATCGATCATGGCCAGAGGGATGCAGTGGAAAGCGCTGTCCCAAGCTGCGAAGAAAGGGTACTCCCACGAGTCTGGCATGGAGAGTATGTCATCACAATGCATGTGCCTCCACTGCGAGTTTCTGATAGCCTTTCTGTCTGGGGGAGGTGGCGGCTGGGCCGGATCGCCATTAGCCCATTGGTCCCAGATGAACAGATAATGCTGCTTGCACCACATCATGCCCGAGAAGGCTTGTCGCTGGATGTTACGCAGGTCATCCGACATGGGCAGGGGACTGATTTTATAGTAAAAATCGTCGGCTTCATCCTTGCGGCGCTCGATAATGTCATCAAACTCCTCTTCGTCCAGGTAGGTGTCATCCTTCTTGCTGAAACGGAAACGGACAACTGCGGCCATTAGCGGAAGCTCTCACATAGACAAATGATAACAATCGAAACGTACCAGCACACTCTCCCGGCGGGACACCACCGGCCTCGTTGAACGGGAACCAAGCAGCGCATTTCGTCCCGCGCTGTGCGGGATTCACAGCGTCCTTCTCCCCATCGACAATGTGCCTGTGGAAAGCGTCCTTCACGTAGGGTTGGGGGTTCTCCCCGCCGTAGAGAAGCTCGAAGTTGGTATCATTTTCGGTGAAGAGCATCGTTGGGTCGACATCATCCCCGCTGGGGCCAACGCCTGGGGAAGGAGAAAGCAGGAAGTACCTATCTCCCAGGGAGTGATGGTGTGACTTGGCCAGGTTCTCAGAGTGCAGCCTGATCGAGGGCTTGTTCTCCTCAGGCTCGCGACCCCAGGCCCAAGTGTTTCTGAACCACACGTGAGGAACGATATGAATTGGCTTGGGCTCATTGCCACGATTCCAAGCAGTCACTCGGAAGAGCAGCGAATCTGGGTCATCGTCCTCTTTGGCCGTCTCAATGATTATGTCCCAGTACTTGTCATCCTTGAAGCAGCCTGTGTCAAGAAGTTGATATTCCCTATCCTGCTTGCCTCGCTTTGCGTTTTCGTCTCGAAGGTCATCGTAGGGGAACTCGGCTTGGGGGTACTTGTAGAGAAACTTCATATAGGAGTGCTGAAATCGTGTAAGCTCTAGTCAGATGGAAACACACTGGTTCAGGTTGGGGAAACCCACAGTCTGCATAAATTCACAAGGTCAGCAACTAGCGTCCAAGTCCAGGGCACGGAGTGATACTGACAGGAGTGTTGTCCAGGTGGAAATGGGCCTCCTTGACGCTCTCGCCATGGTTCCCTTGTGGGTTGGACAAGCCGAAGAGTCTTTCCTTGAGGAATGGGCTATTTCACATCAGCGGCTGGATCCGACGTTGCACATTGGCAGGCTGCAGACGCACTCCTTCTCGTTCCAAAAGGCAAAGGCGATATTCTGAAAGCCGTGGGTGTCGCTGACTCCGGCGATGCCATCTTCGCCCCATCTGTAGGCCCGGGAACGTGCGTGATCGTGAGGAAAGTCTTGTGGAGAGGTTACTGTCAGTAATTGCCGTGAACCCCAGATTATGAATCGTGCCCCAGGATCCCCGGATTTCGAAGATGTGGAGGTGGAGTTTTGGGCACACAGAAAAAGGGCCTAATAACTCACGACTCCAGGCGTCACCGTCGGCACTGTAGTCCTCTCGGACTATGGTAAGACACACTCGTTAGCTACGGCTTTCCCAATATGCCCACGTGCTGGCACACCACAGCACAAAGAGCACAAGGGTACTCGAGTGCGACAAACCTGTAGCCCATTGCCTCTCGGGCAGATACGAGCCCCACTTCTTCCAGTACTTGGTGCGGTGGCGGTCTTCCTTCAACCGCCTCTCCTCAGCAGCTAGAATCTCATGGTTGTCGTAGACGACCATGGTTGTCAGCAAAGCTCAACGGAGCGAGCTGCAGCAAGACAGGAAACTATTGACGCGCTGGCGACCGGATCCAGCTCAATGGTTTAGGTTCGATGGCGGGGATAGGTACAGCAGCTTGAGAAGGTCAATGGGCGAAAAGATGTAGCGGCTGTCTCCGCTATCCAATGCTAGGTGAGATATTTTGAGGTATGAGGAGGGAGGCAAGGTTGAGGGAAAAGGTCGAGCTGGGAAGCTCTGGGAGACGGGCGACGATAAGCTCTAGTGGGGGTGGACGGTGGTGCTCAGTCAGGCGCTACTACCTAGGTACCTAGGTAGACTACTTGGTAGGTAGAGAGGAGACAAGAGAAAATTCAATCGCCACAAACGTGCAGATAGAAAACACGCCAAGGTTTTAGGATGGCGCATGGAAAGGAGCTACTGCTCCTGCTTAGCCTCACGATGGAACTGCTTGCTGACTTGTCCAGGAGCGGTCAGGTATGCAGAGTCGTAGCAGCGGCCGTAGCAGTAATCCACCCGGGGTACGTACGGAGTACTGTGACCCAGCCTTGGAGCTGAACTGGCCAGGCAGGCCGGCAGACCAAGGTGAGTCGTTGGAGCTGCAGTGCTGCACCCGGACGGGGCTCGTGCTGCAAGGAATGCATCGAGTTCTCTGCCTGTGGCGGGTTGAGATAAATTCGGAAACAGCAGGGACGCCCTGGGAAGGCCCTGTTCCTTCTGCCGTTCCTGTTCCTGGCCTTGGCCGCCTGCTTGCGCCTGACCAACCAACCAACAGTCAATTCAACGAGCCATGGCCCGCGGGAAGGATGCAACGTCGGCAGCGTGCTGCTTGCACTGCTTCCCGCTTTGCACCGGCATCTCTGCTAGTACCGACGCGGCTCTGTGGCCGTTACAGGGTACCCAGCGGTCTAGATGAGCCCAGGAGCTTTTGAGCTTCCAAATGTCGCGCGGGAGCTTCCAACACAAGAGCCGCGATAAGAGAAGGTAGCTCCGCATTTGGGCCGGTGACGTCATTAGCCCTCGAGGGGAGCTCAATTCGAGATGCAGGCCTGTGTTTCAAGTTCGGCTCAACAATTGCCTGTGTCAGTTGAACTGAGAGAAGACCACAGGGTACAGATACACTTTCGAGAAATACCACTCAACGCACATGCAGAACCACGACAATGGCACAACTTTATGACTCGCTCATCATCGTGAAATCGGTATTGGTCTACAAAATGGGGCCTAATGCCGTATTTATCCATCGTTCATTGCCCGACTCATTCAAGTGCCTTGTCGCCCGTCACCAGGGCTCTGAAATCAGCACCCGCTGCAACCTTGAAATGTTGCTTGCAGATCTCGCTGTGGACGCCGGTGGACTCCTCCACGGCTCCCATCCCGGGGTTTACATGAAGATTCTCATTCGTTCCCGAACCCCTGCTCTACTCCGTGACTCCGTAGCAACGTGTAACCGGGCTCTGACGGCTGCCAACCCGCCATGGAACGCCTCGCTCGCCGGAAGTAGCACTTGTACACTGAGCAGAACTCATGTGCTGCCTCTGTATGCCATCACAGCTTTGCCTTGAGTGGCTTGGGCGGTGCGGTGGCATCCTTGTTAATGACGACCTCCTCGCTCTGGTTCTGCGCCTTCTCGCCGTTGCCAAAGAAGATGACTTGGACCGTGAGGTCATCTCTGTGAGTGTGTGTGGCGTTATTAGCAAATATACGCTAGCAAGAAAGTATACACCCATGGCAACTCACCTATATCGTCGCGAATAAGGAGACGGCAGTGTCAGGAGCGCCGAGACCATCTCCTCGTTCTTCCCGCCCAGGGCGTTGCGGATGAGATGGGTAGCGACGTTGCTGTCCTTCACAACGAATCTGTCGTCGTCTTTTGAGATGCCCCATTGTCGCACACGGATCGGTGTCTTCTGGCCGTCATCACCGGCTGCAGTTGTGCCTTGCTCGACTGGAAGGCCGTTCTTCTGCGACGCGCCGAAGATCCTAGTCCACACCGAGTCGAACTGTGAAGTTGAAGCCTTGTTGGTCTCAGTTTCGAGCCATTTGCCCACGAGCCCGACGACTTCTTCGTTGGTAAGCATCTCCCACAGGCCGTCGGTGGCCAGAACCAGGAAGTCGCCCTTCTCGGGCTGGACTTTGGTAGTCGTGACCACTGGCTCCGCTGTCACATATGGGGGCGTCTTGAGGAGGGGAGACTGGGAGCGGCCGAAGAACGATTGCCGCAGCTTTTCCGCAATGTCCTTGCTCCACTTGTAGCTAGCATCCCCAAACGCACGCGAAGGCTCCAGGCCTCCCAGAATTCTACCATTTCGAACGACATGCTCTTCACCAGGGTGCTGCTTACGCAACCGGTTGGCCTCATCTGGGTTACCGCCGGTCTGGTCGACCGACAGCGGAGTAGCGGTCCACTTTCCACTGTCGGAGCGACGCCCCAGAACGGCCCGAGAGTCTCCAGTACAGGCGACACGTAGGAGGTTGGACTGGCTGTCGTAGAACGACAACAAAGCACATGACCCAGATAGCGCTGGCGCGAGCAGCTCGGCGGCGACAGAGCGAGAGTTTGACTTCAAGACTTCCTGCACACTGTGGTGGACAATCTCGTCGTCCAGACGTGTGAAGCCCTTCTTCATGGCGATATCGACGGCCTCCGATGTGGGAGAATTCCCGCCGGCCTTGTATGTCTCATTGAGCTCGCGGGCGACGTAGCGGATGAGGTCCTGTCGCAGCTTCGCCGAAGTTGTCCAACCGCTGTAGTCTCTTGGTTAGGACCGATTTATCGAAGAGAGAAGCGCATCGTGAGCTTACGAATGACCGTCAAAGACTCCCCAGAACATCCAGTCGCTGCCAGACTCCGAGTCTCCCCTTACGGGCACCTCGACGATTTTCTCGGCGTGGTCGTCCTCGATCGGGTTGTTGCTTGGCAGCTGGACCTGATCGTACCTGACGACGCCCTTCCCTCTGTTGACCAGGTAGGACTCCTCCATCTTCCTCAGCTTCTGCGTCGACTGGTCAGCCGTCAGCATCTCGACAATGGCGCGGCCCTCGTCATCCGTCGTCTTGCTTATCGGCCCCTCCCCAACAAATGTGCCGGTGGACAGTTCTTCGGCTCCTATAACGAGGACGGAGCGGGTGGGGATGGCATCGCCGGGGCTGGTGGGCGAGGACGAGGATGATGAGAAGCCGCGGGTGAGGGCGGCGGCGGTGTCGGTCGAGTTGCCGTTGTAGGTGTAGTAGGCGCCGTAGCCGACAATACCGGACAGCAGGGCGACGATGGCCCTTCGTGCATTCATCGAGGATTGGAGAGGCTCTCTTACGGTGTGGGCATGCTTGATGGGCGCTCGCGAGGTGAAGGAGAAGCGGAGGGGCTGTTGGGAGTGGGCAGGGATCTGACTCTGCAGCAGCGAGCTGTGGACGTAGGAGCCCCGTCGATTAGCTCGGTACGAGAGACCGCGGTGGCCTCGAACGGTGCATTGACACGTCCGAAACGCCCTCGTAGCGGCACGACGCATGGCGGCTGCTTTGTTGACCGGAAAGGCTCCCAGGGGCGTCGCGGAGTGTGCTGTCAGCTGTCCTGGGTGAAGCTATGTAGCCTGGTGACCAGACGACCCAAGGCCCAGCAGTCGGCGTCGTTCAGGCAGGGACACAACCGATCCCTAGGCGATCCTCGGGGGTCCGAGATAGGAACACATGGTCCGAGCGCCCGAGGCGGACTACCTTTGGGAAGACGATGTGAGCCTGTACAACTGCTTACCGAGAGACGCTCCTACATGTCTACATAGCTAGGAAAGAGCACAGGACCTTTGAGAGTAAGACGGCATGGTCGCACCGTTATCATGAAGACTGTATAAGAACATGTATAATCATTAAGAAGGACTATGAGCTGTGCCCAGCACAGGCGGGGAGAGTGCAAAAGAAGCTCCAGCGAATAAAGTCCTCCAGCGCCTCAGCATTTCTCGGGCATTAAACGCCCACATCGTTCCTGCCGACTGCACCAAGAGCACTGCCGGAGCCTAACAGTGTCGCTTACAGGACTAAATCCGGAAACCTGCCGGTCTTTCGTCGACTCCACATCTCCGTGCCGACCCGGGGTGTCTAGGCCCGCTCGGCATCGGCCCGGCCTCCGTCTTGTCAACTGATCACCTTGGATGCCCAGCTCGTGAACGTCTCGATACCCACCAACAAACCCCCCCCCCCCCCCCGACCTCCCACTCCTCAACGCGGTGCGGATCGTCTCTCACAGGCGAGAAGACTATGGCCGACCTCAACGGCGCCGAGGCCTCAGCCTCAGGCCCAGCCCATAATGACGACTATGCATACCGGTCCTTCCACGAGTACAGATGGGACCTAGACAAGGACTTCCTCGTAAGCCAACTCGCTTACCCACCACCGTGTAGAGCATCCCCGATCTGACAACGAAGCCAGGGAGGCCTCGTTCTCGCCCTGGGCGGCTACCATGCCCTGGCACAGACCGCCTCGCAGGCCGACATCGTCATGCACTCGCGGATATTCTACTACGCCCGCATCAGCGGCACCACCATCCCCTACGCCGGCTACAGGGACTGGCTCCGCGCAAGCTACCAGGCCGGTCAACCGGCCCGCCTCTGGGAGTGGGACCTGCTGGAGGCCCTGTGCAACCACCGCGACAGGCTCGCCTCTTCTGCAGCTGGCGACGCCGCATCGCTGGCAACGAGGCGCGAGGAGGCCGCCGCCGAGAAGGCGCGGTGGGCCCGCGCACTGCTCGCCGAGGATTCTTCGTTCCAGGCTCGGCCCGGGACCGGCGCAGGCGGGGATGGCGCGCTGATGAGTCCACGCCGTCGTGGATGGCCGCCGCGCCCAAGACCGAGCTGTACGTTGACCGGACACTGGCTGCCAACGACGACGACGGCGACGAGTCTTCCCCTGCGTACCCGGAGCGGTTCGCCGCGATCATCAAGGCTGTGCAGACGGGCGAGCCGGTCGAGGGCATCGTGGAGATCCCCGACATCGTGGCAAGAAATTCGGTCAGTCGTCACCCCCACCCCCCGAAGATTCCCGTGGTCGCGTCATGACTTGAATACACGGCGTTTCTGACATGCGTAGACCACAACTCCGTTTGGATCGATGGCTAGGCCACCGAAGCCCTGGGAAAAGGCCCGGCTGGACGCGGGCACTGAGCTCCACGCTGAAGGGGGTCTCGTAGCCCAGGTTGATGAGAAATTTCCGGACGACGATATCGAGATGCCTGGAGGTCGTACCTGATGAAGCAAGCATGTCGCACTGAAATGCTGCGACGTCACACTCATCCAATCCTGAAAACGGTGGCAATAACACTTTGACATCTTAGTGGTCTATACCTCATCCACCCACAAAGTCCATCAGACCAGTCGACGGACTTTGGTTCTGACACTGTAGCCTGTGACAAGGCACATCATGCGACCGATGCCGCTCCACAAGAGAAATCAGACTGTGGCATTCAATGGCGGTCATTTCTGTGTAATCGCACAGCGAGCACATAACCTTCAAACTGATACTCAATGGGAATTGATCTGGTCATAGTGGCCTATTACTCCTGTATATGTACAAAGACAAACGTGAAAGCATGGCCACAAATTGCAAAGGACGCCTCGAGAAGCTGCGAATATTTTTCTATTCACTAGGACCACACACTCATGCACCGTAAGCGACCTGTCCAAGAGGCTTATCCTCCTCCATACCCGGCGCCATAAAGTTGGTGCGTGGGTCGCCAGTAGCCTTTGCGGCCGAGCAACGAGCCATTGTTGGTGAGCTGCAGCATAGTCGTCAGTAACGTGGTAAAGCTTGGTCTGCAGTTCTACATACCTTCGTGAAATCACATCTGTAAAGTAAAAGTTCTCGATAGGGAGCTTGAGGGGCGTGCCGGAGGCCTTTGCGCCCTTGTTCTGGTCCACCAATTGCACCTTGCTAAGCTGCTGCAATGCCACAGGCTCAACGACGTCGTATGCTGCCAGGGCAGGGCTGATCTCGACCATTCTGTCCCGCAGGGCAGCAACATCATCATATGGCAGAGGAGCTCCGAGGAACTCACTCACTGCCCGAATGATCTTCCAGTCAGTACGGGCAGCGCCAGGCAGTGATGTGGCGGCTCTGGTAAGTTGGACGCGACCCTCCGTGTTGACGTAGGTAGCGTTCTTCTCTGTGTAAGCTGCGCCGGGGAGAACGACGTCCGCGATCTGTGCGCCCTTGTCACCGTGGTGGCCCTGGTACACCACAAAGGCGTCCTTGGGAATGTCGGCTTCGTTGATCTCATCAGCTCCAAGCAGCCAGATGAACTTGGGAGCCGTCTCGGCGACCTCGGCAGAGGGTGTCACAAATCCGACCTCGAAGGCACCTGCGCGAGAAGCGGCCCTCTGGAGAACGTTGTAACCGTTCCACTCCTCCGTCACGAAGTTGGCGGCGTTCTTGTCAATGAAAGCTCCGATGGTCTCATAGAAGGCCTTGGCATCAGCATGATCCGTGACTCCAGAGCCCACAACGATCATCGGCCTCTTGGCAGCTGAGAGCTTCTTGCCAAAGGGTCCCGCAAGCGCCTTCTTGAGGGCGTCCAAGTCTGTTCCGAGGTGCTCAAACTCGAATGTCGAATCCCAAGACTCGCCGACCACGCCGATCTCAAGGTCTGAGCGCATCCACTGCTTCCTGATACGAGCGTTGAGAACAGCAGCCTCATGTCTTGGGTTGCTGCCGACAATGAGAATAGAATCCGCCTCTTCAATACCCCAGATCTTCGAGTTGAAAAGATAGTTGGACCGAACGTCAACACCGTGAGCAACAGGCTGGCTGCCTGTAGGTGTGTCGAGGGCCAGGTTCTCAGAGCCCAGCTTGTTGGCAAGCTCCTTCATGGCAACCAGAGACTCCACATCAGTCAGCTCACCAGCGACAACCTTGAACTCGTTGCCCTTGGGGGTTTTCTGCTGCCACGCCTGAGCGATCTCTGTCAGAGCTTGCTCCCAGTCTGCAGGCTCAAACTTGCCCTCCCGGCGGACTAGAGGCAGGGTAAGGCGCTGCGTCTTCAGACCATCACAGGCAAATCGTGACTTGTCGTTGATCCACTCTTCGTTGACATCATCGTTCACCCGAGGAATGACACGCATGACCTCGAGACCTCGGGAGTCGACCCGCACGTTTGATCCAAGTCCATCCAACACGTCAATGGTCTCGGTCTTCTTAAGTTCCCATGGACGAGCGCGGAAGGCGTAGGGTTTCGAAGTCAAAGCACCAACAGGGCAAAGATCTATTACGTTTCCGGACAGTTCCGAGTCGAGGTTCTGCTCCAAGTAGGTTCCGATCTGGATGTCGTTGCCACGGCCCGCTGAGCCGAGTTCAGGAGCACCCGCGATATCGTTTGCGAACCGAATACATCTTGTGCAGTGGATGCAACGGTTCATCGACGTCTTGATCAAAGGCCCGATGTTCTTGTCCTCGACGGCTCGCTTGCCACCGATCTCGTGGAATCGGCCACGGTCTCCGCCGTATCTCATGGACTGGTCCTGGAGGTCACACTCGCCACCCTGGTCGCAAATGGGGCAGTCCAAGGGATGATTGGCCAGCAAAAACTCCATCACACCCTCTCGTGCCTTGTGTGCGAGCGGCGAGTTGGTCTTGACGACCATGCCGGGTGCGACTGGCCATGCGCATGATGCGACGGGTTTTGGTGCTCTCTCGACCTCGACCAGGCACATACGACAGTTTCCTGCAATCATCAACTTCCTGTGTGTATTCGATTAGCCGCGGTTCGAAGGATTGTGTGTCGTCGGAGGAGGGGGAGGAGATTGTGGGTTCGTCGTACTCATGGTAGCAGTATCTAAGAAGTTTTGTTAGCTAAAAGGTCACTAAAATATGGGATGTCGTGAGGAAGTACCTTGGAACTGTTGATCCCGCCTTCTCGCACGCTTGGATCAAAGCCGAGCCAGCTGGGAGAGTGTCAGGGAAGCCAGGCCAATTGGGACCATTGGATCATCTCACCTTCTATAGACACCTTCTTGCCATCTTCAGAACTGTTAGCATTGCCATGGGCGCGGACTGTCTCGTGGCGCCATCAACGTACCAATTGTGAGCTCGACCTCGGCGGGCCGTTGAGCTGTCACGGAAAAGGCTCTGGCGGCGTTGGAGGCGGTCCGCCTGCCACTCCGCCAAGCCGAACGTGCCAGAGTCTGTCGCAGCATCGTATCGTCTCGACGGCAGAAAAGGAGTGGGGAAGGGACGGGCAGGAGGGAAGGGGCGCGGGTTAAGTGGGAGTCGTCAGAGTGTTGACGTCGAAGATGCTACTGCTATGCTGCTCTGGGGGGATCTTTGGCCACTGGCAGAATATCCGACGCATTAGAAAGGCTAAAAGGCGATTGGCCGCTGGTCGAGCTTGGTGGGGCCAAATTTGCTGGTCCGTGCACGTCCTGGAGCTCGTACCCTAGATAAAAACGCAAATTGCTTGGCGGCTGCTTCAAGGAAGACCTTCTTTTCTCCTTCAACTCATTCACGGGCACATTTTATTGTAGGTGAGCTTGAGCTCTGTCTTGCGCAAGCATGACGGTTGCTTCAGTCGGGCTCTCCTCTATCTTGTGCTCCAGATCAATATTTAACGCCGATTTGGAAGTATGTGAGAGCCAATTTGGCTCAATGTGCAATGCCTCTTACCGCCGGTCGTTACATCCCAAATCATTTTCGTGACCTTGATCAGTACACATCGCCCAGCTTCCGTAGCATGAATGCATGTGGCCGTCATTTGAGGCTCCGATGTATCAGGTTCTTCAGAGCTAATACCGGGATGCCCGTCGTGGCCCAAATAAAACAAAGTACAGATTTCGTAGCCCTGCGGTGATATCAGACAACACAGCCGCATGCTTAGTACGGACTGCATACATTCCATATTCACGCAGTGTGCAAGTCCTTGCAAGCGCACAATGACCTCGGTCGCGATGATAGACTCCTATGCCCAGTCATGCGCCCGCTTCTCCCTCGCGATGCTGTTGTCGAGTTGATCGCGAATTCCTTTGATATGGCACGCGCTGTACTCCTCCATATCTCTGACTCCACGGTGGGCTATGGCGAGCACCTCCCGAGCCAGTCTCTCATGGGGAGACAGACCGTCCGGGGGCAGCTGCCCAGCATTCTGTTGGTCGTAGCGCTGGAACTCGGCGATCTTCTCTGGTGGTAGGTGATAGGAGACGTTGGGGTTCGCCGGTGCTGCTGAAATGTTCGCAAGGTGCCGGTCTGCCTCCTCCCAGGTCAAGGTAGCCGTTTGACGCGGTTGGGAGAGCACGCCGGACTTTTGGGCCTCCGTCACATGTCGCCGCGCCTCGCGCTCGTAGAACCAGTTGATGTTGTCTCGCACTTTCATCTCGTTGGCGTCGAGGCTTGCCTTCATCCGCTGCATGCGCTCGACTCTGTCTTTGGCCGGCTCTATCGGCTTCAAGAGATCATCTTGGAGCGGGACGAAAATGGTTGGGATGACATGGGTGAGAGGAGGCACCTCGTCATCAGGTAACAGCTGCGGTTTTCCTCTGATTTGGTCGGCCATAATGGGTGCATCTCTTTGAGCAGGTGTTGCAGGTGTTGTGTGACCGCTGCGTGATGAGGCCATGTTTCTAGATGGTTGTCTGGCGCGCGATGTTTCTGCCTGGTGATGTAGAATCCGTTTCGCAAGCTTGGGGCTGCTTTTATTTTGAAATGGTTGTTGAATGAGCGGCGTGCAGTGTTTACAAAAGAGAAAATTACTGCCACTGGGGGGAACTCAACCTGGACGTCAACAGCACCTCTTTTGGACCCTCTCGTCTGCAGGCTTGGGCTCGAAATGTCCCCCAAAAAGTCGCCTTACTGAGTGATGCCTTGAAACGGGGCACCTATTGAAGGTCCAAGTAGGCGTCCTCCAATGTTGCTGAGACCTAGCAGGACAAATCCAAGATTTGGGATCATGGGTGCAGCGTACGCGGGCGAGCAAGGAATCTCGAGGTCGGCGGGACGGGGTGAGGGGTTGCAATATAGAGCTCGAAATTCATTACAACGAACGCAACCCACTCAACCGACGTCGAAGCATATCTAGGTAGATATTTTATGACCATGTTCAACTCTCTCTTGTAGTCAACAACCACCCTGACCTGACCGTGTTCGATGTACAACGTAGTCACATATCGGGGAAATGGGCTAGCGGGGAAAGTGGCCCCTTGATGTCTCATTGAGATGCCTTGGGATATTCTTGTATCCCATACCCTACTGTGATGAAGCCCAGAGACTAGATGGTACCATAATAACAGCATCTACCATTGCCTGGCAGGAGGGTCGTGCTGTACAAATTGGGCCATTCAACAGAGTCACTGCCTAACTCTGGTGCTCACTCTCCAAGTGTTACCCCATGAACGGACACGGGCGCCCGGACTGCAAACATCTCGGCGGCCCCTTGACACTGAGCTGTGTCTGAGGCAAGACAATAAGCCCTGTTGCTGAGGGCTTGAACGCGGTCGGCCTGGTGGTGATGCTCGGCCCAACGGTCCCACTGAGCTTTCCGTGGCTTGCCTGCCTGCGTCCTATGCCAGCCAGGCAGCCCCACTCCAGGTTGTCAATTTTCGTGAGGTCTCCTTCCTCATAAACTTGTCATCTCGAGGGCAGGACCTTCCGCACGTACTCTCTTCCAATTTTCACGGCTGCCCGGAAGTGGTCCTCCAGTCTTCTGTCTTTCCTCCTCCGCATCCATATCAGGACAAGGAATATCAGGAGTGCATCGGCAACGGCATGCTTCATGACCGTCCAGAGCAGCCACCTAACCCAGGCCCCAAAGCTCCTCTCTTTTCTGGACCTCCATTCTCGCCCGGACGTTATTTGTTCCCTGAGAGCCGCTATCTCCGTAGAAAGTCGCACGATCGCCCGCTCCATCTTCTTGGACCACTTGCCCCCCCTCTTGACATACTCGCCGTCGTCATCCGGGTCACCGGCAGCCATGCGCCTCTGGTAGTCTAGCTCCGCCTCGTCCTCCTCGCTCATTGGGCTCAACACCTTCATGGGCCCGTCGGTCCCTGCCATGGGTTGGGCAAATCTTTTTGGGCTTGTGTCCGTGCTCATACCTAGCTGTTTCGCCGACTCGTTCGAGGAGCTCGGGCTGTTGTTCTTGATCTGGTTCCATACGAATTCCAACTCGGATACCAACTCTGCTGCGTCCCTGTCTTGTCGCATCAGTAAACACGCAACATCCGCACCACAGTGCTGCCGAAGGGCTGCATTATGCTACTCACGGTGTTGTAGCGTATTTGTGCATTGTCTCGATCAAGGCCTCGATATACCGCCTCTTTGCCTCAGTACGGCTCAGGCCCCTCTGCGAGTCCCACGCGTCCCACTTATCTTGTTCCCTCTGTAGTTCGTCCCCGTGCATGCCTGAGCTGGCAGTCGGCCTATCCATGACTCCATCGACGTCGCCCTCCATCGCCTGCTTATAGAGGCCGTAGAGTCGCATCCGATCTGACGGCGGGGGCCGCAGTGCCCCGGTCTTGGGGACTTTCTTGACCGTGTTAAGAGCATGGACGAACACCCGATCTGAACCGAGCCGTGAGGGTTAGATACAAGCCTGCTGGGAAAATCCAGGAGGAGGATTGGTTCCTACCGACTGAGTCCGCCATGTTTGCAATTGTTTGCTGGTGCCCACCACGGCACCAGGGCAGTCGTGTGCTGTCCCAGAAATGAGGCGCTATGCGGTGACTCGAGGGTTGTCAACAGCCAAGTCAGTTGGCACCCGTTATCGGAGCAGTCTTGAGTGAGCTCGCTGGTGGTGTTATGGTTTGGGCGCGAGATTGGAGGTATTTGGGCTCGCAGGCGCGTGGAGAGGTCAAATATCCAACTTCTCTATACTCGGTATCATCATCAATGGCGGGGGAGCGTTTGGTTGGCATTGAGTAACCGCATCATCTCTCCATGACCCGACGTGTTGGCTAGGCGCGTGTAATCAGCGGGCCCGCCATCCCGGACTGGACCTCGGCCGAGGTAACTGACGGCAGCTTTCGGGACATGGGGGGAACCTGTGGGCCATTTCACCCGCCAAACCTTAAACCCCAAGCGCGACAGCCGGATCATCAACTTACCCCAGTCAACATTCTCACTGATAATATTTGGCTTGCGACGGAATTCGCATAGACTTTCCAGTACTGTGTATTCGAGTAAAGTTGTTACAAAGCTAGGGATGTCTTCGGGGGGAAGCAATTCGTAAAGCATGAATTCAAGCTGAAGTACGGTGCTGCAGCTGCAGCCTCAGGCTAAATTCAAGAAAGTCCAAGAGCGCCTCAGGGATGCAGAGCGGAACATTCCAGATTAGGGCGATCCAACTGCCGACATTGTGCCCCAAGGGAGGTTAGCAGTATCAATCCTGCAGCTAAAATCCCAGGTCCTTGGATGCCTTCTCCTGAGCCTCCCTGCTCTCCAGAGCCAACCGCTTCTTTTCCCTGTACACGTTCATCAATTTCTTGTTCTTCAGCGCATTCAGTGCAGCCAGATCGTTCGCGTCCGACTTCTTCTTGGCCGTTCCAGTCCCAAGTTCTTTCGACTCGCCATAGCCCTCCAGATAAACCGCCTGCTTGTACAAGACCAGGTTGGTCAACGGGTCGCGGAGCGTCCTGCTCTCATCGACAGACTTGTACACGATGTTTACCCGGGGGTTGGAAAGGGCCAGCTGTGCAGACAGCTGTTGCTTAGCTGCTTTGAGGTCGGCTTGAGAACCTGCCGGTGACGCGGCGCCCATCACGGGAGCGACAAGAGATGGCTGAGGTTGGGCATCCTTCTTAATCTGCTTGGAAATCGTCGTGCTCCACAATTCCTTGAGCCACTTCGCCGTCCTCGAGACTCCTCTTATTGGGTCCGACAGGATGATGGCGGCGACGTGGGCCTCAAATATGTCGCCCAGAACCTTTGCACGCTCCTTTTCTGATGCCTTCGAACCACCTTGCCGCCCAGAAATGCTGTATTCTCTAGGGAGCCTAGCTTCCTTCGCAAACCCATAATGGATTGAATACTCTCCGAGTGTGGAATTGCGAACTAGAACCTCCCGGATGTGACACATGTCACCATGTGGAAGATGCGGGAATGTCATGTAAATGTACGCGGTGGAGATCAAGTAGAGGTATGCGTCTCCAAGCCATTCCAGCTGCTCGTAGCTTCGCTCGCCACGTTCCGCGGCTCCTGCGTGGGTGAATGACGCCTTTTCCAAAGCTGGATCTAAGATGGCTGGAAGAGGTGGTGGGTTCTTTGCGACTTCTGATGGCCTCCACGGTGTGAGTATTGGCACTTCTGGTCGAGGGCTCTCAGCAGGCTCTGGTTTCGGCTGATCTGTGGCGGTAGTCTCCCCCTCGACCGGCTTCTCGTCATGTCCTTTTGCCAGGGTCTTGAAGCTTGGAAGGAGGTCGTTGCTCAGTGTGGCCAGTCGCCGAATCAATTTTGGGTGATCGCTCTGAGTCTTGAGGGCCTGCAGGCACTCGATGAGGTCGTCGGCGTTCTCCGAAAGGCGAGACAGCGCATCCGGAACTCTCATCTTTTTTTGGGTTGGTTGATGACTGACCTCGCCATCGGCGAAGTCTGAGCGTGAGCGTTTGCCCATTCTGAAATAACAATGAGGAGGTGGTCGGGCTGGTCGATTATACCACAAGCCTATGAGGTGGTCAGGTTGGTCGATTATACCAGCTAATTGAGCAGCAAGAGAGGAAATGTTGAAGATGGGTTTGAGAGTTCTGCATGTACCCCGGTACAACATGCCGCAAGCACAGGCCCCACTAGCCCGCAGGGCTGACGGGCTGGCAGGCTCCACATAGCTTCGCCTAATCGTCCAATCAGAGAGTTTGCGCGTGGATAGCTTTTGACTTCATGCGTGCCGTCTTCGCCTCGCAACGTCCGATTCCTCCTTCAAGCCATGCCATAATGTCGGTCCCTCGCGAGCGCCTGCTGCAGCTCCTGCAGGTAACCATTGACCCCTGAAGTTGCGCCCCTTTTCATCAGTATTGACGCTTCACAGACGCGATGTCGAATCTTTGCCACAACCTACAACCCTGATGGTGTTCGCATGGGCAACAAGATCTTGCGACAAAGGTTACGAGGCCCGGCGCTGGCGGCCTACTACCCGCGGAGGATGGTCGATCTGAAGGACCTCACAAAGGAGTTTGGACCGGCATTGGAATTTGTCGACGAGGATGAGGACGACCGACAAGATTCACTCGCTTTGTACGCCCAGGTTCTTGGCGGAACACTCGACTCCTGCTGACAGACTGTAGCTTGAAAGCCCGTGGAAAAGGCGCGCCGAAGAAGAAGAAGGGTCCCCCAGGTCAGTCTATCCAAGTCCAAGTAAAGAAGATATCGAGCTAACATTGGTCTGCACAGATACCAAAGCGAAGAAGAGATAGAGAGGGAAGCTGGCCCGCCATTGACAACTGTACAATATCACTCCGGCGAGACAATATCCGAATATATCCACAGCATATCGAGGGCACACATTTGTCGACAGCGAAGCGTTGCCGTGATCCCACGTACTTGGGCCAATGTTTACCGATGACCCGTACCCTTTCTTCTGGCCAGCACTACATAGAAGTGCATTACCACGTGGATGACCTTCAAGGCGTATTGCAATATTTCTGTATCTGGTCTGGTGTTCTCAGGCTCTGCGACTTTGTCCATCACAAGGCCTGCCCGGGCAAGGCCTTGGGTCCCGTTGACTCAACCAGAAGAGGTTGGATGGCTCTTGGGCTCAGAACCAAGGCTTAGTCCCAGGAGTGACATCATGGAGCTTGTGTTATCATCCCATCGTAGCCACAAGAAGACAGCTTGTGCCGTCAACCCGGAGTCTTTGGGTCTCGGGCGTGTGATGGTGAGTCTACCTAGTCTGCCGGTTGTGAACGCAGCTGAGAGGAAGTGTTCTGCTTTCTCTAAAGTACGTGCAGCATAGGTGTCGCAACCGTATGATACTAGATGATCTTCTTCTCTCCATTGCCTTGTGTTTTGTGTACACCCGAGGGTCGTTCTGATTTCGATCACTGAATGGGTGTCAGCTCACGGACCAAGACCTCAGGAATATAGTGTGACGGTACGGCAAGTGCCTCAAGTTGCTGTGAATTCCAGGCAGGTGATCACGTACCTTCTGGACCAAATCAGTTCTAGGCCTTCAATGTCCGGTCTGGACTTTCACTCGATCCTTGTCCTCGAAGAAAGAGAGTTGCTCTCCAGGGAAAGCACAGCAAGTCTAGTAACCGTGCAGGGTCTGGAGCACCTGGGCAGTCCGGTCTTCCGTTGAAACGGAGCAAGAACTACCTAGGTATCTGGCCTTCGATCTGCTGTTGTATGCTCAGCTGCAGCCTGCACCAAAAAGGTGGGAGTCGTTGGCAGCTTCCAGAGCGTTCCTCGTCCCGCGTTTCCTGCCACTCGCAGTGTCCAAACAAGCTGCCTGCCAACCTCAGTCCTCAACGCCTCGACCTCAAAACATTTCCACCCCATTTTCCCATCTCTCACCTCACTCACCCCTCCCAACCTTCCCGCCTCGCCCATCTTCCCCTTCCCCCCTCCATCAAACACAAAGGTGATCGACAGGATCTACCCCATCTCAGCTATTTTTCACCCATCTCTGTCCCCAGCTACGTAACCTGCTCAACAGGAAACAACCACCTTTGGAATAGCATCTTCGCTGCCTCCTTGACCAATCTTTCCTTGGCTATCGTTTGTCCTCACGATGCCCCAAGACGAGAACGCCCCTTACGAGGAGGGCATTTCAGGTGGCCAACAGGCCCTGAGAAAGTCGGCCACGCCCTTGACAACTTCCAAGCTCCTCAACCAGGGTTCTGTCAAGGTAAGTCTCGGCCTGTTCCAACTGCACAGAAACATCTGACAGTCTGCCTCAGACCAACTATGACGGGCCCAATCCCATGGACAAGCTGCTGGCGAAGCTGTGCGAGAGTCACGATCAGCCTCGACAGAACGAGTGCACCGAAGCCGACAACCCTTCCTCCTGCAGTTCTCTGCCAATCACCCCTGCCACCGACGCTTTCGGAGGTACCGCCCCAACAACTCGACCTGCTAGTGCAGCGCCGAACGACAACACTGCCGCTACCGAGGAGGTTCTTCGACTGAAGCTGGAGCTGGCCAAGGCCCAAAACCACATCACTAACCTCAACAATGAGCTCGCACAAACCCGTCGTGAGCAGGGAAGTGGTCGTGCAACGCCCATACTGTCGTCTGATTCTGACTGCGCGGGCGGTGCCCCTTTGGTTGAACCTATTGGAACGAAGCCGTCGGCATACCCTGCACTGACTGGTCTCCCCAAGACCCAGCTCCCCAGAGACAACGCCTGGCAGGGACCTGCCTCTGACGACTGCCGCTCTGAAATTAGTGACGCCATATCGGCCACTGGCTACAACCGGTCTCGGGGAATCTTGAACAATGGCAACAAGCCAGGCTACCAACCCTCCTTCATGCCGCCCCCCATGCCAATTCAGGATGGTCCTCCCGCGACGGGCTGGTCTATTCCTCGCGACCAAGGTTTCATTGACCAGTCTGTCCCACCCTACAATGACCAATCCATGGACGGCTTCCGAGGAGATCGCTTTGGCCAACAGCCTGACCTAATGCGTTCCGGTAGTGGTCGTCGCGGCAATCGTTACGACAATCGATTCGGAAACCCCGGCTCTTATGGCAGCAACTATGGCGGCTACGGCATGGGAAACATGGGCCCTTCCCAATATGACGGTGGTCCTGGCTACCCTGGCGGCCCTGGAAACATGCCTGGAAATGGAATGGGAATGTTCTCTCAGTATGGACCGTCGCCTATTGGAACACCTTTGTCTCCACATGCGACTGAGTTCACATCCACCACAGGCTCTTGGAAGCCTGACGTACGTCTATCACCCCATGCATGACTCCTTGCCTAGAAACGATCTTGCAACTGATCTTGTGTCCTCATTAACCCACCTTTTCTCAGGCAATTGCTACCGAAGGGCAGACTTATTTGCCCACCACTGAGCCCCTCAACTATCGTCGTCTCCTGGACCGCAACGTCAACTGCAACTGGAAGTACATTGTCGACAAGATCGTCTGCAACAATGACCAGCAAGCTTCTATTTTCCTTCAACAGAAGCTCAAAGTTGGAACTCCAGAGCAGAAATACGAGATTGTCGAGGCCATTGTCGCTCAGGCGTACCCACTCATGGTCAACCGCTTTGGAAACTTCCTGGTCCAACGCTGCTTCGAGCACGGCACGCCGGAGCAGGTCATCAAGATCGCCGAAGCGATCCGCGGCAACACCCTCAACCTTTCAATGGACCCATTCGGATGCCACGTCGTGCAGAAGGCATTCGACTCTGTCCCGGAGGACTACAAGGCCATCATGGTCCATGAGCTGCTCCGTCGCATCCCCGAGACAGTCATTCATCGTTATGCCTGTCACGTCTGGCAGAAGCTATTCGAATTGAGATGGACTGAGAGCCCTCCCCAGATCATGAAGTTTGTCAATGAGTCACTGCGCGGCATGTGGCATGAGGTTGCACTAGGAGAGACTGGTAGTCTGGTTGTGCAAAACATCTTTGAGAACTGCTTGGAGGAAGATAAGGTTAGCCAATATCGTCCGCCCCTAACCTGACACGAGGTTAAGCTGACATGTGTTACAGCGCCCATGCATTGAGGAAGTCCTTGCCAACATCGACATCGTGGCGCACGGCCAATTTGGCAACTGGTGCATCCAGCATATTTGCGAACATGGTGCCCCTGCGGACCGCAGCCGTGCCATTGATCATGTCATTCGATACGCTGCGGAGTATTCTATGGATCAGTTCGCTTCCAAGGTCGTTGAGAAATGCCTCAAGATTGGAGGCCCCGAGTTTCTTAGCCGCTACCTTGACCGAGTCAGCGAGGGCCGTCTCGACCGTCCGCGCATTCCTTTGATCGACATTGCCAGCGACCAGTATGGCAATTATCTCATTCAGTACATCCTGACCCATGCCAATACCCAGCACCGAGACATGGTCGCTGCTCACATCCGCAAGCATATGGTTTCACTCCGTGGATCAAAGTTCGGCTCGCGTGTTGGCATGCTTTGCACCAATCCGGCGGTTGCGACGAGGCCCGGTCCCGGTGTTGGACCTGTGGTGGGTAGTCGCATGGCCCCAGGACCTCGGTTCGGTGGTGCCTACCGCTGAATGGCTCTTATGACCAAGATCAGCTGAAGCAGCAATTCTGTCCACGTTTACTTTATTAATCTCGGAGCGGCAAGAGAAGAAACACGCCGTTTCGACACTGCTTTCCTTTGTCTCAACACAGTCAATTTCCTCGATCGGTTCTCACGAGAAGTTGGCCCGCGTCATTTGACGATTCTTTTAAGAACATCATCTTCAGCAGCTACTTTACAAATCACTCGACATCCTACGCTCGGGAGGCTACTGCCCACTCGAGTGCTTTGGACACCTCATCATTATTTTCAGTCGGCAATGTCGCCTGACATCGGATTTATTGTCGGAAGTGGACGGAGACGCGCTGTCGGTGGGCAGCCTTGTGGCTGTCAATGACGCCTTTTGAACAACACGCGTGGCATAATTTGAGCATTCAAGCCCCACCAAAATGTCTCTTGGAGGATTGAGAGTTACGTGGCTTTGGACGGCCAGAGAGGTGAAAGGGAGGGGCCAGATTGTACACTTGGTTTGTGCTATACAGAAGGATGAGACAGCTTTATTGCGGCCTTGTACCAGTGAGGCATCTATTCGTTACCCTGGCATTTACCTTCATTCTTCAATACGAGATCGCTGGTTCCTATACGCAGTCTGTTGCTTATGATGTGGTAAACTTTGAACTACCTCGGGGATAGCTAGAGCCGCCGCCACTCACTTACTGGCCGAGATTTCTCACCCGTACACATGTAAAACCACCACATACACTCAGCCGTTGGTATTGACCCCATGGAACTCACGCCTTTTAACTCGTGTGGGTTCGTAGATTTTTATTTCACGTTCTGAACAAGAACCAGAAGGGACAGAAAAGTCATGGTGGTGAGAAGGTCCAACATGCGAACTGAGTCTCAGGCATCGTTGAGTTCCATTGGTAACTCGGTTTTCGCTCAGCCCTTTATGACTTTCAGCCGCTTTGCCAACTTTTCGTCCGATTTGGGGTTCAACGAGCCCGACTACCTCCGTTTGCTTGCTGCCCCCCAAACTGATACGACATTCGCCTCTTCTGACTTTGGCAGCCTAGGCATTCATAAACATCATCTACAATTCTCCTTCGTAGCATCCAGCCTTTTGTCCTTGTACCGCAAAGAAAAGGGACACGACATCGGCTTTCAGTGCACAAAAAAAGTGTCGATCAGCTTTCTTCGCTCTAAATTTACACCATCGAATAATCTTCAAGAGGCAAGAAAACGTTGAGCCGGGAACCACTATAAGCGATGGCGTCCGCCGAGCCAACTAGTCAACCTCGTCCAGAGGAGATGCTTGAAAGCCTTTCCCGCCAGATGAGAAGCCTGAACACCCCCGGGATAGCTGGAAAGGCCTTGAAAGACGTGGCAAATCTGAACGAAGAGGACTCTGCCTCTGCATCCGGACGAAAGATACACCATTGCCTGAACGCCATTCGTTGCTTGCCAGCTTCTCGAGAGCTGGACAAAATGGCCGTCACAGATTTGGTCTACCGAAAGACAGCCGAAAGCATGATACTTGGCCTCCCACCAATCCAAACCTTCTTCTGCATGCCCCCTGCTCCCGAGCGACACAACAGATGCAAGGATTACGACAAGCTGGCTGAACTCTACAGATCACCTGCCGAGGTTCTGGCAGCGAGGTCCCGTCTCGATGAGGACCCTTTCAAGTCTTTCGATCCTGACGACTCCAGCATAGTGGAGTTGGTCGTCGCGTCAACAAAAGACTTTGGCACCTGGAATATGCCTGGGGTTGTACACATGGATTACGGAGGAATTGCAGACCTGGAAGGTGGTCTTGCTCGTCTGGCCTTGCATCACACACCAGCCACAGCAAAGGAATGGTACAAGGACAACTTTTACTCGTATCTACGCTGGGTTTATCAGGGCCGAAAGACTTCAGCTTCTCCTTTTGCTCCCAAGAGTACCACCAACGATGGGATGACGCTTCAATCTCGTGTTGAAAACTTTAGCACACCCTCTGACGGCCGTGTCTCCGGATCTTGCGCAAGCTGTGGCTCCCGCGACGCCGCTCACGCACGCAAGTTTTGCCTAATCACCCTCGAAGATCATGAATCTGAACACACAGTCTCAGCTACGACATATTGCGACGAAAAATGTCGAATTACCCACTTCGAGGCGCACAAGGCCACGTGTAAGGAGATACGCAAGTTGGCTCGAAGTTGAGCTTTGTTCAAGGAAGCATTCTATCAGTACATTCAGGCGCCCAATGGTGTAATTCCCGTCTCCGCTATCACACAAGAGCAGGGTATAGTCATCAAACATCACGTTGTCACGTCGAGAACCAAACGCTCCATTCGGCAACTGGCAGGCCCTCAGTGACAGGCAGATGCTGTCATGGCTAGTTTCACATGCAACAACATCCCCTTCTGGGCGAGGCCGACGTTTGAATTCCTCATTCGACGTGAGTATTTCTGAGTGAAATACCGGTCACATGCTGGTTACAAATACTGGACGACGCTTTGAAAACCACAGCCTGTTGCGCCGCTGCCGAGTTCATCACCCGCCCTGTCAAGAACGCCGAGATCGCGGTGGTCGATGATCTGACCTTCGGGCAAACGCATCGTCTCCGATACAACACCCTTGGCCCCCACGTTATAGTCCGCTTGACCCTGCCGTCCGGATTGAAGTACGCCTTCGACCCGACACGCGGCCCAGTTCGGCTGGAAAGAATACCTGGTGATGAAGCAATTAAGCAAACGATAGTTGATTGTTGGGTGTTGAGGAGAGAAATCTCCCCGTTATTAAACGCTTAAAAGGAGCCTATTTATAGGCTAGCGCTAGCATATAGGCATACAACCCTCGCACCTTTCAATACACCCCCTATCGTAAGTATTATCATTTTAACGATAATAAAAAATATTCCGTTTTAATAGCTAAAAATATAGTTTAAATATTCCGTTATAATTTATATTAAGATCACTATATAAACATTATTTAACGTTTATATATTCCGCTTACATTATTTTTAATTAACTATTTAAATACCCCCCTTAGCAGTATAAACTCTATACTTATTTTAATCTTAATTTCCCATAAGCCTCTTTAAGGGCAAGGCAAGGCAATGCTTTTATGCAAATATTAGCAAGATTATCTTTAAATATAATATAATAAATATTATATATCTCTTTAATTCCTTTATAAATAAAGTAATAATAAATAGCAATATATTTTAATTAGGTATTAACTTTATAATTTTAAATAAGGTTTAATGTTAATTAATTATTAATATATAAAATAAGTAAATATTTAATATACTTAATGCTTAAATCTTTTAATACTTAAATTATTTAATAAAAATATAATAATGCTAATGAATATGCTATATATTCTGTCTTGCAAATAGATTTTACAATAATAAATTGGCGCTTTAATGATTAAGCAATTAAGTCGCTATTAAGGAGTTGCATATATCCGCTAAATGCTTTTAAATTATTTAAATTAGTATTATAAAAAGCATTAGCGTATATATTAAGTATAGCAAATTAAAATAATAATGTTTATTTTAGAAATTACAGGGCATAGTTTAGTATATATTAAATGTATTAAAGCACTCCCTTTATAATATTTAAATAATAAATTATAAGCTTTATATTAAATATTAAAAGCATTGCATATAAAAATGCGAAATTAAGTTTTATTTTAATAATAAGAAAATTAACGGATTTAATAAGTAATTAATATATTATTGCATTTATTGCAATATTATTAAGTTCCTTTTATTGCGGAAATAAATTTAAATTTATAAGAGTTTATCTTTAATTATAGTTAAATATATTAAAGCGTTCTAAAATCCATTAAGTATATTCCTTTTAAGAAATGCAAATCTTATTATTAATTTATATAATTTTTAATTTAAGTAGGTATTTATAAAGATTAAGATCCTTATACTTAAAATATTGCATAAGCTTAGTGCAAAATTCATTAACTTAAGAGGAATTCTTAGTAATAAGAATATTATTAATATAAATAGCGATAATAATTTAGTCTTTAATGAAAACGCAAGGGTTAAATGTCGTTTCCATTAAATATTTAATTAATTCCTCTTTAAAAGTACTAAATTATTTATGGCTTAATTATTTAAGTTTATATAAAGCATTAAGAAGTTTTAAAATAACTTATTAATTATTAAATAATATTTAATATCTTTGCGATAATTATATATAAACATTATATTTTAAATAATTATATAAGTATGTTATTTTAATATTAAATTATTAGAGCCACTAGCTTATTATGGTAATAATAGCGATAATTAATCTTAAATTATTATAATGCGCTATAAGGCTGTAAGTATTATTATAATTTATATCGTGAATTTATATATATTTATAAGTAATGAATTATGCTTTATAGTGGATAAGCTTACTAAAAGCATTAAACTTTTTTATATATACCTAGCAAGGATTAATAATATATTAATTTATAATAATAAGTACTTTAATTTATATACTTATATTTAAGAATGATTTAAGTTTTCTTTTAATAGCTTATCGCTAGGCATTCCTTTTACTGCTTTTTATAGCCTATGCATATATATTAAGGATATTATTAGCATTTATTATGCTAGCAAGCAATGCTTAAGCAAAGATTTAATTAAGGTAGTTGGCATTAATTAATGTTAATTAAGTAGGATTTAGCATAAAGTTTGCATTAATTAATGCTAAGTTATTAAAATCTTTAAAATATTTTATAATAATATTTACATTTTCTTTTACTTTCCATAAAAGCTAAATTCATTATTCTTAAGAATTATATAATTATATAAATCTTATAAGTTTAAGTGGTTTATTAATAGGTCTTGTAGGTTTAAGCAGTTTGTTTATAGGTTTATTTATAGGTTTTGCATTATTAATAAGTTTTATTAGCTAAGACGCTAATAATACCTTTATCTTAAGTAATATATTTTTATTTAGCTAGCTAATTATTTATGCAATCTTTATTGCTAAATTAAATTAAGTAATATAACTTAATATTATAATTATAATAACTTTTTAAAGTAGCATAAATAAATAAAAGATAATCTTGCCTCCAGCTTTAAATCTTATAAAGTATACCTTTTTAGCTTTATTTAATAATTTTATTTTTAGCTTATAAGCCTTAATAAGGATATAAAAATATATAGGGCAAAAGTATAATTAAAAATATTTAATATTAAGCTTTTATTTATAAAGCGCCTTAAATAGCATTATTTAATATAATAAGGCTAAGTATAATTTTTAATTCCATAAGTATATTGCATGGGAAATTACTTTAGGCTATAGGAATAAGTAATTTTCATTGCAAATTATTATATAAGCATTAATAATAATAATATACATAAACCTTTTAAGCATGCTATTTAATTTATAATAATAAAGAAGTAATTTCTTATAAATAATTTTATATCTTTAAAATATTATAATAGTTATTTTATTTATATATTTACTTCCGTTATTTAAATTAAATGTTTTAACTTTCACGCTAAATTAAGTTTTAACTATATTTAAAAATCCTTTAATAATATTTAAGATATTATCTTTTTAAGTAATAAAGTAAACTTAATAAAATTAAATATAATTATTAATAAATGGAATAAAGTATTAAGAACCTTTTAATAATTTTATTAAAAATTTACCTAATAAATTAAATTAAATATACTTAAATAGCTATATAAATTATTATTTTAGCAATAAATATAAGCGTTTTTTAATGAACTTTATAAGTTGGTATAGTTTATAATAAAAATTCATTAATTTATTTAGTATAATGTCTTTATCTTTATATAAATATTAAGCAATTAGTTTTAATAAATTACTATAATTAAAAGCTTTATAAAATTCGCTATATATTGCAAATATTATAAAGTTATTTTTTATTATTTAAATTTTAAAATTTCTATATTAAAACTTTGCTTATAATATCCTGCAAAATTTATTATTTTTTAGTAATAAAAAGATATTATTTCCCTATATATTTAGTTAAAACCTTTTTTAAACTATAGTTTAGCTAAATAAATAAGTATTTCTTAATGCGTAATTATATAAAATATTAATAAAAATATTTTTAATAATTAATTTATTTAATAATTATAAAAAGATTTTTATAAAGCTAATACCTTTTATAATAAGTTAATTACTGCTTATAATAATAATTATACTTAAATATAATTGCAAGAAGCTAAAGTCTTTTATGCATTTTATTATATACTTTAAAGCATTAAAATTAAAAATTTATAATATTAAAGTATTTGCAATTATTAGCAGCTTTATTATATATATTAAAATATTAATATATAATGCTATTATATCTTCCTTATTATTATTAAAAATTTTAATAACTTCTTTATTTATAGCTTAATTTACAATAGCTTATTTCTTGCTCTTTTTTTATTTTTAATTAACTTTATATTTAGCAAGCTTTATATAATTAATATATAAATAGCTAATAAATATAAAGTTTTATACATAATATTAAATGCATTCTTTATTACTTAATATAAAGTTAATACTTATTAATGCAAACTTTATAGCTTTTTTTATACCCTTTAATGCTAACCTTTTTTAAATAAAGGTAAAGTAAGTTTTAAATTATTTAACCTTTATATAGAAAATAATATCCATTATCTTAAGTTTAATTTTAAAAAATATTATAAGGTTTTAATTATTTAAGTTATTAATAATATTATTTATAATATTTAATAATATTATTAAAAAGAAAAAGCCTTTAACTTTATTGCTTTTAAAAAATAACTTTATTAACCTCTTAATTAATTATCTTAATATTAAAATTTTAATATAAAGTTTTATTTAAAAGTTTTAAAAAGCATTTAAATAGCCTTGCAAGTTAAAGCTATCCTTATATTATAAGTTTATTAATTAATAAAAAAAATAAATAGTTAAGTTATTAATATTATAATTAAACTAATTAGCTAATATTTTCCAAGCATTAAAAGATTTTTTGCATAATATAATAAATATCATAAGGCTTAGATATATTAAGCTTAAAAGCATAATAAAGGCTTAATTATTAAGCTTTTCTTATTTTATAAGGGCCGCACCCTTATTTAATCATTTCTTAATACCTATAATGTATTTGCCAAGGCTGGCAAATTAAAAGCCGCAACTTTATGCTATCCTTTAATTTAGAAAATTCTCCCCTTTTAAGTTTAACTTTAAGAAAAACAATAAATTAAGCTTAAAGTTAAGTATATTTAATATTTTTTAAATAGTATTTATATATTTTTAAGTATATTTTAAATAACATTTATATATTTTTATTTATTTATAATAATTAGCATTAATTAATATAAGTAAATAAATAAAAAGGAGTAAATAGTTAAAATATTAAATAGGGCAGGAATGCTAAATTATTATAAGTTATTATTAGCTATAATAGCTATTATAAAGTATAATAATAATATATAAGCAAAGGTTAGCAATATTAAAATCTTAATAATTTAGATATAAAAATAATTATAGAAATAAAAGTATTAATATTTCTTAATATTTTAAGATATCTTAAGTAATGCCAGGCTTATAACTTAATAAAGCAATTAAGCAAACGATAGTTAATTATTAGGTGTTAAAGAGAGAAATCTCCCCGCTATTAAACGCTTAAAAGGAGCCTATTTATAGGCTAGCGCTAGCGTATGGGCATACGACCCTCGCACCTTCCAACACCTGGCACCTTGGGACGGGTACGCGCGCCGCCGCATCCACCTCATAGACCTGACCGCGGTTTTCAAGCCACCTGGCGACACACAGGCGCCAAACGAGGAGAGCACAAGGCCTCCTGAGTTTCACCCGGATGTTTTCGGGGCCAAACAGCGTGCGGCGGCTGAGCTCATCAAGGCCGTGCGAGCGCGGAAGGGCGGTCTCCGAGCTATCCTCAAGCTCTCTGATGGCCAATTCGAGGAGGCAAAGAAGGATCTGGCGAAGACTATGGAGCAGTCCGTCCGAGAAGTCATCAAGTCGTCGAAGTGAGCTTTAAGGTACGCGTGGGTGGGATTGCATCGGGGTTATGGTGCTTCTTGTTTGCTACAGGAGGGATGTTGGGCCTGGCTCGCACAGATTGCATCCTCTACGAAGTGGACGACCACCTTCTGGAAAGGCACTCCATACATGGATCGGAAAGACTTCTCGGATAAGCTAATGAAGCTTTACTGAGGCATAATAACAGCTTATGTCGTTCGGGAATCGGCGAGCAAGGCTCACAATGAGTTGCTCATCACAGGTGGCCTGTTCAGTCCCAGGCAGAGTCTGTACTGAGACGGGCGTGTGCTGCAAGGACACGGGGGACGAGAAAGATGGATGATCGGCTTTCTGGTCAGTAATGTTTGAGGATGCACACACATGCCTTTCGGCAAGTCAGGTACCATTCAAATGAATGCCCATGTTGCACATTGAAAGGCACACGAGATGACATGCTTGAGCCGACCCCGAGCGTGAGCTCCAGAGGTGTTCAGCCGTCTCGGGACAAGACGTTACCAATGCTTGGTGCGAACAGCACAGCAGGGCTGCCATTGTTGGCACTGTATGACATGACAGTATACCAGTTCTTCAGGAAGGCAGCACCAATGACGTAAAGGTCGGTGGTTCCTGAGGCCGAGTTGATCTGTACACCTTTGAGTCCCGCGACGCAATAGTCGGTCACCTCCCCCATCTTGGTTCGGATCTCTGCCGCAAGGGATTCGCTGCCCATCGCGATTTCGTCAACCTCTTCAGGAGCTACCTTTCCAATGTTGAAATCGACGGGACTGATTTGGAAGTTGGCACCTGCGAATGTGATGCTTGGAATGTATGAATCTGCCGTGTCGCAGGGGAAAAGGCTATAGAGCGTACATGTCAGTTCAGAGTTTTCTAGTCCGTGAAGGGCAGCACTTCAGCTTACAACATATCGAAAGCACTGCCATGGATTTGCATCGAGAGAGGCAAGCTTCCAGGTATTTGCGACATGATCTCCCTTGCGGCGGCTGGGGGCGCAATAATCATCGGTGTACCCGTGTCGATCGCGGCCTGGCCCTTAGTGTGCAAGCCAGCGACAAGGCCACGGACCTTGACGTTGTCCAAGTCGACTTGCCAGTACGTCTCGGAGACAACCGGCAAAGTGACGAATGGTCCGGTGTATTTCGTGCTGTCCCGACCGCCAAGGACCATTTCCGAATCGCTCCCTGTGCCCGAGGCCAGACGGCCCAAGTAAAAGCTGAACTCATCCTTTTCAACTGCCCCTGAGGCGACGAGGTTCTCAAAAAAGGTGATGGCGTTGCCTTTAGCGAGGAATGAGAAAGCCATACCGCAGATCCCGTCAGCATCCAGATTTGAGAAACCAGTGGCTGATTTAATTGCCATGAGTGTCTGGTTGGCCGATTTCAAACCGGCAATGGTCATGTCATCCACATATATGTCACCAGACACGGAGGCTGTTAGGTAACCCGAAGGCACAGTCGTTTGGAGATCAATGCCTCCTCCATCGTATTTGTTCGAATGGACGCATCCATCGAGAGGGCCACAGCCTGGGCTGGGGACCCAAATGTCAGAAGACCCAGTGTCGAAGATACTGCGGGCCCAGTCATTGTCAGCTCATTGGATCAATTAAAGTACCTAGTCAGAATCGTGGACCTACAGCTCAAACGTCTGCGCATTTCCGTCCTTAGAACCAATCGTTACCGGCCCGTAGTATTTGTCGTCCATCGCTAACACCATCTTGTTGCTATCGGAGTGTGAAAAAAACCCTGGTCCTTTAGAGGCACGTTGACGCCTGACGTAGCCTTCTGCCTGTGTCTCTCGGCAGCATATTCTGCTTGCTGCTGCGCCACGGGCTCGTAGTGCGGAAGTGGCTTTGTGCCGAACTTCATGAGCGTAGCGTTGAGAGAAGCGAATATTCCAGGAACATTAGCCCTTCCATCGGGACGAGTAAGGCTGTGGCCATTGCTCATGGAGACCTTGTGTGAAGTGGCGGTGCCGGGCTCTGGCAGGGCAAGGGCGCCAGAGAGGAGAAGAGGAGCAAATGCGAGCTTCATGATCGGAGATTGGGGGTTGGTGAACGAGAAAAGGATTACAAGGTTGAAATCAGGGTCCAGAAAAAATACTCTACTAATCAATACTAAAAAGTACCAACTCTAGCATAGCTAACTCTACTTAGCAGATTTAGTACTAATCCTTTTTCTTAGTTAGTTAATATTAGCACTGACTAACTCTAGTGTAAATTTCAAATACTCAAAATATTAATCCATATCTCAAAAAATCCATTTAGGCTTTCCTCCCATGCAGAATGCCGTGGTCGTCGATGTCGCGGAGGGAATCGGAAACCGTATGCTAGCGGCGAGACCCGCAAAGTGGTCACCAGAGAGTTAATTTACGTGTCAATTCAACGATGGGCGTTGAGTGTAGAACGTTCACTTCACTCGATTTATGATCAAGATGGCTGTTCCCATGCCCATTCTTAGCATCGCCTCCTCTTCCCTCCCGCCACTCATTCCAATGGCGACTTTGAGCTTCTGTCTTAGAACATTCACACAATCTCGGTCTGTTCCCACCAATCCGGGATGTGTTGGGGGATGACTAAGCACTCCCCTCTCTTCTAATACACCACACCTTCCGTAGCCCGCCTAGCATTAGCTTCTCAAAAGACATACACACACACTTTGCGAGATACTTTAATTGAATTGGCTATTAGCAACCTTATTTAATTCCCTAATCTGGTTTTAAAAGCCCTTGTATATCTCGTTATATAGTAGCTATAACTTAGTTTAACTTCTTATCGTTTTTATGCTGAGATTTAACCACCAGTTTAATACCGATTGCTTATAATTATTTAAATAACTGCATTCCCCTAGCACACAATTAATTTAATAACTTTACCAACCTTGGCCTAATTGGCTAAAGGCCCTAAATGTTATTAATAATGCTTTAAATAATTATTAATAAGCCTTATGCTTACTAAGCCATAATATTTATTAGCTTAGCAGCTTTAACAAACTTTCAGCCATTAAAACCCCTTAATTAAATAACTCTTAACTTTAATCCAAAACCTCCTTATAAATAACTCCATAAGTAAGGCAAGAAATAAGCTTCCTTAAGATATAAAAGGACATTTTATCGCTGCTAAACTGCCTTAATCAGAACTAAATTAACCTCTTAAACTTATTAATGCATTAAAATTAGCTTAAGAAGCTTTTCCCATTCTTACATAATTAATATTAGCCCCTGCTCTTACTTAAAAGGAACTTTAAGTATAACCTATAGCAATTAAAGCATTAAATTATAACTTCCTTTTTAACAAAATACAACTTAAAAAGGCATAAAGTATTAATTAAGCCTTATTAAGCTTTATTAACTCCCTTAACTTAATTTAATAACCTTCCTTTAATTCTTTACCTTAAAATTCTCCAAGGGTTCCCTAGTTTTAAGAGCCGGCCATTTCCTATAGTTAGTTCCTTAATTAAAATAAGTTTAACATTAGCTCATCCCCTTTAATTAAAGTTAATTAAAATAAAGAACACAAAACCTTTTTATTAAAATAGGCTGGCAAGATAACTAAGGCAGGATTATCTTAAAACCATGCCTGCTTATTAGGACCTAAGGATTACTCCAAGGAGTTTTATTCTAAACCTGCTAAGCGCCCTATGTATATTTAGCCCCCAGCTCTTTCTATATAAACACCCTTATATACTTAAGGCAATTATTTCTTTAATATGGTTATTATTTATATTATTAAGCAAAGCATAGCTTTAGGAATATACTTAAAACTTTATTTTATTATATTAAATTAACTTTCCGCTTAGGTTTAACATGCCATAAAGGATTTTAGCAAGGTAAAATGCTAAAATTAAGTAGCAATAGCTTACTATTTTTTTACAAAACCTATAAGTACTACTTCCTCTCTAAAAGCCTTTTTTACATTAATTAGCCGTTTTATCCTTAATCCTTAGTAAGCCTTCCCTAAGTTAGAAAATTGTAAAAACGGATAAAATATAGGTAGCTAACCTATTCGCTCCCCTTATTATAAGCATTGCTATGGCTCCCCTTGTTTATTAGCTAAAGATCGCGGCTCTCCCGATTAACGCTCTATTTATAGTATTCCCCCTAAATTGAATATAAAGGATGAAATTAATAATTACCGTTAATACCCTCATTGGGAACGCTTTCCCTAATAAGAAGCTTTTCGCTCTTAAGATCGCTCCTATTATAGCCAGGATCGTTATACTTAGCGGGATAGTTTGGATTAAATATCCGCGTTAGCTTATGGAAATGGTTTATACCTAAAGCCGGAGATATTTAAGTTTCATAGCTTTAAAGTAAATATATATATTGCTTGCATTTAATACTTTGCAAAGACTTGCGGTAAAGCTATAATTCTTACTAACCTTTCCATTAGAATTGTTTTAAATTTAGATTTAAACAGCGCTTATTAATTTATATTGTTAATTAAATATAAATGGAAAAATCTTATTAATAACTTGGGTTTATAGGAAGCTAAGTTTTATTAGCGCTTTTATGAGAATTATGGTAACTTTATGGCTAAAGTAAATAAAATATCTTACTTTTTTAATAAGGAAGATGCTTTATCTTTACGCAAGTATATTAATAACAAAATTTATCTTTATAATAAAGCTAAAAAGCTAAATAAGGATGCTTAGGTTTATTAAATTTATGCTAAACTAAATCTTAAGTTGCATATAGTAATTACTTTATAAACTTAGCATAATAAGCTTAAAGATTTTAAGTAGCTTATTAGCTAAAATGAATATAATATTTATTAAAAGTAATAAAAAAATAAGGAAGCAAAGAAAGCTTAAAGCTATAAGATTTATAAGCTGCAAAAGTAGCTTATTGCCCTTTAAAAGAATGGTAATTATTATAGAAAATCCAAATAATTTAATTATTTCCCATAATATAATAATTAAAAATAAGTTCCTTATCCTTATTGCAATGCTTATAAGTAAACCTATAATTATAGCCCTAGCTACCTGCGTAATTTAATATATTTGCATAGCTTTAACTATAAATATAAAGCAATGTATAACGTTCCGCTTTCAACTAAGAAGATAGCTAATAATCTTATAGCCAATAAGAACAAAGGGTATGGAAATCATTTTAATTAAACTGCCTATAATAAGTTAAATAAGCTAAATTACTTTACTTATAAATATTTCTCTTTATGAAATTATTAAAATGGCGTTTCGTAACCCTCTTTATAAGCATATATTATAAATGCTAATAAAGAACTTAAAACCCTTTTTTAAAAGGTTTTTAACGATATTTAATAATTTTATAATTTAATATAGAATTTACTTAATATAGGTAATAATTCTGGATTAAACCTTAGTTTAAAATTAAAATAAGAAAAATAACTTAGCGAATGCCCTTAGGGATGCATTTACTATATAAAAAGTCCCTAATTTCTCCCATTCTTAACTTTATTAAAGCTAATACTATTACTAACTCTTTGAAATAATTTCTTTATAGCTTATCTTTACGAAAGAATAGTAAAAAGCTTAAGCCCATGTTAGCATTTATTCCTATACTTAAATTAAAGATTCCCCTAAGATAAGATAACCTTATTATTTTAATGATATATAAAGATACTATGAAAAGCATTACTAATACCGTTTTCTTGCATTTAATAGAATGAGATGCATTTCATCCTTTTTATTCCCTATTTAAGTTAAACCATTTCTGCATTATGCTTATTATACCCAATAAAAAGCTTATTAATAATGTCCTTAATATTGCTTTAAGTGCTTTGCTTATATCTTGGGAAGTACTCTTATTATACTATCCTAAACTAAAGCATAAATTACTATAAACTCCTTTCTCCTTAATTAGAGTTAAAGTTAGCCTTATCATTACCCATAAGGTTAAGTTACCCATTGATATCCCTAACCAAGATAAGCAATCTTAGCTTATTAAAGAAGATGCCTATATTATTAACGGCCTATCCTACGGCCTGCTTTTTAATCTTTCTTTCTTAAAGAAGCATTAACTGCATATACATTGGGGCCCTTTAAATGGTAATGAATTAATTGCTATTTTAAATACTAACTAAAAGATTTATGCTACTTATACTAAATACTTTCTTGCTTAATGCAAAATAGCTATTATTAAGGTAACTTATAAATACCTTGTCTTGCTTAGCAAAGGTTTTAATATTTAAATCCATTCTTAAGAACTCCCAATTTAAGCTTTTAAGTACTTCATTAAACTTAAAGTTATTTTAAATTGTTATGGCTTAACCTATGGCTCCCTTATTAATAACATTATAAATAGCGCTGCTACCATTCTACTTTTCTTTAATTTTAAAGATTAATCCATAATGATTTGCAAGGGGCAGCTTTTTAAATACTTAAAGGCTATATTTATCACTCCTAACTTAAAAACCTTTCTAATATAGAAGGATTCCACCCTAATTGCCATTCCCCTATTAAAGATATTTAATAATATACCCCTTAATAAGGAGAAGGGATGATTTCCAAATGGCTATCTTTTTAATATGTTAATCTTGGATTTACAATTCAATATTAATAATATAGATATAAACTCTAGCTAAGGCTTTAATAAGGTATATAAGATTAAATAAACTATCTTTTAATATGCTTAACTATTTTAGCTAAAGCTAGGATAATTTAATAATAATATAGAAATAGAAATTCCCTTAAAATTAAATGCTGATCTTAATAACTTAATTTAAAAGCCATATAATATATTATAAAAAGACTGCAAAATCTTTAATGGAATTGTTAATAAATTAATTAAGATGGGCATGGTGGAATTAGTCCAGCTGGGAAAGAATTGCATAGCTATAGCGCCAGCCTTTATTATTTAGCGTAATAATAAACTTTAAGTAGTTATCAACCTTTATTAAATTAATATTAAGCTTATTCTTTATAGCTATTTACTATCCTAATAAAACAACATATTTAACTTTTTTAAAGGCTATAATGTATTTATTATTATAAATATTCTTAAAGGTTTCTTTTAGTAATTCATTGCCTTTAGGGATTGCTAAAAAATAACCTTT